TCTTGAATTTCCTATTCCCAACTATGCATCTTTATGTTGAATTTCTTTAGACGAAACTAAGCTTCATTATCTTTGATCGTTTTCGACGAAACTGCGTCATTGTATTGAATTTCTTTAGTCCAAACTATGCTTCCTTATCTTGAATTTCTCTTGCACAGCTATAATTCATTAAACTGAATTTTCTGACCCGACTGTGTTCTAATCTTGAATATCCTATTCCCAACTATACTTCTTTATTTTTAATTTCTTATACGAAACCATGCCTTATTATCTGGGATCATTTTAGACCAAACTATGCTTACATATCTTGTATTTCTAATTACCCAGCTGCACTTCCTTACCTTGACTCTCTCAACCAACTACGCTTCATTATCTTGAATTTTTCTAGTCCATCTGTTTTCTTTTCTTGAATTTTCTCACCCAAATATGCTTCTGTATCTTGAATTTCTTCATAAGAAACTATGCTTCAGTATTTTGGTTTTCTTCAGTCTAAACTATAATTCATTTCTTGAATTTCTTTAGATCAAACAATGCCTAGTTATCTCGGATTTCTTTTGACGAAACTATACATTAATATCATGAACTATATTTTAAACTATACTTCATTTCTTGAATTTCTTTAGATCAAACAATGATTCATTATCTTGAATTTTTCTCGTCCATCTATGCTTTCTTTTCTTGAATTTTTCTCACCTAACTATGCGTCAATATCTTGGATTTGTTTAGACGAAACTATGCGTCATTATCTTGGATTTGTTTAGACGAAACTATGCGTCATTATCTTGGATTTCTTTAGACGAAACTATGCGTCAATATGTTGGATTTTTTTAGACGTAACTATGCGTCAATATCTTGGATTTCTTTAGATCAAACATGATTCATTATCTTGAATTTTTCTCGTCCATCTACGCTTTCTTTTCTTGAATTTTTCTCACCCAACTATGTGTCAATATCTTGGATTTGTTTAGACGAAACTATGCGTCTTTATCTTTGATTTCTTTAGACGAAACTATGCGCCAATAGCTTGAATTTCTTTGGATGAAACTATGCGTCAATATCTTAGATTTCTTTAGACGTAACGATGCGTCAATATGTTGGATTTTTTTTAGACGAAACTATCCATCAATATCTTGGATTTCTTTAGATCAAACCAATCTCTCTCTCACCCAACGTCTTTATCGGTCTTGGTCGAAAATTGAATCTTTCGAGGCACAAGCACATGGAACACGAGGAACTTTGGGGATGAGAGACGATCATTACTGCAGGCTCATCACTGGTGGATCCGATTTAATTCTTGTTTAGTTGTTGTTGTCTTTTTACGTTTGTTGTTTTTTACGCGACGACCCAGGAAGGCGAACGGGGACGATATTTTTGCAAAAAAAAGGGCCTCTTTTGTTCTTGTTTATTCTTTCTCCTTTTTTGCGGAAGTGACATCGTCCACATTACCAGTGGTAATGACAGTCATTATCCCCAGCCATCCCAGGCCGATCCATTGTCGTCCGGGGAGGGAAACGCTCCATACCCCGGCCTTTAAAAAGTACTGTTAAAAGGAGGACAAACAATGGGAAAATAAACCGGGTAAAATCGAAACAAATTTTTTGGAAATTCTGAGGTCCCGGGAGAGGGCAAAATTTTTTTTTTTTTAATTATATGATCGAAGGGGGCGGAAAAAGTAGAAAATCATTGTCGAGTTGTTATTTTTGTTTTTGTTTTTCTTTTGTTTTGGACGCATCCGGCATCGCCCTTGGTCCGTGATGTAAATGACAATCTGCCCAAAAACCAGGAAAAACAACCCAGGCCAAATCGGACTTACAATCGGGCCCCCATTGTCGCCTTTTTGTCCTCCTTCCCCGCTTATGAGCCAATTTGTCGTCAATTGTCCCACAGCTTGCTGTGCTGTAACGTGATTATCGGGGCGGGAAAAAAAGAACACTTTAACAAACAAAAAAAATAAAAATAAAAACCTCCAACTTGTATTACAATATGAATGGGTGTTTGCCAGGGTGCTTCTCGTCCTAGCAGGTCTTTTAGCCGAAAAACCAAACAAATATAACTAGAAAACGTCCTCTGCAAGGTAGCCGAACCTGAGGGTTAATTAGTGGGTATATACAGTTAATTTGGGTGGGATGGTCAGCAACAGTTAAGGAATACCCTTATGTTCTTTAGCCATGCTAAACCATCTATAACCACCCTTTCCATACCGATCGCAACCCACCCTGGACCATCTCTAACCCTCCCCCTGCCCACCATTGCTAACCATGTCTAAAGAAATTCAAGAAATAAAAAATAGTTTGGCCTAAAGAAACTCAATATAATGATGCACAGTTTCGTCTAAGGTAAACAGGCAAATAGGCTAGTGGAAGATCAGCAAGTCTACGCCTTGGCCTTGAAGTGGCAAAAACAAACAGAATCCATCTCAGAATTGATCCAAAAAAGACAAAAGGAGAAATGGACAAACTCTAGAGATAGCTTATATTACAAAAACCCTCACCAAAACTCTTCTCACTAACAGAATAGCCTAGACCTGCACACTGTGACCAATATTAGACTATTGTGTATTTCCATTGTCTAGAGCTTTTCAATAAGCTTTTTACCAGATCCCAAAGATTTTACAAGGACTACCGTGTAATTCAGTTTATCTGAATTGCATGGCGGCAGAGCTCTTGAAGATTCATCTGAACTTCAAAGCAGCTAGCAGATTTGAAGATTTATCTTAACTACAAGGCAGACTTCACAGCGCTTCTGTATGAATTACAAGCCAGCATTCAAAGTCCTAGAAGATCTATCTAAACTATAAGCCGCCCATCAGAGCTCCTGAAGTCTGTCTGAATACAAAGCTGAATTGCATTAGAAATGGGGACTGATTGTATGATCCCGGAAACAGTCTTCACAACTTCCTACAAAGTTTCAATGGACTATAAAGGAAAGGAAGAACACAGGAGAGCATCAGGTACAATGTATGGTATATAGATGGCTCCAAAACAAACGAAGGAACCGGATCAGGCGTTTTCTGTACAAGCCCAAAACATGAGCAAGCAAACTCATTAGGGAAGTACAGAAATACATGCCATCAATGCTTGTTCCCTGGAAAGTTTTAAAAGATTAAAAGACTGTCAAAAAAATCCTCATAAGATCTGATAGCCAAGCAGCCATTAAAGCATTAGCATGTAGAATCACATCAAAATTAGCCAGTGAATACATCCAAAATCTCCAAAACAACAACCTGATGATATCTTGGTGCCAGGGCACAGGGGAATTTTGGGTAACGAGAAAGCAGACAGTCTGGCCAGAGGGGTATCTGAAAGACCATATAGTCCCCGAACCTATACTTGGGATAGCAAAAACAAATATAGAATCCTCCATCACAGAATGGATCCAAACAAAACAAAAGGAGAAGTGGATAAACTCTAGCGGTGCTATATACTTAGTAAACTTATGATGAAACAACCCTCACCAAGACTGGCAAAAGCATTGCTGCAATTGGAGAGGGCCAAACTCCAGACTACTAACCGGTCAATGGCATCTGAGAAAACATCTACACAACATGGGCATATACAACGATGATCCCATTTGCAGATTATGTAATGAGGAGGAAACAGCCAATCATTACCATCTTTGAATGTGAAGCAATAGCTCAATGGAGGAGGTTTAACCTAACGTATGGAAAAAACTTGGGGAATCAAATTGCAGCAGCAACAGTCAATGACCTGATACTTCTAAGAAGAAGGATTGAGTCTATTGAATGAACTAAGGAACTAGGAAGAGGTACAAGGCCAGAAGGCTGCAGTGCCTGGGGAGCGCAAACCCCGCTTCCTAGTATGCTTTTGTACCATACCATATCTGAATTGCAAGGCGGCAACCAGAGGTCTTGAAGATCTGTCTGAACTACAAGACAGCCATCAGAGCAGTTGAAGATTTATCTTACCTACAAGTCAGCTTCACTTCTGTCCGAACTATAAGGCACATTCAGAGTTCGAGATCTGTCTGAACTACAAGGCAGTCATCAGATTACTTGAAGATTCAACTGAAATTCATGGCAGCCTTCAGAGCTCTTGAACATCTGTCTTTACTACATGACAGCCTTCATTGCTCCAAAAGATCTATCTGAATTACACAGCAGCCATCAGAACACTTGAAGATTTATCTGAATTGCATGGCGGCAGAGCTCTTGAAGATTAACTACAAAGCAGCCGTCATAGATTTGTAGATTTATCTTAATTACAAGGCACTCGAAGTTCTGTCCCAACTACAAGGCAGCACTCAGAGTTCCAGATCAATCTAAACTACAAGGTGCCCATGAGTTCCTGAAGTCTGTCTGAATACAAGGCAGCCTTCAGAGCTCTTGAAGATTTGTCTGAACTACAATGCACCCATCAGAGTACTTTAAGTTTATCTGAATGACACGGCAGCAGAGCTCTTGACTATTCATCTGAACTTTGAAGCAGTTATCAGAGATTTGAAGATTTATCTTAACTACAGTGCAGCCTTCACAGCACTTTTGTCCAAACTACAAGACAGCATTCAGAGTTCCAGAAGATCTATCTAAACTATAAGGTGCCCATCAGAGCTCCTGAAGCTTGTCTGAACTACAAAGCAGCGTTCACAACACTTGAAGGTTTATCTGAATTGCAAGCCGACAACCAGAGGTCTTGAATTAGAACTACACGGCAGCCGTTAGATGACGAAGATTTATTTGAATAACAAGGCAGCCTTCAGAGCACTTGAAGATTTATCTGAACAGCAAGGCAGCCATCGGATGTCTTGAAGATTCATCAGAAATTCAAGCCAGCCTTAAGAGCTTCTGAGCATTGTCTGAACTACAAGGCAGGGTTTTATATATATTTTAAAAAAAGCCAGTTTCATTAAAATGTTTCCTTTTTTTGTTTTTTGTTGGTTTTTTTACTCTTTTTTTGACTCTACAAAACAATGGAACACACATGGGGAATTTTTTCCTCTTTTTTTTTTTTTTTTAAATGCCTGTCTTCACATCACATTACCTAATAAGAACAATTCTAAAAACTTCCGCACGCGGTTTATTTTTTTTTCTTCCTAAATTAACAATAAATAAGAACAAAACATATATTTTACAACATTTTCAACAAAAAGATGTATGGGGGAAGAGGGTGGGGAAAGAAAATTAAGTTGTACTACAAACCGGGATTTCAGTAGTTATTGTCCTAAGTGATTTTTTTATATATAATTTTTTTTTTTTTTTAAGCTGTTTTCTCCAAGCAATTGAGTGCCAGAAGGACGAGATCTCTCCTGCTCGTACGCCGTTGGACTGTTTCACTTCCCGCATACTGCGCCAAGCAATTTCATGAGGCTCTCGGTCGACAGTGATTTCGGCCTTTCGATCGGTAGTCCGAGCGCTCTGTCCCAGACAAGTGACGCCATCACGCCCAAAGCCCTGGACACTCCAAACAAGACTGTGTAGTAGTTCATCTCTTTCATTCCATAATACTGAAAAACACAACATTATTTATATATAAAATAAAAAATTAATTAATTTAATTAAATTTAAAAAACAACCTGTAAGAGAACACCAGAGTGGGCGTCTACGTTTGGCCATGGGTTCTTGACCTTACCCGTCTCCATCAAAACAGGAGGGACGACTTTATACACTTGAGACACCAACTGAAATTATTTTATTTTTAATTTTTTTTAAACTCGATTTTTTTTAATGTCTCACCTTGAACATGGGGTCCTTTGGTAGGTGCTTCTGAGCAAATTCTCTTTGGCATGTGTACCTTGGGTCTGTCTTCCTGAGTACAGCGTGACCATAGCCGGGTATGACCTGGCCGCTCTTGAGCGTCTTTGTCACGTACTCCTTCACCTTTTCGTCCGGAATGTTTTCGCCGAGTTCGCGTTTCATCTTAGTAAGGAAGACGAGTACCTCCTGATTGGCGAGGCCATGGAGCGGGCCTGCGAGGCCGTTCATACCGGCCGCGAACGACAGGTACGGGTCAGAGAGGGCAGATCCGACAAGGTGGACAGTGTGAGCTGACACGTTCCCACCCTCATGATCACTAAAAAATAATAATAAATTATTAATTTAAAAATGTCCAATGAAAAAAAAAAAAAAATCAGATTTGCAAAATCCTACTCTCATACAACATTCAAGTGCGAACCGGTGTGTACGAAATTCTTTTGAAACTATATCCGACAGTGTAAAACAATCGTCTGATATCCTAGAACCGTTACATACAGTAACAACTAGAATCGAGCACCTATCTTGGCCAATCAAAAGAGTTAACTCACTTCCTGAGCAAGCGATGAATCACACTTGAAGTTTTTTTTTTTCTGACAGCTCTTTGCTCCTATAGCTCTATGTTCCTACAGCTCTTTGCTCATACAGTTCTGTGCTGCTACAGCTCTGCTCATACAGTTCTATGCTGCTACAGCTCTTTGCTCATATACCTCTATGCTGCTAGTTCTTTGCTCATATAGCTGTATGCTGCTACAGCTCTTTGCTCATATAGCTCTATGCTGCTACAGCTCTTTGCTCATATACCTCTATGCTGCTAGTTTTTTGCTCATATAGCTGTATGCTGCTACAGCTCTTTGCTCATACAGTTCTGTGCTGCTACAGGTCTTTGCTCATACAGTTCTATGCTGCTACAGCTCTTTTCTCATATAGCTCTATGCTGCTAGTTCTTTGCTCATATAGCTCTATGCTGCTTGTTCTTTGCTCATATAGCTGTATGCTGCTATAGCTCTTTGCTCATACAGCTCTATGCTGCTACACCTCTTTGCTCATACAGCTCTATGAGAGATGTTTCATCTCCACTAACGAACAGAGTGAATTAATGCATTTGATCAGCTCGTGAGCCAAGTCAATCAATAAAAGAACCGTTTTAAGGTTGCTTCAGAGTCCTGCGATAATTTTAGATTTTCGGAAATCGTGAGCCATTAGCTCTTGAGCTACCCTAGTCGAATCTGATAACCATTTCAGGCGAATTGAAAATTTTGAAATTTGCTCCAGGCATAACTACGAATCAAATCACCTGTGTATCGTCAGGTAGAGACGCATCAGTTCGGTGAACTCCTGACTCTCGAATCCGAGCATCGACGTGAAGTTCCAAGACCAGTCACGACAGGTATCTATTGCGCCGATCCCTTTCCCGTCCTGGTACGTGTTTCTATAGATTGTCGCAGCTATAACAGGAAGTTTGGATATCAAGTCCATGGCATCTTCATATGTGTGCTGTGAAAATACAGGTCAATATATACTTTTCTTTTTTTTTTTTTTTTTGCTTTTAAAAGAAAAACAAATATGATAAAAATAAATAATATGTATTGGATATGGTACATTATTCTATTACCCCATAGAAGGTCGTCGCTTTCTTAAATTTTACATTTTATCCGAGATTATTGTTATCTTTCGTTTCGTTAGAAGGTTGTACTATGTTAAAAATGCGGTTTTGCAAGAGGACTTTTTTTCCTTTGTTATAATAATAAAAAATTATTACCTCCCAGTAAAGGGCTTTTTTGATGCCAGTAGAGTAGGCTTTGGCAAATTTACTTTCGGTGTTCATCGCTGTGATGGCTGCACTGAACTGGGACATGGGGTGGATCCTCTGAGCCGGGAAGTTGTTCAGCATCGTGACAACGTGTGGAGGTAGTTCAGCCCGTTCAGCCCACGACTTGGATAATGAATCAACCTAAAAACAATAACAATAAAACTCACATTGGGTTAAAAAAAATTTTAAAAAAGAGGGTCAACCTGAGCTTTGGTCGGGACGTCGCCGGTGAGCAGGAGCCAGAACAGGCCTTCGGGCAAAGGTTCCTCGCCGTCTTTCGCCTTTGGCAGTAGTTTCTGGCATTCAGGTATCGAATAGCCCCTGAACCGTATTCCCTCCTCCGGGTCGAGTACGGACGTCTCGCATACGAGGCTCTTGATCCCGCGCATCCCTCCATACATCATGTCAACTGTAACGTCGCCAACTTTCGTCCCACCGTATGACTTCCTGAAGTTCTTAACCTTTTCCACCTCCTTGGGGATTTTTGTCGCCAGGATTCCCTTTAGATCGGTGCTTTCGGCACATATCGCCCTTTTAAATATCTGTGGTACTACACCCTGAGGAGAAAAAAATTAAAAATATGTATAGTCATTGCATATAAATTAAAATAACTTATAAATGAAAACATTTTCTACAATTCTACTAATAATTTGATACTCTGTGGGTTATATTCCACCTCGTAACATCATAAATGTTACGGCAGAGTGGCTGAGCAGTACTGAGGAATGGAATGGCAAGGAGGCAAGACCAGATGCAGCACACCCGCTGGGCCCTCCCCTTACTCCATTAATGCATATATACCACTGCCGAGTTCCACCCCCCTCCAAATCTGGTGTCCTAGCAGTGACCCGATGCTCTCAAGCCATCACCAAGCTCAATCCACCTCATACCCAGCTGCTAGAGTGATTTAAATTTGCAGATATTCATTGGGTTGGATTTCACCATCCTTCGTCTGGACAGACCAGCGAGGGTAGACAAACCATGGCTATCAGTGAGGTGTGAAATTGGAAAGAGCAACTATAAGCGATTTGTATGAACAGGAGAGGTCTTAAGGGTGGTAACAAGTGTAAAGACTTAAATGTTAACAGATCATAAATATAAGAAGTGGAATGAAGAATCCTGTGATAGGATGGCCGTTTTAAACCAAGGTGGAGGGAGATTATCTGGGTAGATAAATACAAACCGAAGGGATTCTCTTGACCAGGAGATTCCAGGTGCCGATTGAGAAGAAGCGGCTGAACCGGTGGAGATTTTGGAATCTTGTTTTCAGTATTCGATCAAGGACTATCATAATGGATCAGTTGGTTGCTAATGCAGAGCGTTATCGAAACACTATACCCCTGGTACTTATTGATATTAGGTTGCTCCGATTCGTGTGATAGAAATTTGTAAGTCATAAGGAGAAAAGTTGTGACAAGAGTTGGAAGTCATCTGAGTGCAACATTTTACGATATAAGGAAAATCGATGTTACACCTAAAGTTGGATGTAGATATACTGGCTTCTGTAGGGCGAAAAGCTACAACAGCAAAGAGCTGTATGAGTCCCAGGGCATTGTAGGAGTAGTAATACACAGGTATACCATGTAGTACCATATACAGATGGGTAGGCATGGATGCTTGCCTATGCTAGTGTATGTTCTCTGATTCGGTCAGACCCTACCATTATCAGACAGTCCAAATACAAATATTTCACCGAGTAGTATTCTACTATCGTTCCAGACTGACAGAGTTTTTTTCAGTCATGTCCCACCCATGTCGGATTTGACGACCACTTCACCCGAGAAAAACAGCAAGGATATTCAGGCCAAAAAAATCATAATCGACCCTAACTCTTAGAAAAGTAATTTGATCATCTCGGCGATCATTTGAACGTCCTCGCTATCTCGGTCTGTCAGATGGCGAGTCCCTCATAATTTGGGTGGGGTCTGACCAAACCCAAAAACGATTTTGGAAATATTTGACAATGAAATTTATAAATTTGCATCCAATACGACCAAAGGACCTGACTGAATTGGAGAATGTTATTGTCCTCCATAAATTAAAAACAAATAATCAAGTAAGAAGATTGAAAATAATTAAAATTAAATCATGAGATTTCCTCTTGTGTAGACACCGATGGCAAAATGTTGAAACGCGTCTTTAACACTTTATTCCATGCTGGTACATCATATCATAACAGCACACTTCTTACACATCGATGTACTGATCTGTTTCATCCCAACACTCTTTCATCCTATGTCAGACTATATGATCCAAATGTGATCATATATGACCTATTACGAGACAAATCAGATCTGTAATTAAGGTAAAAAGTGTTTGGTAATATTTTCAACATTACTCTGACAAAACTAAGTTACGTAATTTTTTTAAAAATATATATATGAATTGTAATTACTCATTTACACGTATTTAGACCATGTAAAGATATACTTTCTGGAGTTCGGTTCGGTTGCAAATCAGGTTTTCTGATAAGATAAGCCGCCCTTGGCCGCATGTTGCAAAAAATTTTTTTTTAATTGTGCAATTACAACTTGCCAAGAGGTGTGACCCGGATAGGATTTTTTTCTCTTTTCTGAATTCTGAACGTGAATTTTTATCGTTGTCTGACAAGATGGTTATTTGTGCCTGTAGGTCTTTTAATTTTGTGCAATTTTCATTATGGAGTCGACATTGATCCCCCCCTTTATAGGTCGTATTTTTATTTATTTGTTTATTTTTTTGGAACAGGAGTTAGGTAAAAACAATAATAATTGCAAGGTCATAATTGGAACAAACAATAATTTGTTTTTCCCTGGTTCAGCATTTTTTTAACATCAACATTGTATTAAAATAGTTTAATTTTTTTTATTGTGAAAAATTGTACTTAAAATATAATCTCGATTTTTTTTTTTTTTTTTTAACTAAGTGAATTCTTTCAGAATGTAGATGGAGATGTAATATCACAGAGTAATGCACTTGATGGCTGTGGTATCTCCCGTTCCGAACTATAACACTCCAGTTAGAACTAGTCCTACAAGAAAGTTATTTCCTTCTTTCCTTCCTTGCTTGATAAAAAGTTCTTGGATTGTTAATAGATAGCTGATAGTGTGAATCCCTATGGCTTAGTAGGGCTCAGAGGTAGCAGCCTACATCCTTGCAAATCCGCTCTCTTATTGCCCTCTATTCTTATGTGTCCCCTGGGAGTCATACAGCACAGCTCTTCCTCATACAGCTATGCTGCTTAAGCTTCTTTGATCATATAGCTCTATACTGCTATCCTACGATCCTACATCTCTCCACTCACTCATGCGGTTCTACAGCTTTTTGCTCCTACTGCTATTTGCTCATACAGCTCTTTGCTCTTAAAGCTCTTCGCTCACTCCTCTTTGATCCTAGACCTCATCGCTCCTACAGCTTCACACTGAATTCAATTAATTATTCTTTTTATGTAAGGTCTTGGTTGAGATGAAAAAGTAGCATTGCGAGCGGGATTCGAACCCACAACCTTTGGTTAAATACGCCACTGCTCCAACCACTTGAGCTCTTTGCTCATATAGCACAATGCTGCTACAGCTCTTCCTCATAAAGCTCTTCGCTCCAACACCATATTTTTGTATTTCTGATACAGAGAGTTCTACATATATGTTATATACCAGTGAATATCACCTTGGAAAATTGATCATGCAACCTGGAGTTTTTGACAGCTCAAAATTTGGCCCTTTGACTCCACCCTCTCCAACCTATGTTACATTTTAGTCTATACAATAATAAGGCTCTGTTAGTTTCCGGATATCCAACCAAGTTCTTACTTTTATGTCGGAAATACCTGTCGAAAATTTTCTTTTAATTTCATTTTATAGGATTGTTTTTAGCCATCTTTTTAGCATCTTGTTGTGGATTACTCTTAGGTCACATTTTATCTGCTGAAATAGTCCCAGTAATGTTAAGACATGCCAATCGTAATTTCTTTAATTGATCCTACTTTTATTTATTTACTTTATAATGTTTTGTCCACCATACTAGGGTTCCATATGTGGCCAGATATACAATATTAGCCAGTGGGCACTTTCAGATGGCTATTTTAGCCCACTAAGAACCTTAGCCAGTATTTTTAAACCGCCAGCTGGTCAATTAATCCAAGCGGGTTTCTATTTACGTCAGAGCATGGAGGTGGATTTGGATTCAGCAAAACGTTTCCTTCCTTTAAAGAAATGATCTGATGCAGTGATATTGTCCCAATTTTTTTTTTTTTTTTTGCAAAGGTTTGTTGAATTCAAATTAGAAAAGCAACTAATTTTGAACAAGTTGTGAATGAAAAATGGCTCACAGTTGTGACCATGGACTAGAAAAACAACCGTGTTTTTAGCATTATGAATTAAAAATATTTATTTTTTAATAGGTGCCAGTGTATATCATAATCTTGGATTAAAGATTGAATTCAATATTTAAAGACTCCACTCGATAAAAGAATACTACTAATTTTTTTTTTTTTTTTTTCAACGTATCGCTTCCAGGTTTATCAAAGGATAATTTCATGACATCCGATACAAATTTCTATTAATTATCTCTTGACCCCTTGGACCAGTTATCTGTTCGAAATCCCTGGCGTGTGTTGATCCCGTGATATCCTTACGCTCACAGTCAGAGCGGGAAAGCATACCAGCCTGCCGTCGTCCCACGCTCTGGTCTATCATGCTAGGAAAACTTTTCGAGACCGATTTGCAGTTTGTACTAAGAAGTGTGGACAGCGGTACCTGAGTGTTTAAAGAGTCAGACTCTCACCTAGTCCCAGTCATGGGTTCGATTCCCACCATCGCTTATGGATTTTTCTGACCGAACGCCACAACGTCGACACTACACTCAATGGAAGGTCAGTTGGGTCTCAGAGACCCCTCAATGGCTCAAATTACATGTGTGCAACCTTCCGAAATGGAACCAGGAAGGAATGAAATAAGCTGTAACTCCTCCACAATCATCAATGAATGGTTGGAGATTATGCAACGAAAACTGAGCAGTACAGAAGTCAGGCTCCTAGTCGCATACAGAGTTCTAGTGGCCAAAAACACTGGACAAGCTACAAATACTATAAAGACTAACAGTGTATTAATATCAAAAGAGGCGAGGCTTTCAAAATTACCAACAGACTCCTGAGATATAAGGAAATAAAGCCAGAACTGAGGAGCCATCAGTTTATCATTTCTAACTACACATATTACAAATGTGATCACAAAAAGTCACAGCACTGACCTAATGCCATCGCTGCACTCCACGTGGGAGATCCCACAATGGTTCTATATATTCCGCAGTGGAGGATTTTTTATAAATCCTTACTCAATGCCACAAACCTCCAGCAACAAATAAATGCCTTCTAATAACTTTGAGTATGACCACTGCCGCATATTTTCGTTATTGTTGTATGTGACCGCGTAAAACCACTTTGTTATTCGAAAAAGCCAATTGTTCCTAATGATCCTATTTCCTGTGATTAAACAGAAGGCGTGAACAATTTGCATAATATGAAACGGATCGTTAAAACCGACCAAGACATTTTTTCATGTAATTGTCTCCAAACGACAATCATGGTGTTTAAAAATACACATTAAAAAAAAAAAAGACAAACAAATTGAAAAATTACAAGTGCTTCCCCACTCAGACTTCAACTTTTACATAACTCGTTGGCTAAGGCGTTAAAAAAATTGAGGAAAATCTGTCCACCAGCATTTGTATGCTAACAGAAACCTGAAAAACGATTGTGTTTGTTTTAGGTTTTCTTTCTTTGGCCATGTGCCCTTGGGTTACATAAAAATTGGCCCAATTTAACCTCAAGGCCTTTTAACACGATATTCTTCTTTTTTCCCAAATTCAAGTCAGAAAAAAAAATTTTCCACATGTAAATATGTAAAAGCATTTTCTTTCTGTCGATCTACTACAAATAGTGCCCATACCACAAATGTAATCCCCCCCCCGACATTTTTATTACAATCTGCAATTTTTGGTTAAAATATATAACTTCATGTTAAGTACTCCTCAGAAAGGAGACCACAGGACATTTGATCTTGACATGTCTTATGGGATGGGTCTGTCGGACGGCTTGGCAGGTCATGGGAGAGATTATTGTGAAATTTGGTAAATTTGTGAAACATTGGATTTTGGATAAATTGGAGATTTTAAGGTTGTTGTGGAGACGCCTTATAGCACAGGGATGGGTTCTGTCGGACAAGGCTTGGCTGGTTCATGGAAGAGATTATTGAGAAATATGGTAAATTTTTGGAAAATCAGATTTTGGGTAAATTGGAAACTTAAGGTCGTGGTGGAGAGAAATGTTTGGAGACATAATATGTTGCGTTTACAGTTTATCAGAGGACTTTAGACTAAACAAAGATGTCAGAAATTGTAAGGTTTTGCATTTTCCAATTATTTTTGTTTTCCCTGATTGTTTTTTGTCGATAGCTTGGATCGCCATCGTTTTAGCTGTGTATGCTGAATGCTCAGTTGAACGTGAGTCGAGGTTGGACCCAAGTAACGAACGCAGTATTTTGGGGATATTGTTGTATATTATGAGAATTTTGCTTCAGAGTGTAAGGTGACATGGGCACACTTGCGTCACATTTACATGTCTCGCTACAGATCTGAAGAGTACCCTATGGTACCCTATGGTACTCTTGCAGTATTCAGTGTAAATAGATCCTTGTCGGACTCGAAAAAAACGGTTCAGTTAGACAAGAGTGGAGGATTAAGTAGAGGGTATTTGGAAGGGCATACAAGATACAAATAAAAAAATTATTGCTATTATCTTAACAGTGTGCACACATGTAAGTAAAATTCATGATTGATTTAAAAAGTGGGTAAGTTTAAAATGGATATTCATTCTGCACGCAGAAGGTCATCCTGAGGGGCAAATGTAAAAAAAATGCCAACCCCCCCCCAACAAATTTATAAAATATTTTAACTTTTTAAAATATTTATTTAATAAAAATAAACAATGTATTAACCTATTATTGTTTGAACCGGATGGCATATAATTATAATAGATTTTAAAAGAATTTAATGTTAAAATTCTAACATTAAAATTTGTTCGGTTGGTAGGACTGATGTAAAACTGTCAAGTGCCACAAATTTACAGAAACGTACAAGATGGTCAATACAAATGTACAACTATTGTCTACCAGTATATATATATATACAATATTATAATGAGATAATGCCATAAATAAGATAAAACTGATTTAAAAACTGGGTAAGTTTTCAAATGGATAGAAATTTGGTGAGTGGAAGGTCAACCCGAGGGGAAAATGTCGAAAATGCCAACCCCCATAAATTTATAAAACATTTTAACATAGTTTAATATTTATATAATAAAAAAAAAATTAAAAACTGTATTAGCCTATTATTTGTTTAAACCGGATGGCGTGTAATTATCACATAACAGATTTTAAAAGAATTTAACATTAAAGTTGTAACAATGTAAAAAATTTGTTCGGTTGGTAGGACTGATGCAAAAACTGTCAAATGCCGCAAATTTTCATAAACATCCAAGATGGACGATACAAATGTATAGCTACTGTCTACCAGTGCATACATGTAAGTAACATACAATATTATGAGACGTCAAAAATAAGATAAAACATTTAAAAATTGTATGTTTTAAAATGGGTATTCAAGGGCAAGGTGGGAAGGTCAGCCCCAGGGGTCAAACGTCAAAAAATGCCGACCCTCCCTCCACCAGCCAATAATGTAATAAACTTTTAATTAAAGCAATAAGACAATTTTAAAGATAAAAAGGTCATGGGGTGTCAGAAAGTGACTTGTAATCGTTACTAGACTATGCTCGGGGGACAGTTGGAACAGTCGGGAATTTTTCACGCGGTCCTTAACCGGCGGTTAAGGGGGCGGGGTGTAGAATTTAATTTTTAAAAAAATATGCAAAATTTATATAGTCGGTTTTTTTAATTATTATTAACATAATTATTATTACATATGTTCATACAAGTGAAAATAGGTCGGGAAATTGATTTTCTGAGGGGCGTAACGTGTAGTTTTTCCAAGCTAGAACAGTGTTGCCCTTGACACGGATCGGGTTTTTCCACGGGTAAAAACCAAAATCCAGCCCAACTTTTCGGAAGAGGGGATGAGAAAAAAGTTCCTCGTGCCGGGTGCAGTAGTCCTAATTATCCACATCACTTTTATGATATTAAGACGGACAGGTTTAAAGATTCATTATAATAAAAAACCTCTTAGGAAAACTGTAATTTAGTTTTTCTTTTATTTAATAGCTTATCGATTCAGGGCAATTGGGTTGGGAGATTCGGTGAAAAAAAGCCGATTTACCTGGTTGAGCTCAGTGAGCCTGTTTGCCGAGACTCTGAACAACGCCATATCCTGATCCACGCGATTATCTTCGGTTGAAAAAAAAAAACTTAAATAAATAAGCTCGAACCCCGTACTTGATTGCGAGAAGACCACGACTCAAATCGGACTCGGGCCACAAGTGAAAAGGCAGACCGGGTCACGTGACGGGCAGTGCCCCCTTGAGTCTTGACTCGTCGTCACGAGGTGGAACCGATACGGTGGGGAAAAAACAAAATCCGGACGGGAATTTATCGATAGTTGTTTGTCCCCTTTTCGACCAATACGTGCTTCTGCGAAATTGCTCTTCTGCAGAAGGCTCTCTTCTCCAATCTCAAATAGAGATGATAGGTATACTCTTATTACTAAATTCTACCAAATTACACCAACATGCCGAACTGCGACTATGCTGCCATCTTGTAGAATCTGTCCTAACTCAAAAATCAAGGAACTCAAATTTTCCAAAAGCTTATTTAAAAAAAATTCGAGTTCCAATAAAACATAATAAAAAATTACTACCCTCCCGTGGTGAATTAAATATCACCCTGCCCACTTCTATAAAATTCACAACTTAAATCAACCCCCATTTTATATTCATATCATAAAAAAACATGAGATTTCATAACTTACCGATTACTGCAAGTCTGATCTGATAATGGAGAGACCTGCACTTGACCATCCAAAGCTTAATAAGGCAAAAGAACCAACAATCAATACCGAAAGCCTGATTTGATAATAGAGAGACCTGCAACTGGTCATCCAAAGATTAATAAGGTAAAAGAACCAACAGTCTGATCCGATTACCATTACCAGTAATACATATAGCCAGATCCAATAACCAATACCTGTATTCAACTACGACAATCAATACCAACATCCTGATCCGATAATAGAGACTTGCAACTGGCCATCCAATGCTTAATTCAGGCAGCCATATCCAACAGTTAGGAAACTTACAACCAGCCATCCAATGGTAAATTCTGCCGACAACAGCCAGTCCTGAAAGTGGGAAATGTTTGGGTAGGCGATAATTCCAGTTGCCTTGCATATAAGAAAAAGGTAAAATAAGAAATAACTATCTCATTTATTATAATTTTTAAAATAATCAAACATTCCAAATAATTTGGTTAATTTTTGTTTTTTTTAAATCTATATAAGAAAAAATCAAAAAAACACTAAATTTGTACTCAACAAGTCTTTTTTTTTGTACCGACTCAACTTTTTAAGTTAGAGATATATTTAAAACGATGTTTTCTCATTATGAAACATTTCTACACTTAAAGACTATTTTTTTTTCCAATGATGAAAACGTAAAGACAAATTCACGCAAACTTAAAACTAAAAAAGACAAAAAAAAACAGTTGTAATTCTATCATCTTCTGAAGTATTAAACTTCACACTTTATGAGAATTGCAATCCTTTTTTTTATTATTTACATTAATATAATATTTAAAATGCTGATTTTACATATTGCCATTTTATTTATTAAAAAAAGAAAAAATTATTGCATTTTTTGGGTAGTAATAATATTTAAAGTTAAAGTCTTATCGTTTTTGACTATAAATATAGATATATATATATTTTTTTTAAATAATAATATAAATTTTAATGCCATGTTTGATGGGGTTTTAAACACTCGGATCCATTTTTTTTTTTTTTTTTTTTTTAGTTTTGCCTGAGTTTAAATTTAATGAACACTTATTCAGCCTTCTTCTTAATTTTATATTTGTATTTTCTGATCAGCATTTTGGCCCTTTGCGCTGATATATCATTACGTTCTCCCCGACCCGATCGTCCATCGTGTAGTACGAGTGGAACAACGTTCCAACAAGGGTGAAGTTGTTTGAGAAAAGATAGTTTGTTATGTTCAGCCTGTCGAATTTGACAATGTGTGTCGGGAGGGTGCAAGGCCGCGAAGACGCGAACTCTCGCTTCAGCCATCCGACTGGCTCTTTGTAAAACAGGTCGGCTTCGTCTACGTAATTCTTGACGCCTGAAAATCAAGGTTTTTAAGATAAAAAAATATCGATCAAATACTGAGTCTTGACTCACCTAGAAGGTTAGGCTTGCAGGTTAAATGGCGTGTCGATACGTTGGTATGGAGATGGCTGTAGCCCGGAAAAGTATGGCAAGGGGCGAGGTAGAGGATGTCGGCTTTTGTGTTGTTCCGGGCCATCGCGCCTAGACGGTTCACAGTATCCAATGTGCCCATCTGGTGGAACTGCCCCAAATAAATGAGTGCGACGGTGTGAACACTGATTATTATCGTGCCAACTGTGTACAGCCAAGTGTAGCTGGTGCTGGAGCTCCACCTGCTCAGTACAGACGAGCTTAGATAGATCATCATCGGCACGAGCGGTAGTAAAAATCTAAACTCCTTGTGCGGGCAGAGCGAGAAGAGAAATACACTCCAGAGTACGACAGCTGTCAACTGAACCTCGACATCGTACTTGAGAAACCTAAGCCTTTTCACCGTCTTAAACACCGCAAATAAAAACGGTACAGTGTGTAAACCAAGAACGACAGGCAGTCCGCAATACAAATACCACACTGGATCATGAGTACCGTAGAATGAACCAATATTCTGAAGAATATTAAATCTAAAAAAATATATATTATTAATTTGATAATTATACAAAATATATTGAAGACGTACTTGAAAAAGTTCCAAGGTGTGATAGTCAGCGTTCCATACATGAAGGAGTCGAAGCCAACGCAGGCCATACTCACGACTAAGGCAAGAGGCAGATAGCTAGTGAGGAAGTAAAGGAGGGGCGACTTGTCCGTGAAGATGTTAGTGAGGACAAGAGGGAGCCAAGTGACGACAGCAGTCGGCCGGATGAAACAGACTAGCGTCACAAGGAGGACGAAGAGTGAACTGCCGGTTTTTGGCGTCCAAGGGTAGTAGTAGAGTGCGACAGTCGTCAAGTTCATCTCGAGCGTGTTGCTGAGCGTACGCGTCGAACAGTATGACACGAAAGTGCACGTGATCCACGAGAGGAACGCCCAGCCGTACTGGCCATTGCGTCTTTCAGCAACCCATCTGAAAATTAAAAATATGATTAATGTGAACCTTTTCGTGCAGAAATGCAACAGGAGATAGTCTTATCTCTATCTTGTTTTCCTAGATTTTTTTTAAGGACTTATGCTCGAGTATACATCCCTACTTATGCTTAACCATCCTTAGCCATTCCTAACCATCCCTCAGTAACATCTCTAACTACCCTTAACCATCTCTATCACCTCCTACTTTCAACTAGCCGTCCCTACCTCCTCTTATACTTACGATACTTTTTAACTACCCTACTCACCTTGAACTAATCGCCCTTTATCATTTCTATCTCTTCCTACTCTCAACTAACCATCCCTACCTACTCTTACATAACCATTTCACCCTTTATGATGTCTAGTAACCCCATTAACCATCCCTAATCATCCCCAAGACAACCATTCCAATGGATTTTGTCTTGGTGCAGAATATTCAGAAAATTGAACTTTTAAGGTGGGGGAATTGGCAGTTGCTCTGGCTGTACAACCTTTCTGAAGGATTTTGTTTTGGAATCCAAAATACCAGGAAATTGAACTTTTTAAGAGGGGGTGGCAGTTACTCTGGTGTGGTTATAGAGATAATTGTTGACTTGTTCCAGAATAACTGTCACCTCTACTTCCTCCAAAAAGTTTAATTTTCTATTAATTCAGGACCAAAACAAAACCCACATCGGAAAGGTTGTCTTGTTCCAGAATAACTACCACCTCAAAAAGTTCTATTTTCTGGATATTCTATACCAAAACAAAATACATCAAAAGGTTTTCTTGTTCCAGAATATCTGCCACCTTCTCCCCCCTTAAGAAAGTTCTATTTTCTGTATGTTCTGACTCCCCCACCCAAAAAAAAAATCCTTTGGAAAGTTGTCTTGTTCCAAAATAACTATCACCTCTACTTCCTCCAAAAAGTTTAATTTTCGGGATATTCTGTACCAAGACAATATCCAATGAAAGGTCCTCTTGTTCCAGAATCACTACTACCACCGCCCCCTTAAAAAAGTTCTATTTTCTCGATATTCTGACGCAAAAAAAAAATCTTTCGGAAAGTTGTCTTGTTCCAGAATAACTATCACGTCCACTTCCTCCAAAAAGTTTAATTTTCTGGATATTCTATACCAAGACAATATCCACTGAAATGTTCTCTTGTTCCAGAATAACTGCCACCTCTACCCCCTCTTTAAAAGTTCAGTTTTCTGGCTATCCTAGACCAAGGCAAAATCCAATAAAAAGTTCTCTTGTTCCATTAAAAAAAAATCTTTAAAAAAAGATTATATTTTTCTTTTTCTGATTATTTAACCTTTTAATTGGTATTTTAATTAATTTTGATGATTTAATTATTTTCCTTGAAAAATTAATAGTAGGGAGGATGCAGTCTGCTCCAGCTAGGCCATGTTTAAATTTTGCGCTTCGGTTTATATCGGGAGAAGGTGGTGTGGTTACCGGGCCTCGCCCCTTCGTGTCATAACAACAACAATTCAAAAAGGGAGGTTTAAGTAATTTAAAATAATAATTATTATAATTACCTTAGAAAATAGACGTCCCCCAGGGCTGAAATTAGGGCCTGGAGTAGCCTCGGCGCGAAGACGACCAACTCCGGTGTGTCGATCTGGGCCCATCCGAGCAGCCTGTAAAGGGCGGCGAACATCCCCGGATGTAGGTAGCTCCTCACGCCGTTGACCCATTCCCAGGTGAGGAAGCCGAAGCCGAACGCCTGCCTGTGAGCGACCTCCAACGACTGCCAGTACTCGTCCGGGACGTAGGACCCTTTGACCCAGACCAAGTCGACGAGCCTGAAGAAGAGGGTGATGAGGAGGCAACGGACGGGAAAGCCGTCGTACGGGATCAGCGGCTTCTGGCCGTACATCGCGGAATCGGTCGTTCTTGTATTCAGAGACGGGACACCGACGCGGTAACTGACCGGCGGGGATCGGAGGTTGGAGGTTAGCCCCACGCAGAGCGGCGTCGGTCCGAGTGTGACGTCATCATTCATCAAAACCGTTGTACTGCAACGGTTGCAAGACCGTTGACTCCAACTTATCATCCATATGACCTCGGGCTTCAGAAAACCCCCTGACTGAATGTCAACTTTGACTCTGTCAGTTTACTTATTTGACCAAATGTGGACAGGCTGATGTAGAAAAAAGATAGATCTGTTTTTACAAGGATATTTCAACTAGGAGTTATACGAACCCGTGCTGATGTTTTGAAAAAAAAGTTACTTTGTCTAGGGTTCGAATTCAGAGCAGCTGAAAAAAGGTAGTTTGAAGATTACACATTGGTTCAAAAATTATTTTTAAAAAAACACTCGAAATTCATATAACGAAATTATTCTAAAAAACCATGATGTATTATCCGAACGTACTTGAAAGTTCGGTACTTTCCGACAATACCTCCTTACGCTCAACTATGCCCAACTGCCAATGACTTTCTCTTTTCGCCCATAATTATAACTTCTATCTCTAACCATTGTTAAATAACCATCACTGTCCGCTTAACCATACCTAATCAGCCCTTCCTACACTCAGCTAATCTTCTACAACCGCCCTCAACCATATACCATCCTAATCTAACTAGCCCTTCTTACACTCAACTAAGGTTTACAACCGTCCTTAACCATATCAAACCGCTCCAAATCACCGTTAACCATTTCTAACTGCCCGTAACCGTATTTAATCAACCCTTCCTACCTTAACCAACCTAAACAGCCCTTTCCACACTCAACTAATCTAATACAACTGTTTTTAACCGTATCAAACCACTCCTAATCACCGTTAACCGTCATGCCTTTCATGTACTGTACCTAAGCCGTATTCGGCTCTTTACAGTTTGGTGGCTGATTTTTATATGTTCACTGCTTTTTTATTTTTGACGGAAGCATTTTTATTTGCGTGTATGAATGACGGTCGCATCTCTCTCACTCCTGGCGAGCTCTTGGTTGGTATCCAGGATGGGCCTCGCGGAGGCGGCTCGCTCGGGATATCAGGAGGAGGAGGAATAGGCCTTGTATTGTTTTGCATAATAATTGTAGATTCTATCTCAGTCTTTGAAAAATAAGGGGATCTGATTTATATCACTTGTCGTGGCATCAATATTAATTTCGAAATGGTCTACTCGACGATGTAGTGCCGTAGACATGACCACGAGGTCTACTGCCGACTCACCTTGTGCAGCACTGTAAGTGGGTGGCGAATCCGCGGCATTCAACAGTAGGAGCCCTGCATCCTCTATGAAGTCAATAACAGTATCACCTCGCCTATCTGGTCGGGCATCTCCCTACGCCGGATGGTGGTTGTTGAAATCCCCTCCAATAATTACGTTCCTCGATCCGTGCTTCTCCAAAAGACGCCGGATCCGAGAGATGTCCTCCTGAACATCTCGGCGCCTGTCAAAGTAGACAGATGCGAGTATAATTTGCTTGTCAGCCCACTCTATGAGGCAACATGCCATGTCTTGATTGTTTTCCGGCAAGCTGATGGTCTTAATGTTTCTGTCCGTGATGTAAATCGCTGCCCTAACTCGGACAGGATCCTTACATCTGACCACCCTTTCCATAGAGCCCATGGCTCTGTCGATGCCCTGACGCCACGGTTCCTGGACCAAGAAAATGCTTATTTCTTGGTTTTGAGCTAGGACTCTCGCCTCGCAACTGACAGTTTCTGAGCCGTGACAATTTAGTTGAGCGATTTTTAGAAATTTTATTGGGTCTCTACTTGTGCCATTTGTGTTGCGTATATGTTCTCTGTTGATATCGATCATTGTGTGTTTGGTGCAGTGTTTTCTTGTGTGTTGTCAGTGTCCATATCTATTAAATTCGCTCGACTATTTTGTTGGGTTGATGTACCGTTATTGTATTTTTTGTTATGTCCGGGGTGTTTGTCTCATCTCCATAATCCGTTATGTTCCGTGCTCTAGTAAGAGCCTTCAAATGAATTTGGCACAGTTTTGAGATTGCATGGTGATTGCTATTATTGAGGCCTTGATTCAGGCAGTTCGCGCACTTTACTTTTGACCTGTCGCAGCTTCTGGTATCGTGATTTGAAGCACATATACCACAAGTCGGCTCTTTTTTCGGGCAGTTGGCTGCGACGTGTCCGTAAAACTGACAGTTGTAGCAACGCGTAACACCAGAGTATTCTTTCACTACACATGACTGGTAGTCTAAATACACTTTTCCCCTGTCGATGGCGGATTTCCTGGTTTTCGGGTCTACCTCCACGACCCATGACAAATTGGGAATCTTGTCTTGTGCCAGTTCCGTATCTTACGGTGAAAAGAGGTCACACTGCTTTTGGCATCCATATTCCTTCTGCGCTGTTATTTGCGAATGAGTTGTTCTGCAATTTGTGTAGGCGTGTGTTCTTTCGGTGTTCTGAGGATTAGCAATCTAGGGTGTCTTTTAGTGGCTATGCGTGCCGTGAAACCGGCTTGTTGTAGCTGTTGATTAGCAAAAATTGCCTGTCGATCAGCAGTTGATTCTGTCTTAATTGCTATTCCTCCTTTAGCTGTTATTCGTATGTTATCTACTCTAATTTTTGTTTGTCTATTAACCAAGTGTTGCTTGACCTGTGTAAGGAGGTGTGTTGTGTCCATGTTTTCTTGTGGGTCAATATATACAATTTTGTCAATGTTATCTGTTGTGTTGTTCAGTGAGGCTTGTTTAGTGTTTTTCTGAGGAGTACGCTTGTCAGATGATTTTGTTTTGTTTCTTCTGGCTACGACTGTCGACCATGTTTGTTCTGTGTTTCTTTTTTCGATTTCTGAGCTGTTCATGCCATTCTTTGTTCCGAAATGCTGTATTTTGTTAATACAGCATTTCAATTCAGCAAGTATCCTTTTCATGGGTGTATCAACATCGCCGATAGGGTCTCGCTTTAGTTCACTCGCTATGTTCTTAATCGCCGGTGTCAGCGCAGCTACAACTCCAATAACTCCACCCGCCTTTAGCCATCTCTACACACCCTTAACTAAACATTTTGAACTACCCATTCCCATTCTTAGCGATCCCTACTTCCTTTAAACCGACCATAGGTCTCTCTTGGAATCGTGTCACTCTCTCTCATAAAATGTTGGCTATAATTGGTTCTATTATTTTGTGGGTGTGTGTAGCTTGTATATAGCATCATATTAGCATAATTGAGTGTTTAGGACTAAATGTTGGCCCGTGGAGGGTAGCGATTTTTCAGCGATTCAAAGGCGGCACTACCAAGGCGGTGGGCTATTTATAAACCACCCCCCAGCCATGACCTGCCAAATATATCCAAGGGCCATCGCCGAGCGGATCCTCGGATATCCTTCTCTAGTACATGGACAGGTTTTTTCTTTTTTATTCTACAATTAAAGAAAATTCTATCGGATCGTTTTTCCCGAGGGGATGAACCACCCGCCACTACGAAGTGAGGGGTCGGGCCGGCACTCCACCATTTTTATCGATCCGGCCAACACTCGCAGACGGATATAGAAACGCTCAGCTGTTCGGAGGCAATATGTGACTCTCGGGGGGGTTTTCTTTCAAAGGACATCCAGGATCTTGAAGGTAAAAAGGGGTGCGTCACGTCTCGCTCGTTCACTCTGTCATCTCGCCTTCTTTTCTCTTTCTCCCTTTTATTCCAGGATGGACGCTGGCCTGCCACCGGCAGGGAGGAAGGTCACCTTCCAAACCGGGCCGCCCGACGGACCTCCAAGGCAGAGGCCGAGGAGGAATAGATTCCACGTGACGCCGGCGGTGAGTGGCAAGGTTTTTATTAAAGATTGGTAAAAAAAAAAAAAAAATTTTAATATAATCAAAGTCTCGCTATATTCCGAATTCCTGTACACATACAAAACACGCACAAACCTAAATCACCCTATGAACGGTTGTTCCATTGGTATGCCACAACCGTTCAACTAGGACCGTTTGGAAATCCCTCTTCCTACAAGCCTCCAACATACAGTGGACTGTAAGAGTACCTGTAATCTTTCGAAGAAAAATAATTAATAATGCAGTCCTCCTAGATGGTCGAATAGTCGACTAGGTCGACTAGTTACTGAAGAGAAAGATTTTCAACGAAGAAACAGCAAGGGCCAAGCGATATAACGAAGAACCACCCTCGGTTCCAATCACTTATCTTAATTAACAACCCCTTAACAATCTTTTACTAACCTAACCACAGACACCCTTAACTAACCTTTTCTAAACACCTCTACGTACTGTTAACTACCGACCTCGAACCGTCCTAAACCATCTCTAAATCTTACTTCCTTTACCTATCCTTAACTAACCAGCTCAAACCGCCCTGAACCGTCTAAAACCAACCCTACTCACCTTAATTAACTGTCTCTAACCACCCTTAACCATCTCTACTCTTCATTAACTAACCAACCCTAACCTTACCTACCTATTCTTAACTACCAATCTCTAACCGACCCTTCTCATCCTTAATTAAACAATCTCAAATATCCGTTAAATAACCATCCCTATAATCCCCTGACAATCCAACTACACCCACCCACAATTAAATATCAACCTCGACCCGCCTTTAACCATTTTAACAACCCCTACTCTTTTAACTAACTTTATCTAACAACCCTTAACTAACCATCTTTAACCACCCCTATCCGCCCGTAACTAATTGTCTCCAACAGCCCTTAATCATCTCTGCAACCCCTATCCACCTGTGACCAATTAAATTTATCTCCACCCGCCTTTAATCGTCTTTACTTACCCTTAATTAACCGTCATTAACCACCCCTACCAACTCTTAAATAACCACCTCAAACCGCCCTTAACCATCGCTACACATCCTTTAACCATCATTAATCACCTCAAACTGCCATTAACCATTTCTAACTACCCCTACCTATAGGCCTTTAACTATATCAAACGAACCTTCTGTAACCTCATCATTGCGCCATCTCGAAGGATCCTCTTCTACAGACCAATCACATACACTCCTCTGATGATGGCGAAAGTCCGAAACGCGTCTGACGAGCCGGAATAGAAACAAACTGGGATAAAATTGTAAAATACACCTAATAATTTTTTAAATAGTCGTGTAATCCTTAACCATCTCTACTCACCCTTAACTAACCATACCTTAACCACCCCAATCAACCATTAAATAACCACCTCAAACCTCCCTTAAATATCTCTGCTCACCTTAAACTAACCACCCGTACCAACCCTTAAATAATCAGCTCAAACCGCCCTTAACCATCTCTAACTATCCCTACCCGCTTTTGACTGGATTCAGCCTCACCTATCTGCCATCTCGAACGAACCTGATGATAGCGAAAGTAGGAAAGGCGTCTGACGAGCCGGAATAGAAAAAACTGGGATAAAATTGTGAAATACAGCTAATAATTTTTCAAATAGTATTGTTGTCATAAAGAAAAGGAATTTCGTTTAAACTTTGCTATTGGTTCTGAAAATCTGGCGGAAACGATTTTTATTTTGAAGATTTCTTGCAGTCTGTTATTTTTATTTTTTAATAAAATTGAATTTAGACAAATATATTTTGGGATAGTATTTTTTATTTCAATTGGCGCCCGATGGAAGGCCAAAATGTGTGGTTTTTGTTTTATTTTGAAAGTTGGCGGGAAACCGGTCTGCAACCTTTCGGCCGGAACGCGAACCACCCTCGGAAGAGGTTCTTAACCAAACGTGCCCGAGTCCAGTCGGAAATCGAGAGAACTCGCCCAGTGGTTTTTTTATTTATTTTGCCATTTTCCAAGTTCGGCGGTTTGTTCTTATTTTTGTTTTTCACTTGTTGTACCGGGGTGTTTTTTTCTATTAAACAGGCCCTGATTAAAAAGGCCGAATTCTCTACGATTTCGTCACTCTTTTACGGGGTCTGTACATTCGTCTTGTAAATATGGCAAGTTGACATACAAAAGAGGGATCTGCCCCCCCAGTTTATCATGAACAATGCAGGTAAATAATAATTTTTTCCGCCCTTATTTTCATCTTCAGTTTTCGTCCTTTGGCTTGTGTAAATGTAATAAATGTAAATAATAATATTTAAAAAAAATAAGACAAGGGATAAAGATGGATCTATGGAAGAACCTTCTCGACGATTCGATTCGCAAACGAAACTACCGACGTGCCAGTTTTTATCTGTTTTTTGTTTTTCATTTTCTCTTTAGAAACAAATTTCATACATCGTCCCAAACAGTTTCGGTATCTTTCCAATAAAATTCGTCCTTCGGCATTAATCAATCTGCCCGGCCTGAAACAAAAACAAGGCGAAAAAAAAGTCCGGTGAAAAGGAATCCGAAAACTGATTTACCGGCCGTTCCGTCGGTTTATTTAATCGTTTCTGTTTTTTTGCTTTTTATTGTTTATTGTTTTTGTTGTCGTGTCCGAAATGTCCAGAAAGGTAGATTAGATAAAAACGATCCCCGATTGGGAGGTTATAGTCCGGTTATACCTGGGACGTAGCTATAGCAACAATTCTAGTTGTCGTGCGTGCCAATTTTAGTTCAATTTAAGGCTTTTTTGAAGCAGTTTTTCAATAAAAAAATCATCAAGGCGAAAAACCGAGTCTTTGGGGGAAAGCTAACTTAATTAGGAAATATAAGACAAATTATTAAGTTAGATATGTTTCTCTATGGGAATTCGGCGAAAATTCTAGAGACGTAGCGTTGTAAAATTACTTTTGTTTTCCCTCTATTTCCACCCCTTTAAGTCAGAGATATATCTCTATGGAGAAAATTCTAAGACGCCGTATGATCTTACCAAATTCAGTTTGTTTTTCCACTTTTCTAATATTGTTTTATGTGTCTGTTTGACGAAAATCCTAGAGATGTTCCATAAGGTTAAATTTTGTTTGGTTTTTGACAGTTCTATTTTTTTTTTTTTTTAATTTTTAATAGTTAAGACAGAGATATATCTCTATGGACAAAATTCTAGAGACATCCATCAAATTCTGTTTTGTTTTCCCTCTTTTCTAATATTGTTTTATTTAATCAGGACTATGGCAAGTATTGTTAAGTAAGAGATAGTCTTGAAGTTCGTATGTTTGGCGAAAATCCTAGAGACGTCTCATAATATTGTAAATTTTGTTTGTTTTTTTTGCCAGTAATAATTTTTTTTAATTCGTTAATTTAAACATTTAGATATATCTCTAAGGAGAAACTTCTAGAGACATCGTATAATCTTGTCAAATTCTGTTTGTATTTGCAATGTAAAATTCTGTTATTGTTTTTTTTTTTTTTTTTTTTTTTTTTTTTTTTTTTTTTTTTTTTTTTTTTTTTTTTTTTTTTGTCAGTTCTAAATTTTTTTAATAGTTAGAGATACATCTCTATGGATAAAATTCAAGGGACATCCTATAATCTTGTCAAATCCTGTTTGTATTTGCAATGTAAAATTCTGTTGGTTTTTTGCCAGTTATGTATATATTTTTTTAAATAATTAGAGATATATCTCTATGGAGAAAATTCTAGAGATACCCCATAATCTTATTTAATTCAATTTGTTGACGACCAATATTGCTGTCTAATTCTGTTTCATCTTCATCAATTAACGATTATTTTAGATAAGAGATATTTCTTCATGATATATATTTTCTAGATCTCACATAATGTCGATTTTTTTTAGTACTATGATATTTTCTTTTCGTCGATTATAATGGAAATTGTTAAGTTAGAGATATTTTTCTATGAAGAAAATTTTAGAGATGGCCCATATTGTTGGCAAAACCTTTTCTTTTTTCCCTAGTATTATGATTTTTTTCTTTTCGTCAGTTATGGATTATAATGAAAATTGTTAAGGTAGAGAATTTTTCTATGGAGAAAATTCTAGAGATCGCACATAATGCCAATTTTTTTACTATTATGATTTTGTTCTTTTCACCGGTTATCGATTATAATGGAATTGTAAGTTAGAGATATTTCTCTCTGGAGAGAGTTCTATATATCTCCTATTTCTTCTTTGTTTATTTCACAGCTTGTTGGACTTCATTTGGTTAGCCTTCTCGAAATTTGTTTAAAAATATTTTATGAGTTTTGACTTAGTGCCGAGGTAGTTTCGAACGGGAAAACTTCAAAAGATCCATCTTTCATTCCCAAACCGGTTCGCCCTGTCCTCACGGTGAGATTTCGGGTGGCAGAAGGATACAGGAGGAGGTTGTCTCAATGTCTGGAGCAGGACGAAGAAGACTCGGATTCCGGTGCGGCCCGGGCCGAAGAAGAGAGGAGGAAGGAACATGGGAAGAAGAAGGAGCACAAAAACCGCCACCACGACCCCAAATTCGTCGACACCTCCCTGGTCGGGATTAGGCCGTCGAGCTCTTCCGCCCTCGACGTCGGCGAGATCTGGGTGAGGAGGACACCGGAAAAAGAGAAGAAGAAAAGAGTAAATATTAAAAATCTATTTATCCTCCCCAAAAAAAACAAAAAAAACACCAAACACACTCGTGTCACTACCCCTCATTCAACCCCCGATCGGACTACGCGCCCATTCAGGGGTCGTAGTACGCAAGACTACGTTTCCCTCCACAGGATTGTTTTCGATCAATAAGAGACGCCTTGTCCATTCAACCCGGACCCAGCCCCCGATGAGAAAGCCACGGGTACATGCAGTGCTGCAACTCGAAGGTTTGTCCTTTTCATACCTTACAGCACTAGGGTGCGACACGACAACCTTTGAAAACGACCCCATCCCCCAGAGACAATACAGATAGACAGATGACATCGACCAGTGGACGTTCCTCAAAACAGAACATTCCAACAAATCTCAGGGCACAACAGGACCAATAATATTGAAAAGCACCCCAAAAAAGCTAATCGATCCGTATAACTCACAAGTCTCACATTTATTCCCAGGCACGGTCTTGCATAATCACTCTTCTGGCATATGCGTAAACACCCAGGTTGAAAGATCGATGTTCACATGAATTTTTTTTTCTTTCTTTATTAATGATTGGAAATTGTATTTTGGCCAGTTGTCCTGATCGATTTCGACGTCTGTGCTGTTGCACAATTCTGACCCAGTGCCAGAATCGGGACATCCTTTTATTTTTCTCTCACCGTTCAACAGCTTCAACTTTAACTCGGGCTTGTTCGGCATGTTCTATTTCTAAAAGCGGGTAAAACGAGACGGCGTTCAGTCATGGACTGATGCCCGAACGATCTGGTGGATTGTGAGATTTCGGAAAGGGGCGGTGCGCCGTCTGCAGTGGTGGATTTGTAACCCTCATGTAATCATTTTTAAACCACACACATAAAAAATCTGCTGTGAAACACGACCAACTTTTATCATCTCTACCCATTGAGAACTATCACTAACCATCTATAACGTCCCTTAATACCAAACCTCTACCATCTCCTACCGGACAAGACCATCTGTACCTGCTCGAATACAACTTTTATCATCTCTGCCTATTCAGAACTATCTCTAACCATCTCTAACGTTCCCTAATCCCCAGCCTTAATCATCTCTAACCGACCATAACCATCACCAACGTCCGTTAATATCGAACCTTAACCTATCCACATCCAAAACTACCTGAACACACAACCACATTAATCTCTACCCAAATTCAACCAAATGCAACAATCCTCATTCTTAGCCATCTCTACCCAACTGCATCCACCATCACCTCTAACAATCCTTAATACCTAACAACATTAATCCCTACCCAACTACAACCATATCTAACAATCCTTAATACCTTAACCATCTCTACTCGACCGCATTAATCTCTAATTAACTATAACCATATCTAACAATCCTCAATATCTGTTCTTAATTTCTCTGTGCACCGAAAGCTATAACCAGCTCTACCCAATCCCGGCCATCATTACCAATCTCCAATTCCCACTCTTAACCATCTCTACCCTACCACAACCATACCTAACACTCCTCAATACCATTCTTAATCATCCGTACCCATCCGCAACCAAAACTACCTCTAACAATCCTTAATACCCAACCTTAACCTCTCTACTCAACCACATTAATCCCTACTTTACTACAACCGCATCTAACCGTGCGGTTCTTCAAAACCCATCCTCAACAATCTCTAACCATCTTCTCCCACTGCTGCCGCTAACAATCCCTAATGCCCAACCATAACTATCTCTACCAAACCACATTGATCTCCATTTAACTAAAACCATATCTAACAATCCTCAATATACATTTTCAACTTCTCTCTGCACCCAAAGCTACCCTTAATTATCCTTATTACCCAACCATAACCAGCTCTACTCAATCACTATCATCATTAACAATCCCCAATTCCCACTCTTAACCATCTCTACCGGACCGCGGTAGCCGAGTGGTTAGCATGAGAGACTCTCACGCCGCGGTCGTGGGTTCGATTCCCACCGTCGCCTCTGGCCCTTTTTTCCCGATAACCCCCAATTTGAACACACAAGAATTCGTACTATGGCTAATATGCAAGATCGGCCAATAAAAAAAAAAAAAAAAAAAAAAAAAAATCTCTACCCAACCACAACCACATATAACACTCCCTAATACCCAACCACAACTATCCACACTCAACTTTAACCATCTCTACCCATTCCGGATTGTCTGCTGCAGGATAGGCGCTCCGGAATAGTCGGAAACTGAACGTCGCCAATGTTCACCTGTTGACATCCCTCCATTTCGGCTTTGTCACCTTATAAAGGTACATCGATCCTTCTGATGGGTTTCCGATCAGATATTTAGGTCTGATCTTTTGTCCTTTCACCATGTTTAGGTGGTTCTCGATTCTTGGTTTCTCCGGGGATGGAATTTAAAAGATTATCTCCGGGAAAGATGGACGAAGTTATGCAGGTCGAAAGTCGACAAATGTCTTTTTTTCAACCCCGATTTCCGGCCCTGTTTTATGGATCGATGACCCCTTTTCCATCGGAAACCCCCCCCCCCAGAGTGGGTCAATCGCCGTATGGACAATAGCCCGGCTTCTTCAAAGTGCGATCGATCCTTTTCACCTTTTCAAAACACCAACGTTTACATGGTTTTCTCGTCATCGAAGAAAAGGCCGAGGAAATTTTTTTCCCAGTTTATCGATGTTTGTTTAAAGAAAGGGCAAACATCGGAGATAAAACAGTCGACGTCCAGTGCGCAATGGAATGGCTCCTGAGGACGTTTTGCCATCGGAGACGAGCGGTATGCCCTTCCAGGCCGGCCTGCTGACTTAGCACTCATGCCTTTTTTCCGCTTACGTTTTGAAAAAAAAAAGACGTGGAAAGATTTAAAAATCTCTCCCCAACGCGTAGTCGCTCGCTTTTTTCCCACCCGGCGTCACGTAAGTCCAGAAGACTTTTAAAGTAAGCCCGCTTCGCTGCCTCCGTGCTAAAAAAACCTTCGGATCTCCTTAATCCTTGGCTTTTTTCTTTTATTCACTGTTAACTTTGGGAAACTGGGTTGTATCCAAGTGGGGAACGTCCGTACCCTTGGAGGGGATTATCAATCAAGATCAATCCCGTCACGATTAGGACGAGTGGATTTCAGAGGTAATCGTTTTATAAAGTGATTTCTTGCCCTTTTCTCTTAGAAAAAGTCCAAATTTTCGGCTTATGTCACCAGTGAGACTGTAAAGCACGACACGATTCTTTAAAACTTTCTCCTTCCCCTTCATATATTTTTTTTCCTAATAAGCGAGACGAGTAGGACCCCAGGCATTCTTTCACCCTTCAATTCAAGCGTTTTTTCTATAATTTTTTTTTCACCGATCGCAGGACCCAAATCTAGGAGTTGTCCCAGGACAGTCGGTGGAAATGGCCGGATCCGACCCATACAGGAACAGATATGGTAAGTAGCCTTTTTTTTTTTTCTCTCACAAATATATATATTTATATTTTAATTTGTACGAGTTGTCTGTTAAAAGAAAGTCCGGTACAAATGGTACAAACTGGTTTTATCCACTTTTTTTTGTTTTTTTGTCCATCCGCCGGGTCTGCGTTTCGCCCTTGGAGGTCTGTTTGTAAACATTCCGAGGCGCCGCCGTATTGCCGATGGGCTTGATTCGACCACATTATCAGCCTGCGATTATTGACTTCAGTTCCGGCTGGTACCCAGTCGGATGCGTGGCTTGGATATTGGGCCAAAGTTTTATCAGCGACGGTCGTTACATTATCAGCAAGTCTTTGGCTTTAATTTCACCAGTTAACAACGGCCGTGTGAAGGTTTCCGACTGAAAATGGGCAGAAGTTTATTAGCCATGGTCGTTACATTATCAGCATAATTCATAATCATATTTTTAATTTTTTTAAACTTGATTGCGACTGGATAATGGCTGATTCATAAGCCATCCTGATTAAATATATGCAGAAGTTTATTAGCTATGGTCGTTACATTATCAGCAGGTTTTCTGGGAGTGGGTCAATAGCTGGATTGTACGCCGTATAGCTTGATACGGGCCGAAGATTATCAGTCTCAGAACTGAACATTATAAATTAGGTCGTTACATTATTAGCAGATCTTACTTAGATTACTTGATTGCGACTGGCTGATTCATAAACCATGCAGATGGAGTATGGAGAAGTTTATTAACTACGGTCTTTACATTGTCAGCAGGTCTATTTTTCGGGATCTGAGCTTCCTAACTGTAGTATAATAATGTCTGGGTAAAAAGATGTGTGAAGGTTCTCATCTATAAGGAACCTCACACACCTATAAATATCCTTATCTAAAGCACTCACAATATAATTAAATTTTTTTTCTCATTCGTAATGCGGCCATTTTCGAACTGAGCCTCTGCTCGGACAAACCAGAGGCCACGTTTATCTTCACCGTCGTCCAGCATGGTAAAAAAAATATACGTTGTCAAAGAAGAAACTTACGAATTTTAGATCACGTCGGGGTCACCAATGAAGGTTCTCGCTAGAATTGGACAGTTTACTTTTAACTCACTTTATTGACCATACAATCAACTACATATCTTGAAATAGGCAAAAACCTGTGGGAAAGGGTAGTAGATCGATTTTTACCTTTTTACTAAATCAATACCACAGGTGCAACTGGATCCGAACATTATCAGCCGTGTCCGTTACATTATCAGTAAGATCTGAGCTTCTGTACCGTGAGTTGATGCCGGCTGTGCCATGCGCCTCACGACTTAATTCAAAGCCGGAAATTTATCAGCAATCGTCTTAACATTATCAGCGAGTTAAATAGTTTTTATTGTAAGTTATGCAGCAAGCCATGTTCGTTAGCTTTAACATCTGAGCTTCCGTAACTGTAGTTCAAAACGTGCAACTTAACATACAGCCAAACATTATCAGCCTTGTTACATTATCAGTACGATCTGAGCATCTGTACCTTGAGTTGATACAGGCTGGGCCATGTACCGTGCGACTTAATCCAAAGCCGGAAATTTATCAGCTATCGTCGTTACATTATCAGCGGGTTTTCTGAGGTTGTTTAATAGTTTTTGATTGTATTTCATGCAGCCATGTTGGTTAACATTTATCACTATGTTCAGTTTTGTGAGTTTCCTCACTAGTGTAATAATGCCTGGGTCAAAACATGCAACTTAACATACAATCAAACTTTTTTATTTTTTTTCGCAACAGCAGAGGTCATATCAACCCTCAGGGTGCCATTGTTTTTGAAAAAAGCCCAAATGTCGGGTTGGAATGCAGGGCCGTTGGATTCGAACCCGGGCCCTTTACCTTACAGTGATGAACGCCGGGTCAACGCCTAAACCGTTGCGGCCACTGACGCCCCCACAGCCAAACATCAGCCTTTTTCATTACCAGTTGGATCTGAGCTTCTGTACCATGAGTTGATACCGACTGTACCACGCTTCGCGACTTAATTCAATTTTAAATTTATCAGCTATTCGTCGTCACATTATCAGCAAGGCTAAGGTTTTGATGTGTTAATTGTTTTGTTTTTTTCGCAGACACGTGGGGTTCCCACACGGCCGCTCTGAGGGACCAGGAGAGACGACGGATCGCCGGCCGAGGTGATGCCGTCTACCACACAGTGACAGGGGCCGTATCCCAGAACACCCGCCAGCACCAGGTCCCCTCGATCTTCGAGGTGTTCCGGCCGCGTTCCAAGTCCGACGCCGCGACCAAAAAACCGACGCTGATCGGCTCGATGAAAAACGCCATGCAGGTATGTCGGAAAATGGTGGAAAAGTTTTTTTTAACTGATTTTTTTTTCTGATATAGAATTCTCTGAAGTCTCAGTCGTCGACGAGCGGCGAAGGAGAGACCCACTCACGAGGACCGGTCGCCAAAGTCATCCACCTCTTCAGGCACAGGTCTCAGTCGGCGGCTTCAGCAGAAGAAAAGAGAAAAGCCGTAAGTAGAAAATTTTCTCTCGAATGAGATTGTTTTCTTCCTAGTTTTTTTTCGGTATCAGACACACCATAAAACACACAAGGGAAAAAAGAGGAGTCAACACGTCAAAAAAGGCGAAGGAGGGGGCCACGGCGGTCCCCCCTACGCGCCCGCGGTTCCAGTACGCCTCGGGCAGCCGGCCGGTCATCATAATCATACTGATTTAGTCGATTTTTTATTTTATTTTTATAAACAAGGGTGAATAATTAAATTCTACCTTCTCTGTGTCTAGTGCGGGACCGGCATGGACTGCCTTCGGTGACCTGGATAGTACGTCGTGCTTTTTTTTTCTTTTTTTTTCAAATTCAATATCAAGTCCCTGGACTGTTCTAAGCTTGCCCTACGGCCGGAGATCCGCCCCGAAAAGTCCACCCTTATAATGAGGATTTTCAGGTTTTAAAAATTTGACTTTATTTAAAAAATATCAACCCATGCATAACTGATTCATCGACGAGGTTAAAAAAACTCGGCAGGTGTCTTCCTCAGCCGGCTTTGACACAAAACCCTAAAACCCTGAGAAAGGAAAAAAAAAGGTTCGAGGAATGAGGCGTCAAAGATGGTAGGAAAACATCCTCCCACTCATTAAGCTCGTTGAACGCCGAATCATCGTTTAAAGCGCGATTTAAAAGCCCTGGGGCGATCTTCCCTTCTTTCGATATCCGATGTATTTTTTTTCTTCTGAATTTTAAAAAGAAAAACCAAGGAAAAGCGGCAAAAAATTTAAAAAAAAACGACCCCGAGCCGGCACGACCCTTGGATTTGAATAACAAATCGTTCTCTAGCTCACGGCCTCGGGTCGTTCCATTTCTTTTCTTTGAACTGTAGGTTGAAAAAAAAGGATTCGGCGTTCTGACGCGGCGTCCGATCCCTGACCCCAGGGTCGTCTGAGGGAAATTGCGTTCCCGGTGTCCCGTCGCGGTGTTTTCGCGTTTTATCGGTCGTCCTTGAGCCCCGTCGCGCGGAGGAAAAGGAAAAAAACAACCGTCCCGGGAGCGGGGATCGTTAAAAACAACCGTGGGTCCGCCGCGTCCCGCTTCTTTCTAGGGCAAGCTTGGTCCGGTTTTGTTTTTTGAAGAAGGGAAAAAAACGGGCGTTGTGTTGTGCGCAGTTTCGACGGCCTGTTATGACCAGCGATGTCCTCCTACTTCAGATGGGTCCTAGGACCGAAGAAGGACCACGAGGAGAAGCCGAGGTCCCGATCCCTAGACTCAAGGGCCCTAGAGGCGTCAGGGATCAGGACGATAAGAAACGTGAGTAACGGACTCGGGGTTATATTTATTCTTTTTTATTTCTCTCTCTATAGGATTTTGGATTGTACCATCGTTCATTAACGACCCTTCGTTCAGTTTGTATGTCCCTTATTGCCCCGAAGTCTAGTGTGTAACCATCTCCACCGATCATCGTCCGCATAAGATGGAATACCCATTCCTACTCAACTTTAACACTAGGAATTACTACCCCTGACCATTAAATATCCCTAACGTATTCTTAACCATCCCTAAACCATCCTTGACCCACAATAAACCATCTCTATCCATCAACCATCTCGACCACTCTTAATAATCTAACCATTAACCGTCTCGAACCAACCGAACCCACTATCAACCGTCTCTAACCAACTCGACCTACTCTACACCATCTCTACCCATCACCTAACTCGACCCACTCTTAACAATATCTAACAACTGAACCCCTTCATAACCGTCTCTAACCAACTCGACCCACTCTTAACAATCTCTATTCATCAACATCTCGACCCACTCTTAATCGTCTCCAACCACTCGACCTCATTTTTAACCATCTCGACCTACTCTTAATCGTCTCTTAACAAGTCAACCTCACTCTTAACCATCTCTAACCAACTTGACCTGAATTCCATCCGTTAACAATCTCTGGCCAACAAGTCAAACCGCTCTTAACTACCTCTATCCATTAACTATTTCTAAACAACTTAATCTGACATACGTTTCTGTCCGATAACCAACTCTTAACTATCTGAATCCATTAACAATCTCTAACCAACTCGACCTTAGTTGTTTAACCATCTCTATCCATTAAAAATCATTAACTAACTCAACCTCACTTTTTTTATTTATCTCTGTCCGTTAACCATTTCTATCCGACCCAACCCACTCTTAACTATTTCTATCCATTAACCTTCCCTAACCTCCTCGAACCCTCTTAAAAATTTCCTAACCACCTCATCCCGCTTCTATCTCTAACCATCTGTAGTCACTTTTAACCTTTATCTCTACGTCTTTTTCTCATATTCTGTATTCACCTCGACCCACCATTGATCGCCCAATCACGCATAACCAATTCTAACGAACTTTAAAGAACCTGGTAAGAACCCGACCATTATCCATCTCCTAGCAGAGCACCGAGCACCCACCTTAAACATCTCTAACCAACCAAAACGAACCGAGATATCCGCAGTAAAACTACCTCAACCCACACTCGCCTCCTCTAACTAACCTTACCAACTACAAACCACGACAGCATATTGCAAAAATCCCAAACTCGCATCAAGTTTAACCTGTGAAGCCCCGGCTCGATTGGAAGGAAAAACTTTTCGTCCCAAAAAAAGACATCCCGTCATCAGATTCCGTAAACACATTTTTGGCCGGACGTCAAATCGTCCGTCCTTGCATTAATCCGCTCGTTTCAAGTCCCTCCCCCGGTCTAAAATCGGAACAGTTCCAGTCATAATTGACGGAAATTTATTTATTTATTACCAACGCGGAGGTTGGTCGTTTCCAAGCCGGCTTTGGGTCCGCTCAGACTCGCCCTCTGTTTGCAAATCGTCCATCATCGCGACGGGCCCTCTCGAGCGTGGAAATTTTTATTTCACAACCGTTCTGTCGGTATTGTCCGCCGATAAGACTCGAGTGCCGTCCGAAATAAAATAATGGAGTGGCTGATATTTAGAAAAAAAAATGCAAAAGCCAATAACACTCAAGTCTTTTGATTGGTTTGATTGTCGACATCCTTCTCCGATCGTTAAGTAGTGACCAGCTAAGTCTAAGAAAACGTCTTAAAGTGCATTTGTTTTTTTTAAACTGCACGACCAGACTGGTTACAACCGGCCTTTAGAATAAGATAGTGCGTTCATAGTTATCAAATGACCCTATATCACGCGGTTTATCAGTAGAAGGAATGAAAGATGGCTAGACTTGGGCCGAAACTGGCCTGGTTTTTTAATCATTATTCCAGGAGAGAGAAAGAGGATTTGAATATAAATTTTCTGTCTCGATAAGTCGATTAAAGTCCATACAGACAGACTTGAGACATATCCATCCGGTTCCTTCAAAGGTTGTAAACGATATCGACAAAACGTCCTTGAGATTAGATTTATTTTTAAGAGAAAAAAAACTAATTTCTTCTGCAATTGGAAGATCGAGTGATGAACGAGTCTTTTATTGGCTTTTTCCGGTTCCAAAATTGGACCCGTTGACGTCTCGCCGATGGGAGGTCTTTTTAAATCTGTCGAATTTGTGTGGGAAAGCGATTACGGTGACTTTAGATAAGTTTGACATACTTACTAAGTGCTGGAGTTTAAGCGCATGTATGTTGTCGAAATGATGCGACATGACCTCAAAAGCTTCCTTTTAACTTAGATATGTTCTTTTGACCCGGTTTACTAGGTTCGTTTAATTATGGATGGATTAGGCATATTAGCATTATCTTGGATTAGAATTAGGGACGGGTTGTCAGGTTAAGGTAAATTTACGTTAGGTGGGCGTAGCGAAAAGGTTTTTCCTCTTTGCAGAAAAGAGGTTATTTATACAACCCGTTTCCCATTTGGATAGATGCTGGTTAGGTGATAAAGGTTAGGGACAGGTTAGGCAGGGTTTAGATTAAGGATATGTTAGCTTAGTATTGGGGTTATGGACAAATTATGTTAAAATTGGTGATAGAGAGGTGACCGGTGAGGTCTGCGTACCTGTTAGATAGGATTAGGGGTAGATAGGGACGTGTTGGGATAAGTTCGATAGGGATTACGTTAAGAACATGTTCGGTTAGAATTGGTGTTAGGGAAGAGTTAGTTGGTGTCTGTGTACATGTTAGGTTAAGGTAAGCAGGGTTTGGGTTAAGGACGTGTTTGGTTAGGATTGGGGTTAGGGTCGTTAGGTTAGTGATGGAGACGTGTTAGGTTAGGATTGGATATGACGACAAATTAGGTTAGAATTCTAGTTAGAGGCGAGTAAGATTAGGTCGACCCTATATGTTAAGCTTGCAGGATTTAGATTAACGTGTTAGGTTAGGATTGGTGTTAGGGTCGTGTTAGGTCTGAGGACGTGTTAGGCCAAGTTAGGCAGGGATTTGGTTAATGACGTGTTAGATTAGGATTAGGTTAGCTTAGATTAAGAGAAAACTAACTGGGAACTAAGTGAATGAGTATTTTTGAGTTAAGCGATTTAGATCGACTCATCAAAAGTGGGCGAGTCGTTGATTGTAATTTGGGACTTGGTAGTGCCAGATGTTTATTGTGTCTTTGTACTTGTTCGTTTGTCGAGTGTTTTTTCGGTTTGTTTCCATCGACAATACCTCAACCGCGGAGGAAGTGGCGAAGGACGGCATCAACAGCCTTGGCCGTCGGCCCGGCACCATCGTCTACCGCCGCGTCAACGACCACCAGGTCTCACCGTTCCGTCCTTTTTTGTCACCCTTTGTGATGTGTGGTGTTTTTTTGTTTTTGTTTTTTTTTAAATTATTTTTGTATGAACCGTTAATAACTACTTCGTGGCACGTGTATTAATGAATCTTACCCCCTCAGTCAACTTTTAAATATAGCGTCTGCCCGACCAAATTTTGTATTACGTCTTCTATCCTTTCCCTATTTTTCAATATTGTGTCTTTTTTTCAGAGGGCGGCGGCGATACACCAGCAGCAAGTCGCAGCGCACAGTGAGTTGAAAAAATTTTTTTTTTACATTTTCCACCACGGACCCAAAAATTCCTTTGATTGTTGCACAAGATAACGTTTCGAAAAGTTTGTCTTTATTTATTCCCCCGGCTCCCACGGCAGCCGGGGCCGTTCTCGATTAGATAAGAGAAGAAGGTCTGATGACGCCGTGGCGGGGCGGGGAAAGAGACAAAATTTGACGTTTTGCGTAATTTTCGCGGTTCCATTTGTTTTCCTTCGACTCAGGACGAGATAAAACACGTCCAAGGTGGAATCCATTCTTTGTTTTCCCGTGGTAGAAAATCGGTCCGCTTGTCGTCGCTCTTTTACCATTTCAACCTTACGGTTTATAGTCCAATGGGGGATGAACTGGATATCCATTCAATCCTGTGTCCTTGGGCTTCAAGGAGTATAAGATTTCCATTTTATTTCAATGATTTGTAGTTGTCCTTTTTGGGTGAAGCCTGACGATGAAAAACGACCAATAAATCATGTCTAGTATGGCCCGTGTTCTCGAAATCTAAGTGCATCATCGCTAAGAGGAGAGTACTTAAAAGCGTTCTTTACCGTTATAATATTTTTTATTTAAGTAAGTTCAATTCATTGAAAGATCCAAATGACCTCAGGAAATGAAGGATTTCCATAAGGATCTTCCTATGGCCTTCTTCGGCCTCAAGGAATATAATATTTTCATTTTATTTCAATATTTTTTAGTTGTTCTTTTTTGGGTGAAGCCTGTCGATGCAAAACGACCAATGGATCGTGTTTCGGAACGGCCCGTGATCTCCATGTCTAGGTGCTTTATCCCTACGCAGGAGAGTACTTGACTTAAAAAGATTTTTTACCATGTCAACCGCTTATTTAAGTAAGTCCAGTCCACTAAAGGATCATGTTGGACGTCAAGAGTTAAAGAATTTCCATATTGATCCTACTTTGATCCTCTTGAGCCTCAAGGAGAATAAGATTTTCATTTTATTTCAACGCTATGTAGTTGTTCTTTTTTGGATGAAGCCTGACAATGAAAAACGACCAATAAATCATGTTTCGGAACGGTCCGTGTTCTACAAATCTAGTGCTTTATAGCTAAGTAGGATAGTACTTGATTTAAAAAGGTTCTTTACCATCTTAACCACTTATTTTAGTAAGTCCAGTCTATTAAAGGATCGCGTTGGACCTCAAGAGTTAAAGGATTTCCATATGGATCCTACTGTGACCTTCTTAAGTCTCAAGGAATATAAGATTTTCATTTTATTTCAATATTTTTTAGTTGTTCTTTTTTGGGTGAAGCCTAACGTTAAAAAATTATCAAGTTCTGGAATGTCCTATGTTCCCCAAGCCGTGACATTACTTATACGGTCATATGGTTGCGCCAATTGTAAGGGTTTTGTACTTTGACCGGTTCCGTTTTACCTTGGGTCTCAAAGGTCCGGAAAAATCCAATGCCATGTATTTTCTCCGTGAGTCAACTTTCCCTCCAGGCGACCTGGCGGCCTCTGGAAATTTCCATAAACCTTCCATGACATATGCATTTTTTACCTGTTTATTATTGGTTTTATTTACATGATTTTTTATTTATTTATTTTTTTTTTATTTCTAGCCGCATACCTGAAAGGTAAGACGTTTTGGAATAATGGGATTTATACCGTCCTCCCCCCGTTCACGGTTTTGGTGTCTTGTCCAAAAAAAAAAATGAAAAAAGCACCAATAGCCGGGGAATGTTGCAATAAAAAAAAAAAGAGCATGAGACCCGATGAAAAGCATGACAGGTCATTAGTGTAGGCTGCATGCCAGCTAACCCAGCACTGAATTTTTGTCTATTTTAACCCGCCTTAATCACTTTTTGAACGCGGAAAAACAAGTTGCACGGCGTAGACTAGATAAGCCGGGATAATCTCAGAATTAGAGAAAAACGCCGCGCCACCTGTTGAGGGTGATCTTCTGCAGAAGACCTTACTCAACCCGACGGCAGATGGCGAACTATTTTTGCAGAATGCGAAAATTTTTCACGAACCAAGTCATCCTCCATTAAGTTCATGGTCAGGATGACTTATGCAGTAGACAGTAGATTATTAACACAAATAGCTTTAGTATTTTTTCTATTGATTTTTTTTTCTTCAGTTGTATTTTATTATTTTCGGTCTTTTTGTATATTAGTCTTGTCTACCTTTTGGTATATTAATTATCAGTTATAATTGAGAGTTTAATATTGACCTGCACAACTGGCACCATATGCCCCTTTCTCTCGTCTTTTCCCTCTTCTGTGTATTCTTTACTTTTATATATTACTTTTTCATCCCTGAACGTAGGTTGTTTTTTTTAGTAGAAATTTTGTTTGTTTTTAGCGGCTCGGTCTCCAAGGTCTCGGGGACAATGGTCATGCCTCTCTCTCTCGCTCTAGTCAATTTTCGGATTGTCAACCCGGTTGCACAACGTACCCACGATTGTCTTTCGGGCCTATGGGATTCTCTCAGAAACGGGATAATCGGCTCCCGTGAGGGTTGCGCAACAGAGAAGCGAAAGTGGGCGGACCCTCAGCCCATCGGAAACATTTCAATGTGTTCTATATACTACGTGTTTTGCTTCATACTTACTACTTTGTATGTCGTTTGGTTGTGACACTTGTTTTTAACGCATCTTTTAGCTCATATATCAATCTGTCCCTCCGCATTGTATCCATCTCTCTCTCTCTCTCTCTCTCTCTCTCTCTCTCTCTCTCTCTCTCTCTCTCNGTCTCTCCCTCCCTCCCTCCCACCCTCTCTCTCTCCCTCCCGATAATATTACTTTTTTTGGTTTAGGGTTATCATAGGGTTATCACACGCTAGTATTAAGGACCCAAATTTCACTTTCATTCTTGCGGAAAATTGAAACAAACACGTGCCAGGTGTCCAACGCAGGTACGTTCGAGGTTGCCGAGGCAGGTGTTCAAAAGCGACACCGAGCGGGCCCATTCGTGTCAAGCCTAGAAAGCCGGTCCCACTGACATCACACGTTCCCACCTGCGATTATGCGGTTTTTTTAATATTTGATTAATTGTTTTATTTACAAATTATTTAAACGACAGAGATATCGTTTATCCGTTTTACCCCTCTACGGATTTTTTTTCTGATCGGACGAGACCAGACGGACCCTCGGCCAGGGCGGGGGAAGAACAGTCCTGGAGGGGGGCCGGGAGCCAGTTATCCGTCAGTAGTCACTAGTCGGTGCCCGGACGTCGACCCGGCTGTTCGCAAGACGTTCTCGGTGAATACGCGATCCAGTGGAAGTTTTACGTGTCTAGTGAAAAGAGGACAGTATCCTTTTATTCTTCCACCCCAAAAAAATTAGGGTGGTTTGTTTATTTTCTGTCCATATTCGCCATTTTTTTCCGAGGCGTCTTTGGTTGTAAACAAGAGTTATTTAGGGAATACGAGTAAGTTTGGTGTGGTTGGATTACAGAGGATGAAATGTTTCGGCTCAAAAGAACAACCAAAAACTGGTTTTCCCAATACCAAATCGTCCCATTGTCATTCGTTCATAGGAAAATCGTGCGACATTCGACGTTCCCATTGTCAAAGTTACAATTATTTCATATTGTTCCTTCTGTAAATGTGAAACGGATCCGATTACGGCTAAATTTTGTAGGGGTTGAAGGTCGGAAGGCGGGAAGGCGTTACGTCCTGGTCGAAATCGTCGAAACCCAGGTCGGTAACGAAGTGCCAGTCTTGGTACTCCTCATGCTTCTTTTTCAACTTGCCGTAAACTACCCGATCCAACTCATGTCGAAAGATTCCGACCGGCCCTTGTCACCCGTACCGACCCGCGGGGTCATCCCATCGCGATCCTGCCGGCCGATACCTCGCCACTCGACCCCCCCCCCGTTTCTAATCAGGGGGCTCAGTGATTTGAAAAATTGCGCGATCCGACACTAATGAGATAATATCAGGATGGAGAAAAACTCTTCGCGCGAATTAACCAAAACCCAGTATTTCCGAACGTCTTCCCTACAACGTGCCTCTTATGATGAAATCTTCGCCCATTTTTGCAAATTACGTAGTACCAAAGGTACCAAGAGACCAATATCCCAATCTTTTTTTTTTTAATTATCCTTTTACGCCATGGATGTCCTCCAGCCCAGGACCCCCCCCCAGGCCCAGTTCTATGTCAAAAACATCTTAGCGTTAATTAGTCTTAATTTTCTGATTAGCAAGGAATTAAATTTCAAGGCGAGCGAATTACGCTTCGAGCCGAAACCACCGTAAATCAACAAGATTGGATGAGGCGCGAATTCCGCCGCCCTAAGGGCTTAGGACTTAGCCGGGCTTTGTTTTTCAACAAGGGGCTCCTAACAGGTCCGAGACCAGTATCTATTTACCTTGGCTCTTTCAACAATTAAAGTCCCGTTAACAAACTCCTCGACTCAGGTCGATCAGTATCAGTTTGATTGATTGATAGGCAAGCTGCAAGGAGGTTTGATAGATCGAATACGTTCAGCCAGATAAAAAAGAAGAACAGTAACAGAATTGAGCGTGATTGATCGAGTGGTTGATGAAAAATAAGTAAAATCGAAAGAATTGATGATTGTGATAGATTGTTATGAGATGGTTTGAAATAAAAGGACTGATCGATTGATATAGATGAAAATTAAGATAAATCACCCGGGCCCAATCTCGGGATCTTTTTCTACCCACGTTGCCCGATCAATCACCGCGTCGACATCCTTCAGTAGGACTACCGTACGACACCCAGGTGAGGAGATTGCACAAGACGGCAGCTGTAATTGATTCAGCGCTAATGATCCGGCATTATTAAATGATCCTTTCGTCGGATTAGCTAATATAAAAAGATAATCTTAAGACTAATGGGAAGATCATGGTTGAAGTAGTTAGTAGGTTATGAAGACCAGTATTGTTTTGTACTATTCTCTACTAGTCCTAGATGCCATATGTGTGAGCATCTCTCGGTGTTTCACTTACCGAAATTGATAATCCTAGATGATCAGTGGTTCAAAAGACCACAATTGTGGTTTTAATAATAAGAGGCCATCATATCACCGTATAATTCAGACTCTATTACGTCATCAGAGTCCAGGATGCCATATGTACTTGCATCCCTCGGTCTTTGACTTACCGAATTGATAATCCTAGATGCTCAGTGGTTCAAAAGACCACAATGGTGGTTTGAATAAATAAGAAACCACAATACCACAGTTCAATTCAGGCATTATTTTGTCATCACAAACCAGGATGCCATGTGTACTTGCATCCCTCAGTCTTTGACTTATCGAATCCTAGAAGCTCAGTAGTTCAAAAGTTCACCATGGTGGTTTTAATAATAGGAAACTACAATACTACAGTTCAAATTCAGCTATGGTAAAAAAACTACCGTTACATTTAAACACTACCGTGCCCTTCTAGTCCAAGATGCCATATGTACTTGCTTCCCTTCGTCTTTGAATTACTACATTTGATATTCGAGATGTAAAAGAGTCCAGACGGTACCACGGTGGTTTTAATAAAGAAACCACAATACCACATTTCAATTCAGGCACTATTTTGTCATCATAGTCCAGGAAGCCATATGTATCTGTATCCCTCGGTCTTTGACGTACTGAAATTGATAATCATATATGTCCAGTTGTTCAAAAGACCAGGATGGTGGTTTTGTGGTAAGAAACGGCCGTACCACTTTGGAATTCACCCTCTCCCGTCCTAATAGCCCAGATGTACTCCTTCTTCCATGGAGCACCGAATTTCTAAGAAATTCCAGTCGTGCAAGGTCTCAAAAGGCCACAATAGTGGTTCTAATCGTGCCCGGCCGTCGTGCCATATTCGGCTTAAGCTCCCAATCGACCTTTTATCCGACGTCAAAGCTCCCTCGGGTTGATCGACGGTCCACGTCGTTGAAAGCCAGTTGAAGTGGTCTACGCTCTCGTTATTTTATCTCCAGTCATCCTCTCACGTCCGGCCCGTTGCAACACCGTCTCTGCCCCTACAGTTGTTCAAATACTGAGAAATTGGGTCGGCCTTTTTTTCCTTTTCTAATAGGAATATTTTTGTATTTGTTTTTCCAATTTGGAAAAGGGAAAGCGAGTCTTGACATTACATAAAATTTTTCGCCTTGTTTACATAACCCCGGGGGATGGGGAACAAGGAAAAACAGACATTTTTTTCACATATAAAAAAACTTAGACAAAATGATTTAAGGCACAATTTGATCGCGGGATCACCGCGGAAGGGTTTTGCACAGAATCGCCATCTCTGGGACCGGTTCTCAATTTCTACTTTCACCTCCGTGATAGAAAAATTCCGTCCCGTTAGAAATCGCGAAAAGGCGGAAAAAAGAGCGAGACTGGGCGGACCGACGGCGATTCAGATTCGAACCAAAAAACAACCTATCTCGACTCCTTAAAATAATGCCTAGTCTATGACGCCGGATCGATTTTAACATTAGCGAAGTCCCCACGTATTTATAGACTCGGGGAGAGAGAGGAAAGGGTTGAGGGACTTTGAACTTAAAACATAAATAGATTTGATAAGTTGGCCCAGGGTTTGACCAGTTCAACGAGTACCGAGGATTGTAGAATCTTTGATTAATTTTAAGTTATCTATCAGAAGATAGGGCATACCAGTGTGTCATTTGTTCTTCTCTATTCTTCTTTTTTATTGTAATTTTTGTTATTGTTCTTATTTAGAATGGTTCAAATTTGATCTTCTGTGAAAAGTTTTTAGCGTGGGACGATCCCTTATTGTGTTGGCATAGATGTTGGGTCGATTTTTTTAGAAAAGGAAAATTAGTCAGTCGAGTTGATTACTTTATATTTTTGTGTCTGGGTTTAATCTTTGTTCCAATTCTAATGTATATTAGTTTCTGTTTCATAAAGGAAGTAAGGATAGGCCATACCAGTGTGACTTGTGTTTTTGGGTATTGTTGCTGTTCTTGTTTAAAACGGTTTAAATTTGATCTTTCATGTTGATCTTTGTACCATTTTTATATATTATTTATAATATATATATATTTGTGTCCGCTTTTGAAGATCTAAGGTTAGGGCGTACCAGTGTGACTTGTATTCTTTGGTATTGGTAGTTTTTATTATTTTGTTATTGTTCTTATTCAGAATGGTCCAAATTTGATCTTAGTTGAAACTTTTTTAGTGTTGGATGAACCCTTATAGTGTTGGCATAGGGGTTGAGTCGATTTTTTGGAAGGACAATTAGGCTGAGTTGATTATTTTATATAATATTTTGTGTGTGTTTAATCTTTCATCCTTTCTAATATGTATTTGTCTGTTTCAAAAAGGAAGTGAGGATAGGGCATACCAGCGTGACTTGTTTTTGGAAATGTTGTTTTGTTATTGTTCTTTTTCAAAACTGTTTAAATTTGAACTTTTGTGCTGATTTTTTGGGTGCTTAATTCTTGATCCATTTTTTATATATATTTGTGATTGTTTTCAAGAGGAACTGAAGATAGGGCATACCAGTGTGTCTTGTGTGTTCTTTTGTATTGTTATTTTTGTTATTGTTCTTATTTGGAATGGTTTAAATTTGATCTTTTGTGAAAAAAATTTTGTGTCAGACAACCCCTTATAGTGTTGGCATGGGGGTTGGGTCGATATTTCTACTTTTATTGTATTTTCTTCTGTGACATCGAGACGGTTTTCGGCTCGTTTTGTATATTCTTGGTATGTTTATAACATTTAAAAAAAAATTCCCGGGCGGTACTTAAGTCCTTAACTACCCCGCCACCGGCCCCGAGACCTGCGATGCCATGCCGCCCCCGATCTTCCTCACCCCTCCTCCGGACGAGAAGCAGATGAAGAAATGCAAATCTATACAGGACCTGCTCAAACAGATCGGTAAGGCGGTCAGGTCCAAGTCGCCGTCCAAAGGGCTGCTCGAGGTGCCGGTTGCGTTCCGGGGGAGGAGCAGGTCGCTCGACGACGGTTCAAGGGGGTCCGGACCCTCGTCGTCCGACTCGTCGCCACCCGTCGTCGACACGGCCACTGCTTACAAGATTTACGATCAGATCCTAAATGAAGGTAAAGTCCAAAAAAATTAAGCCCAGGCAGGTGGACTTAGTGTAAACTAAGTATCCTTCTCATCTTTTTTTCAACTCTAGGACATCTAAACCTCTGATTCAATGAATTATTCTTAATTTTTTTTTCTCATTTTGACAGGTGTGCTGAGGAGGAGCTCGATAGAGAAGAGGCGCCTCAGCCTCGGAACACCTGGTCACAGGGGTTCAGAACCATCCCTCGACCCCAACCATGCCGCCATACTCTTCAGGGACTCACGAGGGGTGAGTGTTTCTATATCTTCACTAAGTTCAGACAGTTTTAACATAGCTTTGACACCCTGAACTGTGAAGTTGTATTCTGAACCAGAATTTTTCTCCGGGGAAAGAAAGTTTCGATGGGTTTTTAAAATGTCAAGTGGTAGAGGAAGTTCCTGTTTCGAAAAGGGAAGGAGCGTGGGACATACTCAGAGTATAAGTTTCGACCATTGCGACAGATATACATCAACATCTAGGGACAGAAGACCGAGCGGACCAAAAAAAAAAAAACCTGCTAGACACCTCCTTGAAATAATCTATCGACGATCTGATTGATTTTAACATTAGCAAAATCCCATGTATTTATAGACTTCGTGAATGGTGTACAAACTTTGAACTTGAAAAAGAAATAGTAAGTTAGGTCACGTATTAGAATTTTTTGTTATATTTATTTCAAAGAGATCTAAGGATAGGGCATACCAGTGGTTGTTTTTTTTTGGTATGTCTTACACACTGGTATAAAAGTTGAAAACTGTATCGATGTCATGCAAGATAAAGCAACAAAAGCCAAAAATCGACCCAACCCCTATGCCAAAACTATAAGAGATCATCTGGCACAATAAACTTTTCACAAAAGATCAAATTTAAACCGTTTTGAATAAGAAAAATAACAAAAAGAACAATACCAAAGAACACAAGACACACTGATATGCCCTATCCTATGTTCCTCTTGAAAACAGACACAAATCCATGTAAAATTGGCTTCAAAGTTTTAACAAACAAAAAATTTATGCTGAAAATCAAATTTAAACCACTCTAAATAAGAACAATAACAAAAATAACAATAAAAAAGAGCAATACCAAAGAACACAAGACAAACTGGTACGCTCTATCCTCAGGTCATCTTGAAAGCATACACAAACACATCCCAAAGATTTAAAAAATCAACTCTTCCGACAATTTTCCTTCCGAAAAAATCAACTCATACCCTTTGCCAATATTATAATGGATCTGTCCGACAATAAAAACGTTTCATGCAAGATCAAATTTGGACCATTCTGAATAAAAACAAAAAAATAATAATAATTTAAAAAAAAAGATCAATACCAAAGAACACAAGACACTCTGGTATGCACTAGCCTTAGATCCACTTTAAAACAGACACAAATATAAAAACCATACAAAGATCAAATTTAAACCATTTTGAATAAGAACAATAATTAAAACAATACCCAAAAACACAAGTCACACTGGTATGACCTGTCTTCATTTTCTTTTTGAAATATACACAAATATATATATATGTATTAAAATTGGATCAAAGATTAAACACACACATAATTATAAAATAAACAACTCAACTTACTAATTTTCCTTCCAAAACTTCGACGCGACCCCTATGCCAACATAATAATGAATTGTCAGATACTAAAAACGTTTTACGAAATATTAAATTTAAACCATTCACAATAAGAACAATAAAAAAAATAACAATAAAAACGAACAATACCAAAGAACACAAGACAAACTGATTCCTTATCCTCAGTTCCTCTTGAAAACAGGAACAAACACATATAAAATTGTCCTAAAAGATTTGACAAACAACCAATTTTTATTAAAAATTAAATTTAAACCATTCTGAATAAGAATACCAGAGTCCACAAGACACACTGGTATGCCCTACCCTCAGTTCCTCTTATATACAATAATATAATAACAATAAAATAATAATAAAAACAACATTACCGAAAAACACAAGTCACGCTGGTATGCCCTATCTACACTTCCTTTTTGAAACAGACAAATGCATATTAGAATGGATGAAAGATTAAACACACCCAAAATATATAAAATAATCAATTCAGCCCACAAATTATTCTTCCAAAAAATTGACAACTCCTATGCCAGTTCTATAAGGGATGGTCAGACACGAAAAAAATCTACATTTCAGGTTAAACTTAATTCAATAAGAAGAATGACAACAACAATAAAAATAAGTAAATAAAAAAACAATGCCCAAAACACAAGACGTACTGGTATGCCCTATCCTCAGATCTTTTTCATACTAAGCACCTATATACAATAATGGGCCAAAGTTTATTTTTATTTTAACAAAGAACTGAAATGACCAATTTTCCCATAAAAAATCAAATTTTTAATGTTTGTCGTATGGGACATATCAGTGTATCTTGTGTTCTTTGATATTATTTTTCATTGTAATTTTTGTGATTGTTCTTATTAAGAAGGGTTCAAATTTGATCTTTTGTGAAAAGTTTTTGGTGTCAGACGATCCCTTATAGTTTTGGCTAGGGGTTGGGACTATTATTTTGTGATGGACTTATATCAATGTATGTTTTGTGAAGTCTCAGGGTCAAGGGTGGCGTAACAAATCGTCCCTGAAAAGAGCCAGTTATCGCCTAATCCTTAAGGAGCTGGTGAAAAGGGGGAGCTTACAAATGAAAAGATTGCCCTCTACGATTGAATTGAAACAGGGCCGAGAGGAAATTGGGTCATTTATTAATTTGTTGAATTTTTTTTTCCCAGCTGCCCGTTGCAGATCCGTTCCTGGAGAAAGTTAACATGTCTGATTTAGGTAATTTTTTTTTTTTTTTTTCGATCCAGGTCTTGTAGTTGTTTGATTTTTGTTCCACGTTTACAGAGGAGGACGAGAGTCAGATTTTCGTGAAGTTCTTCAAGTTCCACAAGTGCTACGGCCTGATACCAACGAGCGCCAAGCTCGTAGTCTTCGACACGCAGCTCCTAGTCAAGAAGGCGTTCTTCGCCCTCGTCTACAACGGGGTAAGGGCAGCGCCGCTCTGGGACTCGACTGAGCACAAATTCGTCGGGATGCTCACGATAACGGACTTCATCAAGATACTCCAGATGCACTACTCGAGCGGTACGATGACACTGGACCAGATGGAAGAGCACAAGCTGGACACTTGGAGGAGTGAGCCGTCTTTCTTTCAACCCTCGCCTCGCCCAGGTTTAACCCTTTTTCTCTTCCAGCCGTACTCAAAGACCAGATACGAGACCTGATCTCAATCAGCCCAGACGCATCCCTATACGACGCCATCAAGGTGCTCATCCACAACCATATCCACAGGCTGCCCATCATCGACTCGCAGACTGGCAACGTATTATACATACTGACTCACAAGAGGATACTCAGATTTCTTTTTATTTATGTAATTCCTTTTTTTTCTTCTTCTTAAATTGTTTAGTGCTTTTATTGAAACAAACATATCTGTAGATTAACGACCTGCCAAGGCCGAGCTTTTTAAACAAGACACTTGGCGAACTGAGGATAGGTACGTTCGAGAACGTCGAAACAGCCCGCGAGGACACGACGATAATCGCTGCCCTCAACAAATTCGTCGAGAGGAGGATAAGCGCATTACCGATCGTCGAGGATGGCCGCCTCGTTGACATTTTCGCCAAATTCGACGTGATTGTAAGTTTTTTTTCTTTTGGAATCACACCATCATTATCCCAACACTCTCATGATATCTGGTGCATAATCAACTCTAACCATCATCATCCCAAACTATCTGATCTGTGACCATTTCTAACCAGGCCAACCTGAACCAAAACACTTAAGTGTCTGGTGTGACCATCTCTATACAGACCATACTGAACCCAAACACTATTTAAGTGTGTGGTGTGACCATCTCTATCCAGAGCAATACTATTTAACTGTCTGGTGTGACCATCTCTAACCAGACAAACACTATTTGCGTGTCTGGTGTGTGACAGCCATGGTTAGACCAAACCTTCCCTAATCCTAAACTATTGTGATAATCCAGTGATAATACATCTCTAACCTATCAATTATCATGGTATGCCGTGAATAACCGTCTCTAACTAGACCATATCATCCCAAACTATCTAGGTGTCTGGTGCATAAGCACGTCTAAAGGTGGCCATTCATGATCACTCCAAATGGAACCGCGCCAAGCCGTACAGCTCCATTTGGAGTGCCTGAAATTCGAGGGGCATTCACGACCGCTCCACAGCCAGTCGCTCCGAACGTCAACCAGTGAATTATCTTCTGAAAATGGATGACGATCTCTTGTGCTACTCTTCTGTTTATTTACATATTAAAAGCAAAAAATCGAAGAGGAAATGGTGTAAGAAGTGGCTCCTGAACAGAAGCCGTAATACCCACATCAATTTGATGAAAGAACTTTCCCTTGAACCCGCTGATTGGAGGAACTATTTAAGGATGGATGAAACGTCTTATTTATTCATTATATTTAGTATTCTATTGACCAAATTACTTATTACAATTATTTAATCTTTTTTGTAAGGTTTTGGTTTAAATGAAAAAATAGTGTCACGAGGGGATTCGAATCCACGACATTCGGCTAAATACGCCGCTGCGCTAACCACTTGAGCTATCGTGACTTCGATCCTCTCCGACACCAAAAAATGGCAAAAAGAGAGAAAATTCGAAAGGTTGTAGGTTGAGATGGGGAGTTGGTTCCAGAGTGGATCGAACTATCGAAGTCAGGATAGCTCGTGATTAGCGCAGCGGCGTATTTAACCGAATGTCATGGATTCGAATCCCCTCGTGACACTATTTTCTTCATTTCAACCAAAGCCTTACAAAAAAAAAAGATTAACGTCTTATTTACATTTACTCCAGCTTGTTACCTCCTTGATTAGAAAACAAAAGAAAGTCATGAGAGAAATCAACACTACATAAAAGGTTGGCAACCACATTACGATTTCTCGCTACAGGGATGAACTACAAAGAACTTAAGTTCTCTACTACGATTTCTGATCATTGATAGGGGTTATCAATACCGCATCACTCATTGCATTTGTATCCTTTGTTTTGAAAACGTCGACCAACTGGTTGAGGATCGAATTTCTTTTATTTCTATCGTGGTAATATAATCATTGTCCACCATTTTCATAAACATGGTAAACTTTCATACAATTCAATCACCTCAACAATAAAATCTCGATTGGATGTCATTACCATTAAGAATAAACGTTTTTGACTTTTTGAGAATGTGCGACGGAGATGTTTGCTCAGTGGCAGAAAAACGGACACTGCGCAAAAAAAAAAACGAGGGTTTTCCCATTCACGACCAGGCCAGAGCGCCAAAATCCCCACCCTCCACGCCAGGTTTTCCCATTCACGAACGCGCCATGCCGTCATCGCGCCGTAGATATTTGGAGTGGTGCGATGGAGTTTGGACCGGTCGAATATTCGGCACAGCCAGCACGCCAGTTCAGTTTTGCCATTGACGTGGTTTCTGGAACGGCGTCGCTCCGTTTGGACTGCTTGGAGCGATCGTGAATGCCACCTTTACAGACACCATCATCATTCCAAATTGTCTGGTTCATAAGCATCTCTTACCAGATCATCCTTAATCAAAACACCATTGTGGTGTCTAGTGTGTGACCATCTCTAACGAAATATTTCTGAACCCAAACCATCATGGTATCTGGTGTGCAACCATCTCTAACCAAACTGTTCTTATCACAAACCATCGATGTGCTTCATATTCAACCGTCTTCTACCAAACTTATATCTATGCAGCCCTATCCCACAAACTATCGTGGTATCTGGTGTGTGACCTACTCTAAACAAATCACCTCTGATAATGACAAATTTCCTGGCCAACAGCAGGGAGGATGAGAAACTTTTTTCTTTTTTTCTAAGAATCTCGCTGCTGAAAAGACGTACGACAAGCTTGATGTGTCGCTCAAACAGGCCAACGAGCACCGCAACGAGTGGTTTGAAGGGGTTCACAAGTGCAGCATGGACGATACGCTCTATTCGATAATTGAAAAAATCGTCAGGGCTGAGGTTTGAAAAATTTTTTCTTTTTTTCTAAATGGATTTACGAGGTTTGACGTTTTTGCGATATCCAGGTTCACAGGTTGGTGGTGACAGACGACGAGGACAAGGTGATTGGCATACTTTCACTCTCCGACCTCCTGCAATATCTCGTCCTCAGGCCGTGCGGTAAGCGTACGATGTCTCACAACTATCAAATTTTCAAGTTGATAATTTTTTTATTTCCCCCCGCCAGGCGAGGAGATCCTGTCACGACCGATGACGCCGATATCTGAGCTGGCGGCCATCGCCTCCGAAGAGACGATACTCGAAGGCGAGGAGGACGCAGAGTCGAGCAGAGAGTCAACGCCGCCCCTCACACCACAGCTGTCACAGACTTGGCGCGAGGTGGCTGTCTCGGGAGGTGAATAAGGGCCGCCATAAAATAAAACAAAAATAATATTTTAAAAAAAATAACCCCTGTCATCAACACAAGACAACGAATTTTTCAGAGTAACCGTTATATAGTAAATAAAATATTGAAGAAAAGAACGTATATATTAAAAAATAAAATTATTAAAAGAGAAAAATATATGACAGAGTGAAATATATATATAAAAGAAAGGTAAAAGAAAGTGTAAATAAATGTAATTTTTGTTTGTTCATTATTTTCTATATATAGATATATATTTAAAAGAAAAGAAATAAAATTGTGGATCTTGAGAAGAAAAAAAAAATATTTTAACGCTTTTTATGTAAGACACTTGAATATTTTTGTGTACTTAAAAAAAAATGTATTTTAAATAGCTTATTATTGTTTTCATTTCTGCTTTAGGAAGGAAAGAATAAAAACAAAAACTGGCTGTAAAATAATAAAAATAATAATAATAAAATGAAGAGAAAAAACATAAAGAGAAAAAGGGACGAAATAATCATTGATTTCTCAACCTTTTGTTGCGGGCATGGATAATATATGTAAACAGAATTTAAATTATTTATCTATATTTTATGATTTCAGTTGATACAGGATGGAATTTCACAGGGGAGCATTCTTGAACCTATAGTTTATAGTGTTAGTGGCTCTGGGTTTTTTGTTTTATCTAGGGTCTTGGTTGAGATGAACCCACGATAGTTCAAGTGGTTTGAGGGGCCGAAGGTCGTGGGTTCGAATCCCACTCACGACACTAGCTTTTTCATCTCGACCAAGACCTTACATAAAAAGTATAACAGTACAACTCCCTGTGGCCGTTTCACAAGTTGCCAAAGATCGAATCCCGAATACTGCAAAAAAAGAGGTAAAATGTGAAAGTTGTCCAAACAGATCGAAGCCGCGATTGCTCAAGTGGTTTGAGTAGTTATCGAGCTGAAGGTTGCAGGTTTGAATCCTGCTCGCGGTGCTACCTTTTTCATGCCAACAAAGACCTTAGAAAAAAAGTACAATTAATGATGTTTATTATGACTAGTAAATACACATGTGGATTAATAGGGATAAAAGAGGCAACCAGAAGGCTTTCTGCACCTTGACCTGAGATCTATTCTGCTCCACTGTTTTTTATAATTTATTGGCCAGCTTCAGGTTGTAAATCAGCCTCCATAGCTTTGCCAGCAGCTCCAGTGTAGGATCTTGAACCTGCACCTGCTTGCATCAACCTTCACAGAAACATAAAATTCTCTTCCTGGCAGTATCTGCACGGTGATTCTTCTATCTGCTCCTATCCGGTGCAGCATTGCCCTGTCAAGAGTACAACCAGAATTTGGTTGCAGGTGCCTTCCTTTGAAGTTTTACAGATGGCCCTTCTATGAATCTCTTTGCAAGCCTCATACCTATGGTACTGTTCCACCAGGTTTTGGACTCATTAAGTATCCATATTTTAAAATACATTCTCTTTTGTGGCAGGATGTTAAGTGCAGTTGGATTAAGGACCCAGAGTCAATGTTGGCCTCCTTTTTGGTCAACACATCAACCTTTCCGTTGCCTCTACGCCACATGCCAGGGTTGGGTCATTATAGTCACTAACTTCCATCAGGGTCTTCATGCGGTTCCAAACACTTCGTCTTCAGCTAGCATGAGGTGGGGGTCTTAGTGCTGTCCCAAGAAGATGGCTATCTCCCGGGAATGCATTCATAGCCTTTTATTTCTCTGGCACCGTGTTCCATTGCTTTCCAGACTTTGGATTTATCCCGAAGACTCCAACTCCCGTGCCCTTGTCGTTTTTGGAGCCGTCAGTGTACCAGTAGGAGTTTGCCTTTAGTGGTACATGGTTTAATATAATATTTTATTTTGAGGTTTAATTCCAAATTTTAAGTAATCAACTCCATGTTTTAAAAGTTCTATTCTTTCTGATATAATAACTATTTTTAATGTCAAAAGGATTATTGCTGTTAAAATTATTTACAATTTTGCTTAATTTTCCTATTATACTGTTGTCTATATTCGATATAACGATTATTTAAAGATCGTGAGATGTAATCGGATGTGATTTATGGTAGAGAACATTTTGTCTTGCCAACATTTTTATCTTTATCAAGATCATCTTCAGGTCCTGGGATTTATACATTGTTTAAATTATACATATAAGATATGAATTTATCCGATGATGTACACTAGAATTGAGTGACGGTAGTTGTCAGGCTGGATTGGCGATTCTATAACACAGGACGAGCACACGACAACGCCAGGAAAAACAAGTGACCCGATGGAACAGAATAAAGGACCATGGTGAATCCAGACTTCATCGCAACCGGACCTCATACCTTTTTTTAATTTCATTGCATCAATATACTTTTTTCTTTTTCAAATTGTGTCCTATTTTTCTTACAATATAGAAGTGATTATTTGGAAATCGTGAGATGCGGTCTGGTGTGAAGTAGGTTTAGAAAAACAACAGTGCCAACATTTAGACCTTTATTGAGATTATCTTCAGGGCCTGGGATTTACAAAGTCGGTTAAATTATACAAATACGTGTAAGATGCCTTCAAAATGTTTGTTTTCTGTGTAGGTATGTCCTTACTGTGTGTTGTGTTGTGAGTGCCAGTGTGATATTAATGTTTTTTGTTTATATACGTTGGAATTTGAAGGAAGTAGGGATAGAAATCCATTTTCCTGAGTCGGCTTCTTTGAGGTGAAAGGAGCCAACAATGGGAAAAAATGAATAATGGTTTGGCCTGATTATCCTTTTAGGATTTTATAGACGGAGATAATTAGGGAAAAGGAAGACAAATTGTTGAAGAATTAGACTGTTGCAATAATTGTTTTATATGTAGTATTATATGCTTTATGTGTTATGTATATGTTATTGAATTTGACTAATGGTAGTAGTGTAGCTGTAGCTGAGTTTACTTACATGTGTCTGTTCAATTGATGCTGTGTTTATCTCTTTTGATATAAACAATTTCTAAAAAGTTACATTTATGTTTGTCTTGTTCTGTGGGTAATATTTTTGGATTGTTGTAATTGATGTGTCGGTGTTCAAAATGGTGGATAGCCAGTGCTGTAGAATTTTGTTTGGGTTTTTTGCAATCATAGATATTGATTATTGTTATCTCCCTGTTATCCAGATATTGGGATGTAATTCCGATGTAAGTTGCCGGACAATTTAAACAATTGATTTTGTAAATTACATCAGACTTATTTGTTACTGGTGTGGGATCTTTAATTTTGGAAAAAACTGTGTGAATTGTTTTATAGTTTTTTAAGGCTGTTTTAAAATTATCAGAAGAGAGTAATGTGTTTAATTTATGTGATAGGCCGTAAATGAATGGCATGTCTGTGTTTGATATAAATGATGTAGTGTTGAGTTGTAGTTGTTAATAATGTGTTTAGAGTAGAGATTGTTATGTAGAATATGTATATCTTTTATGTTCTAGTAGTGAAAAGATTCACGGCTTAGGGTAATAATTCTGTGAAGTAGCCCTTTGGCTTTTGTTTATTGTTATTTATGTTTATTATTAGTAGTTTATTATTAATATTACATTTATTATAGTATGAAGGGGATGGTGTGATGAAGAAGTTGGTATGGTAAAGAAAGTGTTTTTCTAAACTTAAATCACACCAGACTGCATGTCACAATCTCTAAATAAATTTTTAATATCAAAAGGATTATCGCTGTTAAAATTATTTAAAATTTTGCTGTTATACTACCTATATTAGATATAATGTTCCTTAAGGTTTTTTTTAAATATTGTTTTGGATGATCAGGCAGCAGACAGTAATGGCATTTTCAGTCACCTGTGGATTCAAGCTTAGCTGAAAACTGCTGAAGCATAACCGTTCCTGGAGTATGTGGCCAAATCTAACTAAAAACTTCCCTAAAGACAACGTCCGATGATTGCTAAAAAGATTAACTTTTAATTTTTTTTAATAAATAAAAGTTTTTAAAAAAATATTTTTTAATTGAATCATCTTTAAAAAGCTCAGCGTCAACCTGAAACAGCTTAGAAAAACCATTATATCACATCGTCCAGGAGCAAAAGGGAAGAACAAGACAGAGAAAAAAAAAAGAAAAATCGCTTCTCGAGCCACAAAAGGCATTTTTTTTCTTTTTGTTAAATTAAAAATACACTTTATTTATTTTATAAAAAAAGAAAAACGTCCTCTTTTTGTTTTGTTTGTATCTATTCTTATCAGAAGACAAGTTTTTTTTTAATAATAAAACATATTACAAGAGAAAAATAAAAAAGTACTGAACGAATCGCCCGTTCACTCTTCCATCCTACCGTTTTCCGGCTGTTCTTCGACTTCTTCCTCCTCGGCCTCCGAGCCGTTTCTTGCTGTAAATAAATTAAAGCTTTTGTTAATATCACATAAGAAGAAACAAAGAAAATTTTGGATGAAACAGTTTTTCTCAATACAGTTACAAACGTGATGATCGCCAATGTTAAATTTAAAATTTCTGCAATACTAGACTGAGGAATATTGACGCGTCTGAGCATTTTTATCAAACGGCTCAATAAGATTCCTCGTACAATCTGTAACCTCCAGGATGGTTTATTCAATCGATCAAATTACACAAGAGAGCGACAAGATGAAGATTCAGCCCAGTGACAAAACTGGTAGCCTTCTTCTGCACTGTCTCCAAGACGGTGATTTCAACACCTACAAAAGGATCATAAAACAAACTAACTATACTCCAAGCGGCTTCTGAGAGGGTGATATAAAGGGTTTTACTGAAAAAGGGCCAGAGGAGATGTGAGAATAGAACCCATGACTGTGGGGTTAACGAGCCGAGGTTCTATCACCACAGTACTGCACCTTCATACTATTATTCAGATATCTTGAGATGCGGTCGGGTCATACAATTTATAACCTTCTAAGACAGTTTATTCAATCAACCAAATATACCGTTTGAGAAATATTTTTTAATAAAAACTAGTCAATGAATCATTAGTAATATTGTTTTATCCTAATTAATAATTAATATGTTACTTATACCAACTTGAATAAATTTACACTGTCATTTTACATTTCAGATTCTTTGCACGATTAATAACCTCTCAAGATTGTTTACTCAAACATCCTAATTATGCTGTCAAAATTAGTTTTATGTAAACATAAACAAAAACCTTTGTAGTAGTGTTTTAACCTAAGTAATAATTTTAAATAGTAATATTTTACTTATTTTTGCTGATTTAATTTTATTTGAATAGATTTATACTATCATTTCACATTCTTTGTATGATTAATAACCTCCCAATATGGTTTACTCAAACATCCCAATTATGCAGACAAAGCGGACCATAAAATTAGTGAATTTAATTAATAAAAATGAAGTACACTTCACTAAAGCTCTCCGTGGCCATTTCATTTGTCGTCGAGAATCCAATCCGATTACACGACATTTGAAAACTGGCAAAAAGGAGGGAAAACTCATAAGGTGGGGTTGAGATAGGAAGTTGATGTCTGAGTAGATCGAGGTCACGATAGCTCAAGTGGTAGAGCAGCGGCATATCTAGCCAAAGATCGTGGGTTCGAATCCCGCTCGTGCCATTAACTTTTTTTCATCTCAACTAGAAACCTTAATTAATTGTACTGTTTACTAAATTGAAAATTTCAAATATATATACATTCTAAATATCATATATTATATAGCTTTATATTCTATATGCAAGGGCGTTTATACATCACTCTGACAGATACGTAGCTCTCAGATTCATTGAAACACTTGTATGAGTAACAAGTGTCTCTGCCTATCGTGTCGGATATTTGCAACAAAAGCTTGAATTTGAGCTACAGTTTAAGGACAACCTGTTCGCTTTGTGCCTTAATCTCTCTCTGAATAAACAAGGATTTGATCGACAGATAAAAATGAATTATAAAAAAGAAAAACTATGGCCTTATTTTACTAATTGGTGTGTTTTATGTTACCTTTATCGTAAAAATTGAACTGGCCGCTTTGAAGCATGCGATTCAGCCGTTCGACCTCCTCGAGCGAAGTTGCCCTCGCAATAGCCGCTCTGATTTGTGCCACTTCAGCCTTGGTTGGTCCTGAAACAAAATATACATAAAAAAATAAGACAGGTGAACCACAGGGTGAAAAGCTTGAACTCATAAGAATCGATACTCACCCGAGTAGGTTTTCTTCTCCTTAGCCAAGTTCCCGCCCGGTACGAAAGTCTTTGTCTTTTTGACGAACTCGCGTTGCAGTGCTCGGCCGACTTTGCTCTTGAAAAAGCTGTTTGCCTCTTCCCTTTCCTTCTCCTTTATCTTCCTGAAGTCGAGTAGCCTCAGGTTCGGCAGCTTGAAAGCGACATAGTGCCTGTAGTGCTGCTTCGTAACGAGTGGGCAGTGCATCAGGCTAAGAGAGCGAAGGCTCGTGAGCGATGTGAGCGGGTCAATGTCGCTCAACTCCTGGAGCATGTTACCAGTGAGGATGAGTGACTCAAGGTTCGGGAGGGTCTCGCCCAAATTATCACCGATCCTTCTAAAAACAATTATTAAAAATAAACAATATTAGTTTAAAAAAAGTTAAAATATATGCAAATCTACTTAAAATACTGAAACCAATATATGCAGTGAATTTACGAGTAGACAAAATGAAAACCCGTCCATCTTAGTTTAAGAGTTAACTCCACCCAGTTATACTATTCCATAAAACCATAAATTTACAATAACACTTGTAAAGTATAATAAAATGATAATACTATGTGGGAAAATCAATCATTTACGTTCTACGATTCCGACGTTACATAAATTGTTCGTGTTTTACGGGATCGAAGGCTGAGGGGAAAAGTGTACCGTCTGCAAATTCACGATTCTTAGGTTCGTAATGACTATCCAAACGAAAAAAAAAATTACTTACACAATCCTGTTGTTGTTCATGAGTAAACATTTGAGCCGTTTCAGAAGTGGGAAACCGTCCAATTTCCTTATATCGTTGTCGGAAAAGTCGATTGTGTCGAACTGATCTAGAGATGCGCCAAGGTTCTCGATAACGGGTATCTTATATCCTGGAAACACAAAAAAATATCATTAATGAAAATTTATTTTATTTTGTTTAAATCGAAACCTCCGGCTCTCTGACGCCCAAGATCACAAGAAAAAACATGATTAAAAGAAGGTGGCAGTGTCAACAGGCTGGATCGACAAAAAAACTTTCGCATATCAAGAACACTGTTGATGGGTGGCCCTAGGAGGGTCTGACTCGTAGATGGGACATCTTCATCCGATTAAGAATAGGCCATGCGAAGTTGACACACAGAAGCTTACTTTAGAGCCATAGTTCGTGTATGTGTCCGGCATGCAGAGAAAGGTTGTTCGATGTGTCCCACTCAACTGAAGGCGCGATTCCTTGGCTCCATATAGAGAGCATGTAGGAATTCCAATTATCTGGGTCTCATGTTCCAATTCTTGGAGAAAACAATTTGTTTTTTGCATTTATTAATAATAGTTGTGTATACCCAGCTTGTGTTGATAGTGAATGCATTTATTAGCAGGGTGATGTGTGAGGGTCGATGGCAGAATATACCCCATCACCCTAACTGAATGAATGGTATGTAAGGAGCAAACATATTTAAGAATGAACATGATGAACTGCGTGCGCTGGGTGATATATTGACCTGTTGATAGCACCAGAGGCCAACATCGGTGGCTGGATGGATAAGACCGAGGTCTGACCCCAGCTGACCACATGGGGTGGTTAATTCTCGGGTCTGCTGGCAATTCACTGTAAATAGCACAAGCTGGAATTGCCTGTGGACTACGAGAAGCAAACAGTATCAACTCGGCAAATGTCTGTATGTATGTACATGTGCAAAATTGAGCTTATACAAATACAAAATACAAAATAAATTGTATTGAAAATGATTATTCGGAAATCGTGAGATGTGGTCTGGTGTGATGTAGGTTTCAGAAAAAACATTTTCTTTATCGTGCCAACGTTTCGATCTTTATTGAGATCATCTTCAGGGCTCAAAGTGTTTGTTTTCTGCATAATTGTGCCATGCTTGCATGTCGTGTTGAGAGTGCCCATTCTTGCGTGTGTATTGAAAATAATCAGTTTAAAATTTTTATCATGGTGCGATGAGTTCCCATGATGGATTTTGTACCATAATAAGTTACAAATGACCCTGTATTGATGATGATCATCGTTTCAAACTTCAAATCATAGCACATGAAGTTCGATGATGCATTTCGTATCCAAAGTGGTTACAATGTCCCTGTATTGATGATAATCATCGTTTAAAACGTCTATCGTGGTATGATGAAGTCCCATGATACATTTCGTATCCAAAGTGGTTAGAAATGTTCCTGCATTGATGATAATCATCGTTTAAAACTTCTATCATGGTACAATGAAGTCCCATGATACATTTCGTATCCAAAGTGGTTAGAAATGTTCCTGCATTGATGATAATCATCGTTTAAAACTTATATCATCTTAACAACTATACTATTAACATAACAACTATACAAAGATACTATTAACACTGATAATACGTACCTCTCAGGTCCAGTTCCCTGTCTCGTACCGGGTTGATGTACTGTAGGGCCTGCTGTATTAGATCCGGGGTCAATTTGACCATTTTTTTAAATTCTTATTCTATTCGGGGCGGGAGCATTAAGAATAAAATAAGATGGGGTATAAGGACTGACGAGTAAGGTTACGAATTGAGCGAGACCCGCCGGCCGAATCCGAGTATTCGCAATAACGTATCGAGTACGGGGTAAAAGTGATAAAACTGAAGGTAAACGGAGAAAATAAAAGATTTTTTTACCAAAAAATGCGTAAGAGACGCTGTCTATAACCGAAAAAAACCACACGACGTCCTTAAGGGCTGAGGGCGCTTCTATCCAAACTCCAAAGACCAAACAAACCCTAAAGTATCGATATTAAACATCGATTCAAAAATCGATTGATGCATGTTTACCCATTTTACACTGTTTTTTTACTTTAACGAACAAACATTTTTGTATTAAAAAAAAGAATTTTTATAATAATATAAAAAGATTAAAATTTAAGTGGTAAAAGAATAGGCAGGGCGGTTAAATCGACATCGGGGAATTTCGAAGTCCGGAGGTAACACTGGGAGTCGCTGTGAGGAGGCCGGGCACGTTGTTTCTCCCCTAATCCTCAAAAATCCTTACTTGAGTTGTTAGTTGTTTTTTTTTTATTCTCCCTCGGACAATAGGTATGTTGGCTTATTTATTCTGTATTTTGCTTAAAGTAAATTTCTTTTTTTTTACACTAGTTGGGGTCATTTTTTTCACTTTTCGCCTGCCTTTTGTGGTGGTTTTTCAAGTGTAATAATAGAAAGAATTGTTACCACTGGCAAGACTCAGTGGTCAGTAATGGCCAAAGCGTAAACAATTGTTATTTTTGTTTTTTTATGTTTGTACTTTTTGTCCAAGCTAATGACAAATTTTCTGCATTCAATTTGGTCATGAACAAACATTCTTGTGCAGTGAACAATGATAGCAGACGAATAAGCATGCATGTTCAGCCACTAATAAGATAATTAATGGGAAATTTATGTGTTGTTCAGTTGGGCAACAAAGCAAAAAGCAGTGTAGTGGGTAATGGTCAGTTTTGGCTGATGCGAAAGCAAACTTTCTGTAGTTTGTGAAGTGGTCCATCATGGCCGACGCATAAACACACTTCTGTATTTATCGAACACTTTTCATCGCTGTAATAAAAAATGTCTGTGTTCAGTTGGCCAACGAAGCAAAAAACCAGATTGTGTAGTGGGTAACAGTCAGTTTTGGCCGATGCGGAAGCAATCATTGCACACCTTATTGTGCAGCAGTCCATCATGGCTGACACAAACCAATTTCTTTATCGGTCTTTTTTGACTGATGTAATAATATATTTCTGTGTTGTTCAGTTGGCCAACAAACAGAAAAAATATGTTGGGCAATTTAGAAACAAAATTTTCATATGCTGTGCAGCAGGCGTCATGTTCTTTGTTTGGCCAACACAAATAAATTTCTGTGTGGTACTGTATATACTTTAATATCATACAAGTGGCAAAAAATTTCTGTGTATTCCTTTTTTGATCACATCCGAGTATGGCAGCCAAAGAACAATTGATCAAATAAGAATCATGCCTTGTCTGTGTTCAAACTTTAGAATCGATACATTTCAAGAGTAGACTTACATTTATTTATCACGGTGACCTGTGTGAAGTTCCAGGTAGGACCGAAGAGCCATGTCAGGCCGGGAAGGGGGGAAGAAGAAACCGCTCAAGGCGCCGAAAAAGGAGTCTAAAGAGATGACTGACGAAGACGTCGCTGCGAAGCAGAAACAGAAGGAACAGCAAAAGGCGTTGCAGGAGATGAAGGCGAAAGCGGCACAGAAGGGACCCCTCGTCGGAGGTGGCATCAAAAAGTCCGGGAAGAAATGAAAAAACCCACACCTGTTCACACCCAATCATTTATATATATTTAAAAATAAATTTGTTTTTTTAAGATCACTTTTTTCCTTTATTTAAATCTTTATGTAGAGTAGACTATGTTCAATCCCGGCTGGAATTTCAATTTTCACCCTCCCAGGTTGGACTTTTTTTGTTTATTGGACTTAATAATTTTTTTAAACAATTAATACCGTGTATAATGTCCTCTCTTAGCTAATAAAACCTCTACACCTGTCAGGCATACTATTACTAAGGTTGTTAATAATTTCATAAGGAATTTCAATGTTGCAACCTGCACTCAGCTATTGCAGGTCAACTGGCTGCGGACGGTGATCGGAAAGCCTTCACTGCAATGCATTCCACATGTGCTCAATGGGATTGAGGTATGGAGACAATGGGGGAAGATGCAGATGGGAAATTCCCATGTTTTCTAAACATTGATGGACAACTCTGCCTCTGTTTGACATTGTCAACCATAAATCAAAAATCGCTGCTGATGAGATTCCCCCCCCAAGGGTGTCCGTTTTCTCGTTGCCTTCTACTCCTGGGACCCAGCAGAGGCTGACTTTGTTCTGCATGCCTAATATGTTTAGTTTGGTTTTGCAGTTCAGCACCATCCTTGAACTAGTGATATTTGAGCTTAGTGCTTTGATGGGGATGTTTGGCTATCTGACATGATAGATATATCCTTGTTTTTGTACCCTTTACTTAGGTTGAGTTGGGTATATCTTTCGATTGGTTGAATCTCAGCTTAGAAGATACGGTGTATTTTCCCATGGGTTCTGAGTATTTGGTTCCAGGTCCAAATACTCCTGCCCCTATACTTTCTTATGTTCTAGATCCATCTGTGTACCAAAGGATGGTGCCATTCTTAAAAGAGGTATTTCCCTCTTGTTCCCATTCATTTTTGGCACCTAGGTTTATTCGGAAGTTTTGGTTAAATTCAAACATGTCGTCTCTTGGGGCCATGAATATGTAATATGGATGGTCTTTCCATAGTTTGTTGCTATCTCTCCATTTCAGTTTTATTCCTATTGGAGGTTTCTCTTTGGTAAAATTGATGATGGTTTTCTGTGCTGCCCTTATTACCATGTGGTGTTGAGGGATTAATTCCAGTACTTTTTCCATGCTAATTGTAGGACATATTCTCATTGCTCCCGTTATGCAGATGCTTGCAAGCCTATATTTTTGAGTTCTTTTCTTTTAGTTACTTGTTCTGTTTTATCAGCCCAGGCTATAGCTCTGTATGTAAATAAGGTCTTACTATCATGGTGTACATCCATAGCAGGGTTTTCGGTCTGCATCCCCAGTTCCTTCCTACTATTCTTCTGCACACCATCAAAGCTTGTGATGCCTTCGTGATGGTAGAGCCGATGTGTTTCTTAAATGTTAGTGTTTTATCTAGTGTGATGCTTAGATATTTGACTTCTTTTTTTTATTTCTATCACGGTGTTATTGAGTGTTATTTGCCTCATGTGATCAAGTGTCCTTTTCCGTGTAAAAGCGACTAGTTGTTTTATTAGGGTTGATTCCTAAGTCAGCGGTTTTACACCATTCTTTTGTGATTTTTAGTCCCTCTTGGATTATATCACAGAGAGTTTCCTCGAATTTTCCCCTGGCAGTCAGGACTATGTCGTCTGCATATCCCTGACATTTTAACTCTCGAGCAGTTTATCAACTGTTAGGCTCCATAGAAGAGATGACAGTATCCCTCCTTGAGGACATCCCTTGGTTGTGCTAACTTCTATAGTGTCTGTTCCTATATTTGTTTCAGCTATTCTAGTTCTTAGCATTTCTCCAATCCATCTGGATGTGGTTGGTCTACGTGTTTTTTCCCTAGGGAGACCTTCATTGATGCATGAGATGCATTGTTGAAGGCTCCCTCAATGTCGAGGAACGCGCAGATTGTTATTTCCTTTATTTCCAATGTTTCCTTTAGGTCACTGGTTAGCTGGTACAGTGCAGTTTCTGTTGATCTTTCTGCTCTGCATGCTGACAGTGCTGTTGTTCTTATATGGTTGTCTATCAGCTTTTCAATGGTTTTTAATAGAAAGGATGTTAAGCTGATTGGTCTGTCGGATTTAGGTAGTGTAGGGTCTCTTTTTCCCACTTTCGGTATGAACACTACCTTTGCCCTACCTAGTGCTAAACTACTTCTATATAATCGCATCAATGTTGGAGTAGTATAGAATCATCTATTCCTTTTTGTACCAGGATGAAAAAAATCCCATCCGTTCCCGGTGCTTTGTATGGGCTGAAAGTGTTAATCGCCCAGAGGATCTTCTTCTCTATGACTATTCCAGCTGCTTTCTTCCAGTTTTCTTTCTTGGGATTTTCTACTCTCACATATTCCAGGGGGATGTCATAGGTACTGCCTGGAAAATGTTACTTAGAAGGAGCATTGCTTTTTGTTTTGTATCTTCTGTATACCTTCTATGTTCCTTAGGGCACTGTTTATATCTATTCTGTCCTTTGCTAGTGCCCTTGCAGTCTAGCTGCTGTAGATACTGTCGAGATTTCTCCGTAGAATTTGCGAAAATTTTCTCTTTTCGCCCTGCCGATGGCATGGTTGTATGAAGTAAGTAACTTTTTGTATTCTCCCCAGTTACTTGCTATTTTAGATTTGTTAAATGCTTTCCTGGTTTCTTTCCTTAGTTTGCCCAGTTCTGCATTCCACCAAAGTGGTTCTTGTCTACTTTTTGGGACCTTCACAGGGCAGCTTGACTCATATGCATCAACTATATTCCCTGTGAATTCCATAACTGTAAGTTTCACTTCATTGCAGGCTTTTGGTACTCTATTCACTGTTGCATGGTTTAGACTATGTCTTACCATTTCAGTGAACCTTGCCCAATCTGTTTCGGGGGTTCCTAAATGGTGTAGGGTCTGTCCTATCTGATTCAATGACAAACCTTATTATTTTTGGTCTGACATCAACTCTTCACCCAAAACCCTCCAATTTTTTATCACTTTATGTAGGGCTTGGCTGCAAATGGTAATGCCCAATACTTCTCGTCTCACTTTGGTGACAAAGGTAGGGGTTGATCCTATATTAAGTATTTTTAATTTTTCCTTCACCAAAAATTCTATGAGCGACTCACCTCGTTTGTTGTTGTTGGTGCTTCCCCAAATTTGATGGTGTGCGTTGGCATCGCATCCCACCAGTGGGGAGGTTCTTCTTGCCGCAGTAGCTGGCTAGTCTTCGTAGCTCGTCGGTGGGAGGGTGGTCCTCCTCTCCTGAGAAGTACGCCGATGCTACCATTGCTTCCAGTTTCTTCCCATCGGTTGGTATCTCCACCTTGATGGGAACTAAGTTTCTAGTCATGAATTCTGAAAGACAAAGATAATTAGTGTTTTTCCTAATTAATATACATGCATAATATAATATTCCTGTCTGAAATTCCACATACACCCTTATCGTCTTTGCAGGACAAACCACTAATTTGTCCTTTCCATTGCCAGGGTTCCTGGATGAGAATTGCCCATAGATGTGCTGTGAACATCCTAGCTATTACTGCCGAGGCAGCTTTAGTGTGATAGATGTTCACCTGGGCTATTCTCATTTCCTTCATGTAGGGTATTCTTTTGAGAGAGGAGGAGATGTCTCCTTGCCCAATAGTTCCTGCTCGGTGAGCACTCTCGGCTCTGTTTGTAGAGGAGGAGAAGTCTGGGTTCCTAGGATGACTTCAAGTGATTCAGAACACTCCTAAACTCCATTAGTTAAGAATATTTGGCAAAACCTAAAATATCTCTGAACGGCTCTTCTGTTTTCTTCGTTTGGACATCAAGTCATGTCGGGATTAAGGGAAATGAGTTAGCTGACAACGCGGCGAAAGCTGCACAGAACAATCCCATCATCTCAGTTTCAATAAATCTTGAAGATATAAAGTCCACTTTCAAACTTAAATTAATTGAAAATTGGGAAAATCAATGGAAACAAACCACTTCCAACTAATTACGAAATATAAAAGAGACTGTTAAACATTGGGTAACATTCTTCCAAACTTCCCTGCGATGAGGTCATACTATGTCGATTATGTATAGGACACATCTATACCATCAACGTACCTTTGTTGTGATCAATTAGATGTATTAGACATACTTGCGCCTCCACCATTTTGTCTGAGGTGGAATCATTACCACAAAATCCCCCTGGAATATAAAAGAAATGTTAGAGAACAAAAAAAAAGTTGATCATCTTCGAAAGTCTAAAAATGAGAAATCTCTATATACTTATACAAAATTTCCATAATTTCAAATAAACCACTGGTAGTACAAAGGCAATGATAACCTTTGATGTTTTTCGCCTATAAAACATAATTAAATAAATAAAAATAATTTAAAAAAAAATAAAGGAAGAACGATGCAAATATGGGTGTACCAATCGCAGGACCCTTTTTTTTTTTGGAAATTTTTTTCATCAAAGAAATCATACCGATTTGTTTGTAATTTTTAAATGTATTGTTCAAAGAGATGAAACGCACAATTTGTGGTACATTGAGAAATTTGGTATATTTTAAAATTTAATTGAATAAACGTACAAAAGATTGTTGGCTTTTTCCCTCCATTCTTCGTCTTTAATCAAATATGGCTGACGGGTTTGGTCGTGGTTTTTACTTTTTTTATGCTGGTATTAATTATTTCTTAATGTTTTTTTAATTTTGTCTTTATTATTATTTATTAATATTCTTCTTCTTATTTATTTATTTATTTTTGTAAGAAAAGGTGCTGAAATGTAGAATTTGTTTTGGTAGGCTGTGGCGTCAGAATCGATTATGAGGCGAGCGTTGCGCCCCGGCGGAATTCCGAGTTAACGGCGTGTCGACGACGCCCTGTTTGTGTTGAATGTTGATCGTCCAGTGTGCTACCCGTCGTCTCGACCAGAGTGTTAAAGGATTTTCCAAGGGGTTTTTCCACCGAGAACCACCGAAAAAAGGGGATTTTCCAGTTTTCCCAGATAACAGGCGGACTCCTCGGGTGGTAAGTGGTTTACGTTCGTTTCACAGCGGCCCGGGACGTCGGCCGGGACCACGTCAAAATGGCCCCCTGGAGGCGAAACACGACCGAGAACTTTTCACCCACGACGGCCTTTCATATTCAAAAACAACCGGAAAATCTCATTAACACAGTTTTCCTTTTTAATTTTTCACTTAACGTAATTGACAATCGTTCCGACCGTGAATTTTCCGGATTGATGTAAGATAACCTTGGTCCACTCCCTCTTTACATTCATCGATTCATTTACAATCTTCCTACTTACAATCACAAAAAAAACCTTTTACTACAACAATACAGTGTAGTTTGACTTTTTATCATCAACTCATTATTTTGTATAATGTGACACTTCAGTAATTTCTCATTTACACCTCACTCAGACCCCCAAACTTCCCTGTAACACAAAATCTGTGTGGTTTGATAGGGCGGTTTCAATGAGAGAACCTTGCATCTCGAAGTCTGGAAGGTTCTTCTTGATGTGATTCCCATTACGGGATGGTGTGTCCTAACAACCCATCACCCGTTGCCTGAATTCATGGTCAGCATGATGAGAGAATATGCATGACCGCCTTATTGGCTTGATTCATAGTGTGAACATGTTGGTTATTTTATCGTTAGGCCGATTTGGCAGTCCTCGATTCGAATAACTACAGGTACTTTCAGACAGATTCGTTACATCATATTACATCTTTAACTGTAAGTTGATTCACGCTTGTTTGTTATTTTCTGCAAAATTACATGTAGATCAATAATATAATAATTATAAATTGTCATAAAGCGGTTTCTAAATGTGGCTCCAGACATGCAGGATTTGAAAGGTTCACCAAATACCGACTAGTAAGGACGGGTGCTTTGGTATTAGCCGAGCAACAATATTCAGTGCTTTATATGTGTGGCTAATTGTCGGTTTTCTTGTCCGCTTCAGAGTGCATGAATTTGAACTAGCTGAACTCAAAACATCCACACATTCAGGAATCAATTGTGGTCAATCAATCAACAGTTATTAACTTATAACTGTTCTTCAAGCTGGACCAGTAATTTGGAATGCTTCTCTTCTACACAAATCGGAATGAGGTTTTCAATGCGTGGAAGCGGATTGAAAGTAAGATGGGGCAACAGTTTTCTGTGACTGAGTTTGTAGCTACTATGCAAAACAGTACTCACAGCTTCACTATTGTCCATCACAATCAGTAGTAAATTGAGGACTCGTACAGCACTTGGCAAATGTATATAAGCTGTTTCTGCACAAACTGGGTAGTTGTTACAAATAGGCATATTATTTGGCAAATGCCAAGATGAGCATCTCGACAAGTCGCAAGTATTCGGTGAATGCTGCATGTCTGAAGCCACCCTAAGAAAGACGACAAATATTCCTTCATAATATGATTTTGATTAAAAGATTTTAAATATCCATTTATTATTTTATCAATTTGAGATCAGCCAGTACAAATATTTAGGTATTTGTCGTCTCGATTCTGATCCACCAAGTCAAGGAGGCGTCATCCTAAATAGTTCGAAATTATAACTATGGAAATTTCTCTTTTTGTTTTGCCAATTTAATTGGTTTTATGCGGTCATTTCACATGTAAGTCACTTGTAAGTTCAATAACCTTCGAGACCGTTTAGTCAACTGTCCAAATAATAATAATATGTTTTTACAGAATTAACCCAGTTTACAAAAAAAAAAAATAATAATAATATTCTTTTTATCTAAGGTTTTTGGTTGAGATGAAAAGTTAATCACAACAGCTCAAGTGGTTAGAACAGCAGCGTATTGAGCCGACGGTTGAGGTTTCGAATCCCGGTTGTGACACCAACTTTTTCAACTCAACCAAGAGCTTACATAAATGGAATAAGTGATTGAAATAATTAATATGGTCAATTAGACCAATAAACATAAATGGATTAAAATATAATAAGTAAAGAAGTAATCACTTCACTAACAGCCCCCCCCCATGGCCAACTTTATAAGTTGCTGATAATTAAATCCTGATTACACGACATTTGAAAAAGGGCTAAAATTCGGAAGGTTGTAGGTCAAGATGAGGAAGTGTGGTGTCTGAGTGGATCGAAGTCACGATAGTTCAAGTGGTTAGAGCAGTGAGCCAAAGGTTGTGGGTTCGAATCTCGCTCATCAATCTAGACCTGTTCAAAGAATCCCATCTCGAATATTTCCAATCATAGTTTCTGAATATGTCCAAAATTGTTTGTTGAGTTGAATGGAGCCTGTGTGCAAGCTCTGATGACAAAAAAAAGGATTTCGACAGTATCATCGTCGATATCAAGAATGGTCGCCCAGTGTGTGGCTTATCAGAAAGGTTGAAATTTTTCTAACCATCTTCTGCTTGTTCTGTCAGAAACTTTACCTTCACCAGACAGTTTCAATAAATTTCTAAACGCTTCTGTAGCATTTCTTCCTTGTTGGAATTCATAACAATCATGTCTCACTTAATGCTAACATGAATAATTTTTGTTTTAGTTCATTTGCACTTCATAAAAAGAGAGAGCCAAATATGCGGACTGAACTTTCCGGTACACCTTTTCCAATATACAAAATATAACAATATAAGACAAAAATAAGAAAAAAGAAAAAATTACTAAGTATTAAACAATATCTAAAGTAGATAGATGTATTAGTCGGGGTGTGTATTATACCGTGCTCTTTAAGAGCTATTGTATCCCCCTTTCTGTGCTTAAATCACACCAGTAAGTCCTAGCTCAGGGCTTCCCAATCTTTTTAACCAGCGGACACCTTTCACAGAACAAAATCCAGGGCGGACCCCTCGCATTCATGTATTTAAAATTAGATACTTATAGCAAATTAAAGTCCTATAAATTAATATTAGCCAGTTCATTCCTAATTAGGTGGAGGGGGATATCACTATGAAAATAAACATTAGATGACATACTTAACTTTATTTACAATAATGCGGAACACAAAAATCAAATTGGACATAACATAATCAATACATATGTAAAACTCAAGCCAATTTCAAGTAATTAATGGGAAGAGCGAGGTTGTTTTAGCCTGCACAATTTAGCCGGAGACGGATGTCTGGTCATCTAGACAGCTTTGGTATTTAGTTTTGGTGGCTGTACAGATAGAAAATAAGGATTCGCATAGGTAAATTGTGGTGAATTAAGAACGCGTTTTACTTTTTGAATGAGCGGTTGAATTTTTTTGTTTTTCAGAGTCAAAAATGGGGGTAAGTATTGGACTCGAAAGTAAATTTCAAGGTGGAGTCTGAAGTAATGTCTATCAAACATTTGTCTTCAGTTGAAGATATTGCATCTCCGGCTGTTGGGGAGTATTACTCAGGACATCAGCTAATTTGAAATGTGTTCACATATTTCATTGATGAATGTGCTGTTTGCAAGCTCCAGTTTGCTTTCTTCTAAAAAAATCATTTAAACATGAAAAGACTCCACCTCTTCCTTCTCAACAGATACAACCCAAAAATGTATTTTTCTTTTGAATGCCTTCCAAATCAAAAATTTCCGCTTCTGAACCGAGCAAACCTTTTGAACAATCCCTTTTCAAAATGTTTAAACAATAATGATTAAATAAGCATTATTTCATAAGACAAGAAGGATAAAACCAATTTTTTACAACCAAATAATAAATATAAGTATAAATATAATTAAGTTTAGTAGAAAGAATTCAGTAATTCAAACGTGAAAACATCCCAGGGGCATCTTACAAATCAGCCTGCCTAATGGAAGACTTCCTCTGCCTCTTCCCACTCTCTCTTAATGGACAATTTACACCAAATTAAACCTTTCTCTTCCCATCCGTGTCAAAAATCTCTTCTTTTTTTTTTCTTTTTTTAAAATTAAAATTTTGTATTTTTACAGCCAGTATGCAGACAATCAAGTGTGTCGTTGTCGGGGATGGGGCGGTGGGTAAGACATGCCTTCTGATATCGTACACGACGAACAAATTCCCGTCAGAATATGTGCCAACTGTGAGTTGATTTTATTATTGTATGACAAAAATTGTTTGTTAATTTAATTTTTTTAAAGGTATTCGATAATTATGCTGTGACTGTCATGATCGGCGGCGAACCCTATACCTTAGGGCTGTTCGACACTGCAGGTAAATATTATTTTGTCTTTTATTAATTTATTTAAACAAATTTTTTTTTCTTTTGACATTTGTTTCATCTAATTTTCAGGCCAGGAAGATTATGACAGGCTAAGGCCGTTAAGTTACCCGCAGACGGACGTGTTTTTAGTGTGTTTTTCCGTTGTATCGCCTTCTTCGTTTGAAAACGTCCGAGAAAAGGCAAGCGGATTTGTTGTAATTTTAATAATTTAGACTTGAAAAGGCCAACCGAGTTTTTAACTGATTCAAAGCAGTCCCCCCTCCCCCAAAGTTAAACTTATCTCGAAATACCCAAGAATGATATTTCACTCAGATCCTTAGTTATCAGTATCAAATCAAAATTGAGAAAAATTCAAAAATATATTCAAAAAAGAAAAGAAAAAAGTCAATGTTGAGTAGTTAAAAATAGCGAATTGCTAAGAGCTTTGTCATCGGCCTTGTGATAACAGGAAACTACAATCAAAATATATCAGCACTGTCAAATCATTATTTAAACGACGTTTTCTCATTCTCTTTTTCTTATATTTTTTAGTCGGTTTTAATTTAAATTGAATAGAGGAAAATTATATCTGCTCAGATTTGTAATTTTTGCCGTGCTGATTACAAAATGAAATAATTTATTTGATGACGACCATCGGATCCGAAGGTAAAATCTTTTTGGATAGTGATATGATGGTCCAGTTGTCAGACTGTGGAGAGAGATTCCAATTTTGTCAGATAGATGCCCAGTGTGTCTGTTAGCCAGATCTGACGATCAGTTCTGGCTGTGGATTCAGATTTAAACTTAGATGATACATATTGGATGCCCAGGGCTTAAAAGGGTTAGATCTTTACATACAGCTCAGGCCGTTGACAAATGCAGGCATTTGTGTCGGATGCACAGCCTTATGACTAGATCCAAAAATCAGCACTGTCAGGAGAGTTAAATTGAATCTAAGGCTGTCAGACAAATTTTGATGGTTTTGTTGGATGCAGGCTCAGGCATTAAAGGGTTAGATCTGACAGGCTTTAAATTACAGTTGAGTCTGGATTTAAGTTCAGCCTGTCGGACAAATGTAGACGACCTTGTCAGTGTTCGATGGAGAGATCAGGTAGTTGTTACAGGCTGTATGGTCAGATTTAAAGTTGATCCGAAAATAAATTCAATTGGTTGAATTCAAGCTTAGACTGTTGGACAATCGTAGACAATTTTGTCGGATGCATGCCCAGGGAATTAAATGGCTATATCTGGAGTTGTTACGGCCCGTGGGGTCGAATTCAAGCTCAGGCTGTCGGACGTTTTTTGCCCATGCTCAGGGCAATTGGATCAACAAGCGTAAAAGACAGTTGAGTTGGATCCATTCCTAGCCTGTCACAATTTAAGTATTTTCGGATCAAGTCTCAGTGTATGATCACTATATATCCGACCATTTTTTCTATTCGGAGTTCAGATTCAAGGCGAATTGAAGTTCATAAGATGATTTTTTTCCCCCTATGTGTGCTACATTTTATAAAAATCCGTTGTTAATAATTTTTTTAAATGTTGTGACCAAAAGTGGGTGCCTGAAATAACACACCACTGTCAGAAAACGCCGTTTCTCCTTGTCGGGACGCAGATTGACCTGAGAGACGATGCGGCGACAACCGAGAAGCTGGCGAAAAACAAGCAGAAGCCGATAACATTCGAGCAGGGCGAGAAGCTTGCCAAGGAGCTAAAGGCGGTCAAATATGTCGAGTGCTCGGCGCTGACGCAGGTAAGTCACACGGCACTGAGGGTTTAGTTTGATTTTTTACCTTTTAATCGTTTCGCAGAAAGGACTCAAGAATGTCTTCGATGAGGCGATACTCGCAGCGCTCGAGCCGCCCGAACCGGCCAAGAAAAGGAAGTGCGCCATTCTTTAGAGGACGAGAATTTTTTTTATTTTATTTTTATTATTTCTTTTTTTTTTTCAACACACAATAGAAAAAGCACACACATGCGTATTCAAGGTAAACCATATTTTAGAATGGAAAAAAAAAATTACTTTTCCTTAGGGTCGGAGCAGTGTATTAACGCTTAAGACGGCTGTCGAGCCTGATTGCCACAGACAATCTTAAAGAGCGTCGTTTTAAAACTCATTTTTATCATTGATTTATAAAAAAGAAACAAACAAATGTTTTTTTCTTCTTCCATCCATCATAAACGGCGTTGTTCGCCGTGCCCTGTGTGCATGTGTGTGTACGCTTTAAAACTTGTAATAACGGTTTCTTTTTCTTTTTAATCCGATTTCCAGGTCGAAGAAAAAGAACAGAGCTTTTTCCCTCCTGTCTGTCTGTAAATAATAAAAATCAATAAAATTTCGGGAAAATTAAAAAAAAATTCTATACCGTTTATTATAGAAAACACCATCCGCGTGTCGTCCTTTTTCTTTTCTTTTTTTTTTTTCTTTTTCCTTTTTTTAATTTAATTTTTATTTTTGCCAGTTGTTTTCTTCTCTTGATTCTCTCTATAGAGGACACCTCCCTCCCCCCTTGAAATAAATAAAAAATAAACACCACACACACTTTTCCCTGGTTATTTTATATATCGATTATTTAATTTAATAAAAATTATTTAAAAAATATATATTTAAAAAAAGATAGTAAATTGTGTTATAACACACTTAACCCATTTGTGTTTTTTTGTTAGTTTATATACATGTATCCCTTTAAAGAAAAGCAAAAAAAATATATTCTCTTCATATATTTATCATTAAAAAATTTCAAAAGCTCAAAAAAAATTTGTTTTTTGTTTTTAAGTACCTAGAAGTGGACTTAAAGAGGACTTAAAAAGAAAAAAAAGAATACTTATATATCCAGGTATCCAAAATGTTTAATAATTTTACTCTATTATGGATAGCATTTTTTTTATAATTATAGTGGAAAAACAAACAAAAAAAAGCATAAATTATATTTAAAAATAATAATTAATAAAAAATGGGTCGNTACTTACAAAATAAATATATATATTTCGTCCCTGCCCTTAAAATTCCATGGTTTTATTTTTTAATTATTGCTCACTATTGTAAAGCGATGAAAAGTTCCTACATCCACGATCTTCTTATCTTCATCGATGTGAACGAACCGTATAAACTTCAAATTGCAAAAAGCGCGTACTTGCCTCTACCTTAACAGTATCTACCCTTAACATACCATCTCTATCAAATCTTACCCACCTGTACCCTTCTCTAAAGCCACACTGAACCGTCCCCCTGTACAGGGTTTCCGTTTTAGATGGCCTATGGCCTGGCTGAATTTGTCTTGAACCAATGATTTAAAAAAAACCTACCTTACCTTTTTTTTGTAGAACAATTATACAGGCTACCTCAGGCCCAGTTCGACTTCAAAATTTCAAATATAACCCTATACATCCTGACACATAATTTTAAAAGATTTTTTACGCCAAAATCAATGGTGTAATCGGATTTTAAATTGGTCAAAAAATGAGTTATGGCAAAAAGTTGGAAAGAAAAGTCATTTGGTTTGCTATTTATTAATCAAATTTCATGTTCAAACTGCCTGCCTTGTGTAAATATGCAAAGATAACCACTCTTCACCAGTGCTCAGAGCGGGTCAGCGCAGATGGATTGACAACCATTTTCTATCCTTTGCGACAGTTCGTCGATTAAGTTTGCTGAGTTATGATTGGCGCAGACACTGTTTTTTAAATGGCCCTACAGAAATATTTAAATTAAATTAAATCGGGTGACCGAGGAGGCTAACAATGTAGCATGAGGTCCTATACACCTATCCCAAAAGTGACGATTCAAATAAGGTCTCACTTCCAAAGCATTGTGTGAGGGGCATCCATCAAGTTGGAGAATCATTCTTTGTCATTGCAGATGAACATCATCTAATAGTGTTAATAAAACCTTCAAAAAATTTGAGCAACTACCATTTAAACTATTTTCGTAGAAGTAAGGCCCAATTAATTTATTTCCGAGAAGTCCACACCAAACGTTGATACTGTGAACCACCTGATGATGACAGTACGAAATTCTCGGATTTTCCTCTGCTCACATTTGAAAATTCCAGCGTTTAGTATGCCATTAGAGGTGAACTTGGAGTAGTCCATGGGATGTATGGAAGAACGTTTTCTTCAGCCTTCCCATATTGACATTTGTGCAAGGAACGTTGAACACGTGTCACAATCAGTCCCCAAGTCCCTGGACGAGAGAAATAAGGCTTAAAATTGTAAGTCTGGAGTACATCTCTAAATTTTTTTTTAAACGTAAAACCCTTCCAACATTTCAGAGATGTACTCCGGAATTGGGATTTTCACAAATATAAACTAAAATATTTAGCTCCTCGTCGAAATTTCGCTGCCGGTTTCTTTTTCCCATAACTTTATAATTTTTTGACCAATTTAAAAACTGATTGCAGCATTGTTTTCAGCATAAAAAACCCTTTAAAATGATGTGTAAAGATGTATAGGATCGTATTTGAAATTTTGAAATTGAACTGGGCCTGAGATACCCTGTAAAATTTTTCAGCAAAAAAAAAAATGCAAGAATTTGAGACTAGACTGATAATATTAAACACATATTTTTAATTTTTTTATAGCATTATTGGTTCAGGAGAAATTCTACTGGTCTCAAATATCCTTATAAGACTCTACCCTATATTAACCATTCTTTATCTGCCTTAATAAATCGTCTCTGACCAACAATTACCTTACCTACAATTAACCATCTCTATCCCTAACCATCTATTCCTACTCGTCCTCCCTCACTGACCCTTAAATATCATCTCAATCCGTGTTCATTAGATGCTAACCTCTCCGTAGAATGACCCCCCATAGCTGAAAGTTTTACGTTTGAAACGTTGAACGAAAACTAAAGAAAGTAATTAAGAATGGACAACGCCTCACGTGGAACCTTAGCGGATAGTCACTGTGACGATGGCTGAAGTTCAGCCTTTAACCACACTTATCTCCGGCTCCTCGAGGAGATCCTGTGTGACATAGACTTGAAGTGATTACACTCTTCCTATCACAAGCATTTCCTTGGCGTTCTGTCAGATTCTTCTCATACCTGTACATGATCTCACCTGAACCAACTATAGAACACATTCTGCCTAACTCAGCTTCTCTCTGTAGTATTCTCACATCTTCAAAATCTAAGGTGTGATTTTGGTGAAAACGATGATAGAGTATCAGGTAGGTCTTTATCATTACAGTCTTTTGGTTTTGAAATATCCTTAAATTTAAGAGTCAATGGTTCTCACTGATTAAATAAATTGATTTATTAAAAAATGGATATTATGCAACATGGTGATGTTCAAGGGGGGGTTCAAGTGGGCAGATAAGGGCCAATTCACATTGTCATCGATGCATGTTGTAAAAAAACAAAAAAACATTCCAGTTGAAAGTGTTTACTAGAAGGGAAAATTGTCAATTATACAATCACAGACGGAATGCCGGTCCCGCCTGTCATAAAGTGCGTCGTCATAGGAAACGGTGCAGTCGGGAAGACTTCGATGCTCATATCGTTCACGACGGATGAATTTCTGCCCGACCACGTACCGACGGTGAGTACATGTGAGTTCCAAACGGGAAAAAAGGTCTCAGGTGGGTATTTGCAGTGTAAGGCTTGTACGATGAAGCTTGGATAAAAAGAAAATTTACCATTACATAAAAAAAGTTTCCAAGCTGACCTGCAAGAATTCATGATTTGGACTGTACTAAATGTGAAGTATGAGAGGGGGGCCGTGGTAGCCAAGTGGTTAAGGCGTCACTCTCGGCTAGTAGATCCCCCTGCGGTCGTGGGTTCGATCCCCACCGTCACCTCTGGACTTTTTCTGACGCCTAAGGGGACCGGTGGTCACAATTGAAAGAAATTGACACGGCACTCATCGATGGAAGGAGCGGGATCAAATCTCAGCGACCCTGAATTTGGTCCCAACCCCCTTCAAAAATGAGTTTCTTCGATGGAAGAACACCGGCACACCGGGGGCTCAAATTCACACTTGTGTTGCGAGCCTCCCAAAAAATGGAGCCAGGGATAAAATACAATAAGCTGTACAGCTGCAGTGTTCACGAGGGAACTCCTCCAGTTCCTGGTGTCCATTGTTAAAAAATGAGAGATGACGTTATTCCCCTCATACTGCCTGTTGTTCTTTGGCTTCTTCGAGAATCAAAAGTCTTTCCCTAGCCATCCCCTTACTCTATGTAAATTTTCTATATAAATTTACAGATTTTTGACCACCATGGCGTTGACATCAGGGTAAACGGTCAACCTTATGTCCTCAACCTATTTGACACAGCAGGTCGTATGAATGTATGTTTAAACCAAAAAAATAAAACTATAAACAACAAATCTTTGTTTTTTTTGTCTTTTTATTTAAAAAAAAGGCCAAGAGGAATATGCAAGGCTACGTTCTCTCGGATACCAACATACAAACGTATTTCTAATATGTTTCTCCGTCGTGAACCCGGCGTCATTCCAGGATGTCAAATCTAAGGTAATTTTTTTTAAATATTTTTTTTTAAACAATGTTCAAAATATTGTTCAGTGGATTCAGGAAGTGAGGCACTTCTGCCCGAGAGCCCGGTACATACTCGTCGGTACGCAGATCGACCTCAGAGAGAACGAGAAGACTCTGGCCGACATGACGAAGAGGAGGTTGAGGCCCATCAGTAAAAACAACGGTGAACGGATGGCGAAGGAGATCGGAGCGTGCGAGTACTTGGAATGTTCTGCTCTTACCAAAGTAAGTTTTGTTTAAAAATAAAACTTTAAATAAAAGGGAAAATAATTCCATCCTGTTTAGGAAGGCGTGAAAAAAGTGTTCGAGGAAGTTGTGCGCCACGCTGTTTTGAGGCCTTCTCTCAGGAAGTACAGGCCGGCAAACTGTACTTTGTACTAAATAAAAATTGTAATTTTTTAAAACTTTACATAAGGGTTATTTATTTGTTTAAAAAAAATTAAATTAAAAAAAGATTCAACTATGAATAGATTTTTTTTCAGTCAAAGAATACTTATTCGGTTTAAAGGACCCGTATTTTAAAGGATATAATATTGGATGTCGGGACAGCCTAGTTTCAAAGGAAACACTTGGATGAAAGTGCTGTTAAATTTTGAAGGATATCTATTAGTTAAAAAGGACTCATCCTTAATAGTGGAGGGTAATGAAAAATTAATTCACTACTTTCATGGTCCGCTTGACCAATTAATGCATGATAATTAATTAAGGTTTTTAGTTCGAATCCCGCTCATGCCATTAACTTTTTTCATCTTAACTAAAAACCTTAATTGTCATGTATTAATTGGTCAAGCGGACCACGAAAGTAGTGAATTAATGATTTAAAAAATGAAGTACACTTCACTAAAGCTCTCCGTCGCCATTTCAATTGTTGTCGAGAATCCAAATCGATTACACGACATTTGAAAAATGGCAAAAGGAGGGAAAACTCATAAGGTGGGGTTGAGATGGGAAGTTGATGTCTGAGGGGATCGAGGTCACGATGGCTCAAGTGGTAGAGCAGCGGCGTATCTAGCCGAAGATCGTGGGTTCGAATCCCGCTCGTGCCATTAACTTTTTTTCATCTCAACTAAAAACCTTAATTAATTTTCAGGTAATGAAAAGGCGGATAAGGCCGGGATGTCCCAACGTCCGGACTTAACCACCACTTCTATCTCTAAGAATGCAATAAAAAACACAATAAGAAGGTGCCAGCATCAAGGGGCCCCCCTTAATCTCGTATCAAGAGCACTGTTGACGGGTAGCCCTCAGAGTAGATTGGCCATCCTCATCTGATTAAGGTTGACACATGGACACGTATTTGTCTGGTACAATTCGTTGGCTCCATACAGAGGGTGTGCAGGAATGCCGATTTGAGAATTGTGCTTGAACGCGCCAGCAAATATTTGGAGGTCTCATGTTCTGATTTTTGGAGGAAACAGGATTGTTTTATTATATCTTGTAATAGCTGCGTATATCTATCTTTTGTTGACAGTGAATGTATTTATTTACGAACACTTCGATCAAGGTATGGTATTGAAGAAGAAAAATTTAATAGCTAATGCCAAGCTATTTTAAGGTCATCATCAGGTCAAAACTACCTTAAATATGTCTACAGTTCGACCTATTTAAGTTCTTTTTACAACTTTAAGTTTGTCAATTTGTAGATATATTTAAGGTTGTTTTGCCATGATGATGACCTTAAAATAGATCGAAAGCTTGGAATTGGCAGCTAAATTTGCTTTCTTCTTCAGTCCTATATCTTGATCCAGTCTGTTCGTGAAAAAGTGGTTGATACTTATAATACTGAAAATGTATTTATTAGCATGAATGTTTAATGTGAGCGGGTCGATGGCGGGATATTGACTACCCTATCGACCCACAATTAGGTTAATTGTATAAATATGTGTAAAGGGTGATGGAGGGGGCCGGGATAGCCGAGTGGTTAAGGCATCAGACTCTCGGCTAGTAGATCCCACGGTCGCCTCTGGACTTTTTCTGACGCCTAAGGGGACCGGTGGCCTCAATTGAAAGAAATTGACACGGCACTCATCAATAGGAGCGGGATCAGATCTCAGCGACCCTGAATTTGGTCCCAACTCCCTTCAAAAAGAGTTTCTTCGATGGAAGAACACCGGCACACCGGGGGCACAAATTCACACTTATGTTGCGAGCCCCCAAAAATATGGAGCCAGGGATAAAGTTTAGCTGCAGTGTTCAGGAGAGGAAAAAAAGGTGATGGTGAAAAAGGTGATAAATACATCGAGTACTCCACCACACTGTGTTCGGTGCCGAACTGACAGCTGTTGACATCACCCCCCTCCCAGCACAACCTCGGTGGCAGGACAGATAACACTGAGGTCTGCCTCCAGGCTGGGTGATTCTCGAGTTTGTAATTAGCAAAAGCTCAAATTGCAGGTGGACTACAAGAATCAAATAGGCTCAACTCGGCACACGTTTGTATGTACATTCATGTGCGGATTTGGACCTATATAAATCCAAATCCAGTTTTTTTTATTTTATTTTATTTTTTTTTATATAGGAAATCAACTACTAGGTTATCATCGCCTTTTATTTGCTTGAATATTTTATTTATTTAAAATTTATTTTCTTTCTTGCCCCTTATTTTAATTAATTATTTCCCTTCTTCTGCTTTCAATTTATTCATTTTATTTCTTTGCTATTTCATGATTTGTTTTATGGGGAAAGTGGTGACTGCCCCCCAAATGAAGCAGTACCTGAGGGGGCGCCGTGTGAGACGAGTACCAGTTTTTGAACTTAAGTTTGGTATTTTTCTAACACTGCTTGGGGGGCAAGGATCTCCTTGCACTGCCACCAAACCCTCAGAGCCGTCGCCATTTTAAGGTGGTTTTTTAAATTTTAGTATATAAATTTCTTAAAATAGCTCTTTATTGATAAATATAAATACATTATTTTACTATACATCAAACTGAATGTAACTTTTCATGTTTTAAACCAATTTAAAGTATAATATGTTTCTACATTTGTATATTTCATTCTTCTCAACATAATGTACTTTTGGGCGAATGGGATATCGAATCGGTCCGTTTTCAGAATTTGTTTGTCCATTCCTTTCATATAGTTGGACCCATGTGGTTCAAACACCATTTCTACTTCGTATTATTTATATTCTGAATAATTTATTTAAAAAAATAAAAATCTTTGCGGGCATATTTTTTTCCTTTACAAAATAGCAAGTGAGAGAAAAAAAAGAACGATATGAGGCAGATATATTACAGTTGGGTTTTTTTAAAAGGAATAAATAAATATATATTTACAAACAGACATTATTTGTCCCATAGATTGAGATCGCGCATCTTGCTCTGGAATACGCGCTCAAGCGTATTGGCGTAGTAAACGTAGTCCGAATCGGGTGGGTTGTAAATCCGGCAGTTGTTGAATATTCGTAGCATGTCAGCGATGAAGAGCCGGCGTGTCGTGTAGTAGCTCGATTTAAGCCTTTCTGTCATTGTTTTCAAATCTGAAAAAAAGAAAAAAGTCACATAATTTTTACTATTAGATATTGTAAATACGCACCCATTGGGTATTTAATTATGTTGTAATATTTCGGGGCCTTGTTTGCATTGACGGGCTCCTGGAATGGCCAAGCACTTTTGTGGTTTTTTATCTAAAAAACAAACATTGATAATTTTTAAATTTTTTAAAAAGATTTTTAAACGGTGCAATGTACCAAGTTAAGGACCATGCGTAGCGACTTGGCAAGTGTGTCCGGGTGACTGCACTCCTCTGTTATGCGAGAAACGCGTGTTGTCCTTACGGCTGGCCGCCAGCCTGTTTCCCGTAACCCAGGTATCGCCTCAATAGGTATCATCCGACCCACGCCTTCACGGAAGCAAGTCAGACGGTACACCTTCTCAACTTCAATCTTTTTCTGCTCTATCAGCTCTTTCAGTATCTAAAACACAAAACTTTGTCACTTGGCAGTTTACCTTTATCATCTTCAGAGCTGGGTCATCGACTTTTCCAACCTTATTAGTCTCTAACCAACTTTACCCATCGTTATCTTTTTTTTTTTTTAATCTATTCCTATGGTCTCTATATATACTCCTTTAAACAACCCTTCAGTCACTCTATCCACCCCTATGGATCTCTGTATATATCTCTAACCATCCTCATTAACACCCAACCATCTCTATCCATCCTTACCAATTTCTGAATATATTTCAGCAACTTTTAACCACGTCAACTCACCCTCAGCCATGTCTATCCATACCTACTGATCCCTTATGAACCCTTAATACATATTCAGTATAGGTGTACCAAAATAATTTTAAACAACCAAACTACACCCCATGACAAATAATCCCACTGACCTCTTTCTGCTTCTGCACAATGATCGGAAGCTCGGTGTACACAATTTTTGGGTTGAGCTGGCAGTGCATGAGCGTCGCCTCGTCGTAGTATTTAATAAGGCCTTGGTAGACTGAGCTGTCAAGGTTGATGACCTTGTTAAAGCCTTGTTTCTTAAAGTACACAGTGGCGGCGGAATCAGCAAACGTAAGGAAATGATGTATGTTGAAACGTATGTGGTACTCTTTAAGGTGGTTCATGAGGAAACCACCATAGCCGTGAAGCTGCTCATGTGCCAGTACGGCGCAGAAGACTATCTCGGAGAAGCCCTGAGACGCAAACATCCGGAAGCATATCCCACCGATTAGCTTGTTATTTTTCAATAAAGCTAGCGTCTTGTGTTTTCTTAAAAAAAAATTAAATTATTAATATTAAATATGACAGTTTTGTTATTTTTAAATTTAAAAATGATTACGGGTCGAAGACAAAGCGTGAGATGTACTCAATCGGCATTTTGCGAAGCTGGCGTGAAAAGACAGACTGAAGTTCGATTAGGTAGAGCATCGTCTGGCGGCTCACCTTGGACGTTATCGAGTTTGAGACAAATACAACGCGTATAATGCCGGCTTCTTCTTCTGCCTTGGCATCCTGATAAGGAGTTGTAAGCTCCTTGAATACACTCTGAAAAAGAATTTCGTTGAACGTTTCGCCTTTTTTGAATTAGAATTGTGGTCTTATTTACATTGATCCCTTGGTTGCGTTCGTTCATCTGTGTGAGGACCTCGTTGACGAGATCCTCGGGTATGTCGTCGGAGTCTTCGACCTGATTCAGCTTCTGTCTCTTGTCCGCTTTTCCGTCTTTCTTGTCGAGTCTGAAATAAAGTATAATTTAAGGATTAACATATAATTTTTTTGTTTTGTTTTTGTTTTACGTGTCGGCGCTTCTTTTTCCATCGGATGTTTCAGAAGCCGCATTGGCTGCCTCGGAGGATGAAGCCTTTTCCGCATCAGCTGATCTTTTCTCTATAATTAAACAAATTGATTATATTATTTATTAAATATATGATTTTTTTTTTAAATTCTGCGACAAGGCTTTTACTTTCTAAAGTCGCTTGAAGATGAGGCGGAGGAGAGTGTTTGAAGTCTGGGTCCCAAATCGGTGAATTCGGCGAATAGACTTCTTCTTCAAACAGATCTAAAAACCTATAAAAAAAAATTGAATTTACATTAAAAATATAAAATAAAATGAAAACAAATTACTTAGGAAAGTGTGTGACAAAGACGACTCGCTTCTCCGGCGTCATCCTGTCCTTTTCCATGTGGCACTTGTCCACCAGCTGGCGCTTGAACGACCTGAAGACTGAACGTAGCATTGTCACGCCAAATATAGTCGTAGTCTCATAGTGTGTTAGAGAGTCGCAAAAAACAGGCACGTGACAGAAGACGAGCCAACGCGTGTAGTTCACCTTATATGCTGAGATGCTGTCGGCGTTCGTGTCCCTCCGCGCACTTGGCATCTCAAAGTTCCAATGGTTGAGCGAATTCAGGAATATTTTTGCCAGGTCATACATGATCTGCCAATCCTTTAAAATAATAATAATAAATTAATTAATTAACAAAAGAAATGAGATTGAATATTAATTTTTTTATATATGTATACTTTAGCCGTGAGGTGGCTGAATTTGTAAAGGACAAAGTTCATGACAGCCTTGGCGATGCTGGGCAGCTCGAACGGCGGCTGGCCGAGCGGGCCTTCAATGGAAGGTTTACGCTTCTCAGTGATGCACCTCCTCATCATCTAACAAAAGAAAAGGAACCAGTAATAAATCATAATAACAGAGGATAACATTTCTGAATCTACCTTGAAAAGATAGAAGTATACACCCTTGCTGTCAGCATCCTCCTCCCTGTCCATACTCATGTATATGTTTTCGATATCAACAACCATAGCCATGAGACGGTTTATCTCCTCATCAGGTAGAACATTCAGGTGCGATATGTGCTGAGCTGGTGGAGAAAAAACATTTGTTTTTTAATACATTTCAAGAAGAAAACAACTCAGCATTTTTTCGAGTAACCCGAGGTTTTGAATAGGATGTGATGGAGGATTATTGGATGTATCCATTTTTGTAGCAAGTTTCTAGGGTACAATAGGGTTTGAAGCATAGAGAATTCATGTTGGCTCTTTTTTTGGCCAATGCATCCACTTTCTGTCCCGAATGCCCAGGGATCCCTGACAGGTCAGGTCACTGGTGTCACTGACTTCTGATAGAGATTTCATACAACTCCATTTGCTATTTGCCTGGCTCCCTCTATCAGTTTTTGACCCACCAGTATTCCTGTTGGCTTTCAGAGATATTCCTTTGGCCCAATCTTCCCTTTCTGATATAAATACCTCCTGAACTCAGAAATCGAAGACTTAGTCAAGAGCAGTCAATCCAAGCACTCAGTCAAAAGCATTCGAACCAAGGACTCAGTAAACTTAAGGATCCAATCGAGACTATTCAATCCAAGAACTCAGTCAACTCGAGGACGCAGTCAAGATCATTCGACCCAAGGACTCACTCAACTTGAGGATTCAGCAAGACCATTCGATCCAAGGACTCACTCAACTTGAGGTTTCAGTGAAGACCATTTGATCCAAGGACTAAGACAACTCAAGGATACAGGCAACACCATTTGATCCAAGTACTCAATAAACTGGAGGACACAGACAACACCATTCGATCCAAGGACTCAGTCAAGATCATTCCACCCAAGGACTCAATTAAGAGCAGTCAATCCAAGGACTCACTCAACTTGAGGTTTCAGTGAAGACCATTTGATCCAAGGACTAAGACAACTCAAGGATGCAGACAACACCATTCCATCCAAGGACTCAGTCAACTCAAGGGTACAGGCAACACCATTCGATCCAAAGACTCAGTAAACTGGAGGACACAGACAACACCATTCGATCCAAGGACTCAATGAAGAGCAGTCAATCCAAGGACTCACTAGCTTGAGGATTCAGTGAAGACCATTCGATCCAAGGACTCAGACAACTCAAGGATACAGACAACACCATTCGATCCAAAGACTCAGTAAACTGGAGGACACAGACAACACCATTCGATCCAAGGACTCAGTCAAGATCATTCCACCCAAGGACTCAATTAAGAGCAGTCAATCCAAGGACACACTCAACTTGAGGTTTCAGTGAAGACTATTTGATCCAAGGACTAAGACAACTCAAGGATACAGACAACACCATTCGATCCAAGGACTCAGTCAAGAGCAGTCAATCCAAGGACTCAATTAAGAGCAGTCAATCCAAGGACACACTCAACTTGAGGTTTCAGTGAAGACCATTTGATCCAAGGACTAAGACAACTCAAGGATACAGACAACACCATTCGATCCAAGGACTCAGTCAAGAGCAGTCAATCCAAGGACTCAGACAACTCGAGGATTCAGTGAAGACCATTCGATCCAAGGACTCAGTCAACTCAAGATACAGACAACACCATTCGATCCAAGGACTCAATGAAGAGCAGTCAATCCAAGGACTCACTCAACTCGAGGATTCAGTGAAGATCATTCGATCCAAGGACTCAATGAAGAGCAGTCAATCCAAGGACTCACTAGCTCGAGGATTCGGCCAAGACCATTCGATCGAAGGACTCAGTCAACTCAAGGATACAGACAACACCATTCGATCCAAGGACACAATAAACTGGAGGACACAGACAACGATCTTAGGACTCACCGTACCTACCCCCACAAAAAGTAGTTAAGCACATACGCTGAACGTGCTCTTATCGCTTAGTTGTAGATCAGTACAGAGCATCAACGCCTGCCTACAAAAGGAACAAAGGACGCAGGAAGATAATCTGAATTCTGATAGGACTGAATGGTCACTTATAATTTAATACCGTTGCAGTATGTCGGCGAACACCTATTTAAAATACTGTGGCGCTGTAAGTACAGGAGGAGTACAATAAGACCCAGTATGCCGAATTTCAACCTATTCATTTATAAAGGCAAGATTGTAAAAACATTTGAAACAAGGGCTTACAAAGTAGGTGGGAGCAGTTCTGACATGGATCCGACGTGTTGGCAAGCGTTGTGTTCTTCTGCGTTGGAGCTTTCCATCCAGTGCATTGGCACTCCTGACAGCATGAGTAAATTGCGAGTTTGAGGAGTTTCTTGTCTTTGGGCCACCCGATCACCTTTTATACAGATATAATATGTAATAAAAAAATATATAGAGGGGAAAAATTGAAATTTTAAGTTTTGACCAACTTGATTCTTCCTCTGCTGTATCCTGAGGAGGTTGCTCGCCCGGACCGAATACTCCGGCTTGGCCGTGCTCGGGCCGGATGAGTTCATGTCGGGCCGTTTTGGTCTGAAGAGCGTCCGGGTCAGAAGTCGGCCGAGGCGGGAAAATATAATCCCGTCGGATGTTTACCCCGCGAGACGGAGAGAACAAACGGACGGGTTACCCCGATTGAACGTTGGACGGTTCGAGTCGAGTATCGATCCATTCGATATTTTGGAGGAAAAATATCGATATATGAAATTAACAATAGAGTAGATGAAGGTATAAATTTAGGCCATTGTGCGCCCTTTCTGAGCTATTTTATCTTCCTTTCTTTATTTAATGTCTTAAAGTGAGTCTAAATTTCTCATATTATCAGTTTTTGGACTTGATGTTTCTATTCAACTTACTTCTTCTGGACCTAACTTCAAGTCTGAATCATACTCTCTTCAGTTAGGGTTACAGCTGTATTGAAAATGGACGAACGGAAGATCAACACTCTTCAAAAGAAAACTCGCAAATTGAAGCATATAATTTCGCATATTGTAAGTAAATGTTTTCATTTTGTTGAAAATTTAAGTTCATTATAACTTGTTTCAAGTCCTGATGAAAGGGATTCTCCGAAAGCTTGACGGATGAACTGAGCGTTTTTCTTTTTAAATATGCCTTATATTTGATTTTTTTAATATATTTATCCTTTAGCTATTAATAGGCTAATGCTCCAAGGAGAGCTGATGGCAAGATAGTAGGGTTCCTGTTGAACTTTTAGTAACCGGGGCTTTTGGTGATCCTGATAAGGAACGGTGTTATGGGTGGGCTGATGTCAATGCAGTGAGGGCCGGTAGCAAGCAAAGCGACTCATGCGGTAGGCAGGCCGGCTGTTGAGAGAGAGCCTTTGTAGCTAGTGCTGACGGCTTGCTCCATTAGGGATTGTTGAGACCTCATCGATGAGTCTGAAATAAGCGGGTTGAGCCCCTTTAATACAAAGAGTTGTTGTTGAAATAGTGGTGGCACCTAGTGAATAACCACACTGCCTTTTAAGTGGAGACTATTGAACATTGTGCCAAGGAGATTAATGGATTGAACAAGAGTCGATAGACTCGGTAGCAACTTACGCAACATTCAGACCAGCTGTCGAGAGTGCGCGAGATGATGCTGCAAGTGCCCTTCTTGCTGCTTATGCCGATTTCCAAATCCATTAGTGAGAGCTGAGCCTAAAATCAGCAGGTTAACCTGCTTATTATATAGAGCTGCTGAAACCTTTTTGGCTGTAGCATGGAAGGCAAGACACGTGGTGACACCTAGTGAATATCTTGGTTTAGTGACTGGTTGTTTTGGCGGCCTTGACAAGGGCCGGTCATTGGTGTTGTTGTGAAGTCTAGAGGGATGAGGCCGAGACTGTGTGCTGTTGGCTTTGGTCTGGGGCTGAGGGTAGATTCGGCAGCAGAAGAAGGGACTCGGGCAGTAGGTAGCCGAGGAAAGCAAGTGACCGGTAACCAAGTCATCTGTAAGAATGCGAGTGCAAGACTGATGCTTTGAGTGCCCTTGCTGTTGAGCCGGTCTACTTGGCTTGTCCAGGTAGATACGAGATAGTGATTGTTGAATAAATAAGTCTTCCTTGCTGTATTAATTAACGTTGAGACCTCTTCGGGGAGATGAGTTTGAAGTCATAGGGGCCTTTGTTTATGTACGACACTGTTCCATTCTGCCTGCAGAGTGGAGAGCGAGACCATTCCTGGTGACTCCTATTGGGTACCATAGTAACTGCAGGTAGTCACCATACATGGAATCCACAGGGCACCAGACTGTCTTTGAAGTGGAGACTGTGGCTATCGAATGCTAGGCCGAGGAATCCTTACATTATAGCTGACCACATATTCTGACTATAGACAGCCAGGCGAGCAATGACTGCACCAGAGGTAAAGTTTAGTCATTGCATGCCCTATCAGATATTGCTGAAAACAACAAAATCCCCCCCCCCCTACACAGGGCAGAGGAGCAACAAAAAGCCCAATAAACTGTCCAAGGAAAGTTTGAAAACTTGTGGCTTGTACCATACTGTCAAAAACGTTGATCAGATAATGGAATAAAACGTATATTTTTTTTAAATTTTATGTTTTGAAGCTATAGTCCCAAAAGTTCAAAAGTTACAATCGCTGTCTATTAATTTCAATGTAGTCCAAGTAAGTCTTATAAAAAGTTTAGAGAGGAACATTTAGTTGAAAAATCATTGTAGAACAACAATTATAATCATTGTAGTTTTTGGCCTTTTTATATATAGCAGAATGGTTTGAAATAAGCGCAATTCCCTCCCGTAGCTGCACCCTTTCTATACAGAGCTAACGAATTAAATCGATCAATTAAGTGTGACGCGTTTTTCTTGTCTATGTGTCAAGTTCAACCTCAAATGGCCATGTAGTTAGGTACGATCCCCCTTCTTCAGTTCAAATCCTCAGAGGGAACTATCGTCAGACCTTGATAATTTAGGAGCTTCTACATCAATACGGTTCACCTATGCTGCCATTTTTTTTCATAACCCTCCAGACCGATGTGTCCAGGGAAATGACCACTGTTTATCCTGGATACTCCCGTACAGCAGTAAACGCAGATATTATGGGGAAAAAAAGATAAAATATAAATAAATGATGATTGGTATATTTTTCTTCTTCTCCTTCATTTTTTTTTTTTTTTTTTTTTTTTGTACTCACAAATTACAAAAACTTAACAAAATAATTTGTTTGCACAACTATTATTGTTTCACTGATCGATAAAACATTTTGAGCAAAAACTATATTTGGGCTAGTGTTAAAAGTCGAGGGGGGGAGTTAAAAATTTTAAATGCATTGGATTTTTGTTTTTTAATCATTAAATAATAAAAAATAATTACAGACATGACTATACCCGCTATTATTTTAATAAAATAAAAACAGTGAAATAGCCTTTTTTTATTTTTTAATCAATAAATGCACTTTTTGGATGTGAGGGTGTGCCTGTGTGTGTTTATTTAAAAAATAAAATAAAATATATTTTGCAGGACCTCTGGTTTTTCTTTCTTCTTATTCTATCTCACACGTTGAACGGAAAAAATGAAAATTCTTTTTTTCTTTCTTTCTTTTTTTTTTCTTCTGCCTGTTGACCTATGTTAAAATGGACTCGCTTTCCTCTTTTCGAACAAGGCCATCGTCGCGTCCTTCTTTTCACCGTTGAACCTCCTCAGCTCGGCTATCACCTAGGGGGGGAAAAACTGTTAGCTCTGAATGTAAAACATACTGCATCTACATACCTCCTGTCGTGTGAAACCAAACCCAACCATCTCTTTGACCTCGTCCTCCGTAAACCTGTCGGATGGGAGTATCGTGAGCACGTCGCTTTCAGGGCCGGACGATGTGCCGACTGTAAAAAAAATCCCCGTACATAGACAAAAACGACATTTAGGCAGAACCAATACCAAAATGACCAAGACGGTTTTTAAACTTTAAATTTATTAAATGCCTATAAATATTAAAAAAATATTTTTTTTTAACCAAAAGTGTTTTATTTATATAAGAAAAAATATTACATGACACATTGATAGGTTTTTTGAACACACATTAATCAGATAATTTTCTCCTCTTAATAATACCTTTCTTCCTGGTATCGTCTGGCGCAGTGAGCCTGGCGCACTCGGGCAACTCCCTTTCAGAGAGGAAGCGTGTCTCCGTACCGGTCGTACCTATGCGCAGTACATTGTTCTTCAAGTCGATACAGCACTGGTGCCTTTTGAGCATGTCTAGCCCGAGGAGCATGTCCATAGGCTGTTCCTCAAGTACGGAGAATGACGTCGTGAGGAAATCGGATTCGATGGCGACTTGAACCATGTGGATCCTGCCTATAATCCTCTGGACGCCGACGCCTTTTCAATATGTTTCATGTTATTAACTAGACAATTGTATCTCATATAGAAAAAAAGATACCTTTGGCAATCCCAGCCCACCTTGTGTCTACTAGCCTCATTATGTTCACCCTCTCTGCACAAGCCGCTGACATTATAGTCGTCTGAGCACCTGTATTTTAAAACAATAAAATAAAAACATAAACAAAAAAACAAAAATATAATGTTTTCACCGGAATCAATGAAGGCTTTGACAGGGTGCCCGTTGACCTTGCAGTTGATGTAGAGCATCACGACCGTCCCGAACGTTTCCGGGTTGTATTCCATCGCCGCTTCCATGTTCGCCTCGATGTTCTTTTGCTTGATCTCCTCGGCGATCAGCTCCTGGGCGGCTACGTCCAAAGGGTCCGCCTGGAGCATGCGTGATTTCTGGGCCATACGGCGCTCCTTCTCAGCTATCTGCTCATGGAGGACGCGAGCAAACTCGTTCAGATCACCCGAGTCGAGCGCCTTTGCAAGACGAGGGTTGTTCTGCTTGAGCAACGCGAGCTGGTCCGGGTTGGCAAGGAAGAGGTCACGAACGCGCGCCGGGTCATCCAGCCTCGAGAAAGAAGGGTTGTGGCTGCTCGCGCTGACATTCTCTTGACCTGGTACCTGTATATTGCTGAAATCAAAGTTTCCGACTAAACCTACAAAAAACAAAAAAAGCAAACAAAAAATTAAACTTCTATGTATAAAAATGTTATCAAAAACAAGCTTTAATCACTTAGTCCATTTTCAATTTTGAAAGTCTTGAATTTCTTGGTCAATTTGGGTCCGCCTATCATAGCGGTTTTGGTCAGAGGTTTGTCGGTTCCAGATTTTGAACATCAAAGATGGTTGGATATGGTATGTGGGTCGGAATAGTTTAAACACTAAAGTTTGTTTCAAAGGAGTAAGAACAGAGTAAAGAGAAAGATCTGATGGTTAGGGTTTGTGAGAGATGGTTAAGGGTAAGTAGTAAAGAGGTTTAAGGCTTTGAAAAAATTTGTGAATACCATATTATCAGCCAAGGGGTGACTTGTAAAACGAGTAACTTAACAAGAAAAATAAAAAGTAAAAAATATCCTTCTTCTAACCCCCAAACTTGGGTGACCTTCACGAGGTCCAACCTGTCCACACATCATGTGGTCAATATCCCAAGTAGAAGTATGGATGCGATCAATAGATAAAACGTTAGCCACAGGTTCGAGTACCACCCTGTTAAAGCCGCCCAGGCCTGGCGATGGTCAACTAACACATTCTGGTTGACTTTCAGGCGAGCTGAATTATTGCACCCTCTCTGATGGATGACCTGCAGGCAATTGATAAAAATTCAAAGTCCCGCCAGCATTGAACGTGTTAAGTGTGGATAGAGGTGGTTTAAAGCCAGCCAGAAGATGGTCTAATAATGAACAAACCAAACAATAAGAAAAATGAATGTAAACACCGAAACCACAATGACAAAAAAATAAATTAGAAAGAAAATATTCTATAGGAAATTCTGAAGACTAGGTGAAATGGAGGAAAACAGTGTGAGGGAACAAAGAGAGAACGTAATAATAATTAATAAATCTCCGTCTAAAACTCAAAAATAGGTAATAAGCCGGAGAAAATGTTTAAATAAATAAATAAATAAAATTGACTGATGCATCCTAAGTCAAACATAAATATGATCAATCACAGGTTTGGGAAAATCATTTATATCATCAATCAAATATAAATAATCCAATCATCATTGGAATTTCCAGACAATATGTCGTCTCAATGTAAATAATAATGTTTGTTGAGATTTTTTGGACCTGGTCCAAGGGTGACTGGACGTTTTGGTCTGCAAAAATAGAAATACAGGCAAGAATAGAGCTTTTATTTATTTTCCTCCTTTCGCCTCGTCATCCTTAGAACGACAATTCCTTTGTCAATACATCGATGGAGGGAAAGCAATTTTTTTTACGTACAAGAACAAACATATGATAAAATGGGTTAAAATAAATTGTAATAATTATACATAAAACAAATGGGGAATTTTTATCATGGATGACAAATGAGAAAATAAATATATTTTATAAATAATTTGACTTTAGTTTTCTACTTTTTCTGTACTTAGTTAAGTTAAATAATTGTTTATAATGCTAAGTAGCAGTATGGATGTGGCAGAGATTGTAAATAATATAATAAGAAACCACAAGGTGGTAATATTCAGCAAGAGCTGGTGCCCAGTGTGCACCAAGGCAAAGAAGTTGTTCAAAAAGATGGGCATAGGGTATAGCGCAATCGAGCTGGACGTGCTCGAGAATGGCCAGGAGATGCACGATGTCCTGATCAATATGACGGGCCTGAGGACAGTGCCGAGCGTGTTTATAAACCAGAAGCACATCGGCGGATTTATGTCGCTCTTCCCATATTACGAATGCTGCGTACTTAAGAGCATGGTGTGTGGATATCCGACCGAGTTTGAGTATGATGTTGTTGTAATAGGTGGCGGGCCGGCCGGCCTAGCGGCAGCGAAGGAGGCGGCCATACTCGGCAAGTCAGTCGCATTGTGCAACTTTGTCATGCCAAGCCCTCAAGGTTCAATGTGGGGAATTGGAGGAACATGCGTCAACGTAGGATGCATACCAAAAATACTAATGCGCCGGGCAGCAGACCTGCGCCATCACCTAACCGAGGCGCCTTCTTTTGGTTGGGTCCAATCCGCAGAACCATCCAATGATTGGAAACAGCTCATAGAAAACATAAACAACTACATACAATCTCTCGTCGTTAAGATAATAGAAGATCTGGACAAGCACAACATCAAGATTTTCACAGGATATGGCGAATTCCTTGATAAACACAATATCAAGATAACGGATGCAAACTGCAGTCACAATCTGTTGAACGGGATGTGCATAGTGATCGCAACCGGGTTGAGGCCGATATACCCTGACATACCCGGTGCCAAAGAGTACGGTATAACATCTGACGATGTGTTCATGCTTCCGTATCACCCTGAGAGTGCTCTCATCATAGGAGCATCTTATGTAGCGCTCGAATGTGCTGGGTTTCTGAACGATCTGGGTGTATCTTGCACTGTCATGGTGCGCTCGGTCTTTCTTAAGAAAGTCGACCGCGACATGGCTGACAAAATCGAACAGATCATGCAAAGTCAAGGTATTAATTTTATCAAAGATTGCACGCCGACTAGCATTGAGCCAAACGGCCACATGCTCACCGTAAACGCGACTCACAGTGACGGAACCGAGTTCCAAGAAGATTACCACACAGTGCTTTTTGCAACTGGTCGAGGCACAATGGTCGAAAACATGAACCTGAGCAAGGTCGGAATACTCTTAAATGACAACAAGAAAATTATAGTGAACCACAAAAACCAAACAACAGTGCCGAATATATTTGCGATAGGGGATGTCGCGGTGAATGATGTTGAGACATCGCCTATAGCTACAAAAGCCGGAAGGGTCCTCATGCAAAGGATATTTGGACTGTCGAAGGATACTGTAGACTATAGCTTCATACCGATGGCGATTTATACCATACCAGAATATGGCTGGGTAGGAGTGACGGAAGAATTCGCCAAAGGGATATTCCAAAGTATAACTGTGTATCATAACCTGTTCATACCGGTCGAGAGGGCCATGACAGACAGGTCGGATTCGATATGCTACGCGAAAATCATATGCAGTATGACCTGTACGCGAGAGCGAGTCGTCGGGCTTCACATCCTCGGGCCAAATGCGGGTGAAATAATACAGGGCTTCGCTCTAGCCATCAAGCTCAAAGCAACAAAAGAAGACTTCGACAACCTCGTAGCCGTCCATCCGACCTGCGCCGAGGTGTTCACAAAGCTCAGAAAAAGAAGTCCATCAGACCAAGAGCCATTCGCTGATATATTCTAAATAAAATATTTTTTATAAATATAACCACAGGTGAAAACTTTGCCTGACTGGAAAAAGCCTGGCTACGGCACTGAACGATAAATCCAGCCTAACACTTCCAACCAATCAGTCCGACATCAATAATCATCACAAATACAAAACAGTTAGAAGAAACATCAGAAGCAACAGATCTGACAGTAAAAATCTTATCCGTAAAAGAACACAGTTATCAAAGTCGTACCAGTTTGATTACATTTGCAGTTTCTGTCTGACCCATCATCATATTCAGTATATTTACGATAAAAAAATTAACTGGTTAACAATATTGTTAGGCTAATAGAAACAAAAAAATAAAATGTAGATGTCCGACAGACTGCGTTTACCTTCCACCTCAACAAATTATTACTCGGTGTGTAATTGTATCGCAATCTCTACTTATTTATATTTTTTTTTAATCTTTATGCTTAGCCATATCTAAAATTGATCTAAAACAACATCAGGTGTGTAACATTAAAATTTTCCCCTCTACGCTTTGCCATTTCAGTTCTCATCCGACAAAAATCCTACTCATTCCAAAAGAGCTTAGACGCTTTTCATTTTGCCCAGAACATTTCCTCCTCGTACGTTTTGATTCTGAACACGTTTTCCAGTCTTTTTTGTTTCTAAATGCCATGAAACCAACTGTACCCAATCATTAGCAATCCCAATCTTCACAATTGGTAAGGAAGCTATCACCATATCAGGTGTACAACTATCCACATTACAAAACTATTGGATTATCTAGAATGTATGTCTGTTTTTTTATACTCCACACAGTAAACTTGTGCTAAGGGAGTTTATGTCCTGCTAGTTCCAATTAAATTATTACCTACAATTCTTGAGATATTACATTATTTACATTCAAATTGATTGTTATATTTTGTTAAAGTTCATGCTATTTACAAATTCTTCAGAAAAGTCTTTTAGCAAGTATGACAAAGTTGGTGGCCAGTGTTTCCCGCTTAAAGTCTTTTTTTTTTAATTAGAAGACTTGTAGTTCGAACAATGAGCTTTCGACAAGATGTTCCCACATCTACATTCCGAGTCAGTCTGTAGATTGAATCGGTAAAGGTATGAAGCGTTCTTCCCATGTCCCGACAGAACTTATCTTTCTGTCGACTCGGTCTTCAATTTCAGGAAATAATTTTCTCATATGCAATCCTTTATAACTTGCTTTCCATGTTTTAGTACTGATTGCTTTGGTACTTCCTTCATATGGGATACAGGAACGGGTTAGAAGCATGGTGCAAAATCGTTCCCCTTTGATCCACTTTGAGCCTGGACCCATTCCAGCGAGATCTCCCAGTTTTGTTACAGATGCCAAACAAGTTTACTTATTTGCTCTTAATTTGTAGTTTTCATTTTTGTGGGTTTTAACACCTGGATAGATGTCACACTGTCCATCTTGATTTCGGCTTTCTTTTTTAATGTATTGGCGTTAGTTCCCAGGCATTCCAATGCCCTAAGAATCGTCAGCAGTTCATCGCAAATTATCCTGATATATAGTGTGTTATCATGAAATATCGTACCTCATAGATTATGCAGTGCGTGAATTTATAGCAAAAACATACTTATCAAAAATTCATGCGATATCTGACATGTTAATCATCTTTATCACCAACTATCATCAAATCTGGTATGTGTAATCATCCCTAATCATCATTATAAAATATTATCCTGATATAATTATAGTTCATCCTTAGAAAACAACCTTATTAAAAATTACTGTGATATCTGACATATTAAGCATCACTATCACTATCATCACATCTGGTGTGTAAAATCATCTTTAACTGATTGTAAAAGCAATCTCATATGCTGCTCATATTTTTTTTTTTTTTAATTATCCTTGTCAGAGATTATCCTTAATTATCCTTATCACCGGGTCCAATGAATTAACAATTCAGAAAATAAATTTTCCCTCGTGTCAGATGTATAAACAATCTCTAAAGGAACTATCATCGTATCTGTTGTAAAAGAACCGACAATCCACCATCACAGGTTATCCTGATATCTTGGGTATTAACTGTCCATATGACAAATCATCATCATGGGCATTTAATCATCACTATTATGGATTATGTAGTTTGTGAAACTATAGTTAAAACATACTTATCACAAATTCACAAGAAATCTGATATATTGATCATCCTTATCACAAACTATCATCGTTTCTGGTGTTTATATCATCGTGTCTGATGAATTAACAATTCAGATCATAAAATATCCATCATATCTGTTGTAAGTAAACCACCCGGCAACATCCATCATCACAGATTGTCCTGATGTCTTGTGTCCGTATGACAAATCATCATATTTATGTGTAAAATTGAAATGAAGGAGAACCTGACGCTAGGAAAACTTGGATAGATTTTAAATGACAAATATGTGGGTTTTTTTTAAATTTAGGATGTTTTAAAATTAGTATACGGACTCACTCGGTTGGAATCGCTGGGCGGTGTCGAAATCCGTCGAAGTCCTGTGGAGAACGACGACGTCGCCGTCTTTGATGCCGAAACCTTTGAGACTGGACCCGTTGTCGTAAAGCGGCTTCCCCTCGTGTACGACGACGATCTCCCGGGCTGGGAACCCGGACTCTATCTCGCAGAACGCCTTGAAGTTCTCCAACTCCAGATCTTCGGGTACGTCCAGGACGAAGATCTCGTCCGTCAGGGTGGTGACGGTCACTTTCATATCGATACGGCTCGTCCTTGGCTCGAGGGGGCGAGTCAACGAGTGGTATTATGCCGTGGAAAAAAAGTCTTGTCACACCGTGGATCAGGGGGATTAAAAAAAAAACGTTTAAAAAAAACCCAAGTATAAAATATACGATCCCTTCCCCCGCGGGCTGTACACCGGGGACACGGCTCGCGTCGAAATTTCCCGAGGGAACAAAAATTTACCCTCCGAAAGTTTTTATTTTATTTTTATTTTTTTAACAAACAGACAGGACGATTTTTTTTCACTCCCGGCCCAGGAGGAAAGTACGTTGTCGGTTGAGTCCGTTTTCACCACGGCCAGTTTTTCTTTCCGCCGCTCGACGTCACTGTTCAAAAGTAAGAAATCCACCCCGACTCATCTTGGCAGTTCCGTTCATTTTTGACAATTTCCGAAGGGAACCCAAGCCCGACATCATCCATTTTAAAATCCCGGAAAAAGAAAAACAGAAACAAAAAACTCTTTTCGATCTTGTTACTGAATGTGCGAAATTTGATGTGTGAGTTGGTCAGAATGTGAATTGAACGGTGTGAACTGAGAGGAGGTTCGTTTCAATTCCGACTTGATTAAATAAAATTCTGTGTAATACGTTTAAAATTGTAAAATGTATAACAATAGGTGGATTTACACACATCAGTAACGTGACAGTGGCTAGACCGGCATTTTGTCCCATCGGCGGGTTAGAAAATGTTCTCATTGGAAACTGAATGGCATTGTTCACATACGGTAGCCGTGCCAACAGTGCTGCCGTTGTCACCGGACCGTGATCGCCGTATTTCTTTTTATTTTTATTATTAATTAAAGTATATACTTTATTGTAACAAATTGCTGAATTTACAATAAGTAGAGTGCTTATGTTAAGGCCCCTAATTCCTTTGTGACGTGATGTGTAATGTCCGGTGTCAGATCCACTTTTTTACACAGTTTAGAAGCATGAAGGACCTAGTTATTCATTGCCAGGGAAAAAATATTATATTGTATTCGTATTGTAAGCCTTGGATAAGAAATGCGAGAAAGCATAACAAAATCAATGGCTGGCTCAGCAGGAAAGTATATACTTTAATTAATAATAAAAATAAAAAGAAATACGGCGATCACGGTCCGGTGACAACGGCAGCACTGTTGGCACGGCTACCGTATGTGAACAATGCCAATCTCCAGAGAAAATTGTAGCTATGCTATTTTCTAGAAGACTCCCCATCAACTACCCTGATTTACGCATATTGAATAGTATAATAATATTAAATGCAATTACATATCTAAGAGTTGTTTTTGATAGGAACTTGAATTGGGTTTCACACCTAAAAAAAATTAAAGTCCAGGTGCTCTCAATCTTTGAACGTGTTAAAAACTGTCAGCTCTTGTTCATCGGATGCTGATCGTAAAAGATTAATGCGCCTTTATAATGCTCTGGTACGATCATGCTTGGAGTAAGGATGCGATGTATATAACTTTGTCACAAAAAAGAAAATGGGCATCTTTGATCCAACTCAAAACATGGCGTTGTGGATTGTTAATGGGGCTTTTCGGTCCAGTACTGTCTCTAGCCTCGATGTCGATGCTGGTCAGCTCCCCCTAAACCTTCGGCGTAATTTGCTGGACCTGAAATTCTATGCTAGGGGTATAGCTACTCTTGTTCACCCTCTTATTAATCTCTTTTCCAACACTAATTCTTATCTTCTAGTTATAGTTATCTTCTAGTTATCAGGGCACCAAATCAGGACCTATCTTTGCTAGGTTGTATTTGTTCCTACAGGTTATGAAGTTTTCAGTGCCCCCAATCCAAAAAGTAACCAAATTATCCCCCCTGGCTTTTACCCGACCCTAAAATTCTATCAATTCCGAAACATAAAAGCCACCACTCCTGACTACATGTACAAAAAACGCAAAATCAAAAACGCACTGCCCTCAGCGACGTTTGAATATACAGATGGTTCCAGGGACGTCAGGGGTGTTGGCGCTGCAAGTATCTGCGGAAAAAGAAAATTTTAGACTAAATCCCCTAGGAAGCAACTGTAGCGTCGAAATGATAGCCTTAAATAAAACCCATAAAATTCCAAGGGAACGACACTGTCACGTCGCTGATGTGTGTTAATGTTCCTTAATTGCCCCTACTGAGTTTTTTCTTTCTTTTTTTTTCTTACTTCCTGAGATTATTTTTCCAAGTTTTTATTAATATTTTTCAAAATGATAAGTGAAAGTAAACTGAGCTTTTCGGAAGAAGGTAGCAAGTCGATTTTTTTTTAAAACGATCAAACCGATCTGGCTGACCTTGTATTATATATACGTATTCCGTCCTTTCCGGAGTTCCTCAAGGATCACTACTTGGGCCTTTATAGTTTCAACTTTTTTTATAAATTTGATAATATTTCATCTCATACAATGAACATAGTTTATGGAATCCGTTACAGTTCGTGGTCCGATTGACCAATTAAGTTGTTTCAATTAATTAATATTTATGAAAGGTTTTGGTTGAGATAAAAAATTTTTTTTTAAAGTAAGCATTTTTTTATCTCGACCAATAACTTTCATAAATTAATTGAAGCTTGTGGAGTTGGATCAATGGTGGTGACGATCAACGAACGGATCGGATTTGATTCAAATCGGGCAATTTTAAACAAAACATCTAAATTCAATATCATGTGCGAATTTGACGACTTTAGTGCCATTTTTTTTTTTTTTAATTTTTATTTAATCAATGAGAGTTTAATTTGTTGTTCATCGAACGCCCAATAAAATAAATTGGTTTATTATTAAGATGGATCAATAGTGGAGTCGATTCATTGAGCTAATATCTGAATCGGATTCGGTTCAATTCGGATAATTTTGAAGAACACCTATTTGAATCCATTGCCGTGTGTAATTTTTATGATTTTATTGCGATTTACATGTGGTGTTTTTTTAAATAAGTATTTTGTAGTTAATGAAATTAACAGTAAATTAAATTGTTTTACTATGGAGATGTATCAATGGCTGAGTAGATTCATTGAGCTGATCCAGTCGGATTTGATTCAATCCGGGTAATTTTAAACTAAACTTATTTAAATTCAACACTCGCTACAAATTTGACCTCTATCGTACTATTTTAATGATTTTATTGAGATTTACATTTTTGTATAAGAATTTAATTTGTAGTCCCCGTGTCAGATTCGGTTCAATCCGGGAAATATTAAACAACACCTATTTGTATCCAATACCCTATACAATTTTTAAAATTTTAATGCCAATTTTTATGTTTTTTACAATAATAATTTAATTTGTAATGCATAAAATTAACGATACAATTAAATTGGTTTATTATGGAGATATACCAATAGTGGAGTCGATTCATTGAACGAATCATATTTTTGTAAGATCGGTTCGATGTTTTGAACGTTCTTGATTTTTGGCGGGAGAAAAACCGTTCCCGGACTGAATTTGGTCTTAATTGGTAAATTATTTATTTATGTTCAAACTAAAAGAAACATTTTTACATGTATCCTGGTTCGTTTATTTTTCTGTCTGTTTAGTATATGTTGAATTAGTTTTTTAGTTGTTATATGATTGTAGATTTTCTGGCTGGAGATTTCAACGAAGATTTCTTCCCCTATATTGATGTTTTTTACGTTTCGATTTTATTTTGTTCGATTTATTTTGTCAGTTTGGTTTATAAGTCTGACTTGTTAAGTTGTCGTGAAAGAGTTTATCGAGGCTTTGGATTTTTTCGTCCCTGTTTGATTTTCAATCGATTCAGTCACCAGCCTCACTCGAGGGACGAACGAGGCCAACGAAACAGTCGGCTGTCAGGTATTTTTACATCTTTTTACACCCAGGAGAAAATAATTTAAAGAAGAGATGTTCCAATCGTCGAGGGATATCGTCAAAAACAGCGGGTACAGGAGCCCGTTTTCGGATGAGAGGTGCCTGGTCCCAGGGCGGAGGCTGGCGGCGGCGGCCACCCCTACCATGCAGCCGGGCGACTCCTGCGAGTTCGGTTCCAACAAATACTTCCTCCTATGCGGCCTCGGTGGCATCCTCTCCTGCGGCCTGACCCACACGATGGTCGTCCCTCTCGACCTGGTCAAATGCAGGCTCCAGGTCGATCCGGCCAAGTACAAGAACCTTTTCCACGGTTTCAAGGTCACCGTGGCCGAGGACGGCATGAGGGGACTTGCGAAAGGATGGGCGCCGACTTTCTACGGCTACTCAATGCAGGGCGCTTGCAAGTTCGGATTCTACGAGTACTTCAAGGTCTTGTACTCTGGTATACTGGGCGAGGAGAACTCCTTCCTGTGGAGGACTTCACTTTACTTGGCCGCATCCGCCTCAGCTGAGTTCTTCGCCGACATCGCCCTCAGCCCGATGGAAGCGGTTAAAGTCAAGATCCAGACGACGCCCGGCTTCGCCAACACGCTCAGAGAAGCCGTGCCAAAAATGATGAGAGAGGAAGGCATGAACGCTTTCTTCAAGTCCCTCGTGCCGCTCTGGTGCAGGCAGATCCCTTACACTATGATGAAGTTCGCCTGCTTCGAAAGGACTGTTGAACTCCTTTACAAATTCGTCGTGCCCAAGCCGAGGGATCAGTGTTCCAAGGGCGAACAGCTCGTCGTCACGTTTGCAGCTGGTTACATAGCCGGCGTTTTCTGCGCCATTGTCTCCCACCCGGCCGATACGGTCGTCTCCAAGCTGAATCAGGAGAAGGGCTCCACCGCCGTCGACGTTGCCAAGAAGATCGGCTTCGCCGGATTGTGGAAGGGTCTCGGACCTAGGATCATCATGATCGGTACTCTCACCGCTGCCCAATGGTTCATCTACGATTTCGTCAAAGTCGCCCTCGGCATCCCAAGGCCACCACCACCCGAGATGCCCGAGTCGCTCAAGAAGAAACTCAAGGAGAACTGAGCGATGACTACACAATCAAATAATAAAAAAACAATTAGAACACGATTAATATAATTAATTAGTTTTCAAATTTAAAAATTATATAATGTACCGAGTTCTTAATCAATTATTTATATTTATTTATCGAATTTGATGATAAACCGGCATTCCTTTCGACCTGTTTCCATAAAAAAATAAAATTAAGCAATGTAATAATCCCAGCTAGGCTTCTGCTGGTATCCAGCACTTAGAGGGGCAATTTTATTGTTAATCTCTAAAAGAGACTAGTTGAAAATAAACACATGAAGAAAAATAAAAGATTCTATTTAGTTTTCCAATTTTGTCCCGGATCATATTATCAGCAGGTATATATAATTTCTTTTTTAACACACTAAATTTGTTTTATTCATAAAGATTTATAAGGTGATTTTGAACGGTGGTTTCAACAGTCTTTCCAAGTCTGCAATTTATGTTGAAGTCGGTTAAAAGGAAATTTGCATGTATTCTTTCGGACAGTCCGGGACATAAAAGCACATGCTTTTACCCCTAGACTAATTTGGGTGTGTAATTGCCTGATGGAACTAGGAAGACGCAATCTCACCTTGTGATCTGTTCTGGTATGGTATGGAAACAAATAAACGGGCCAACTAGCCAAGGGTTCACCCAGGGGACTACAACAGGAAATAAAATAAAAAAATGTGCCATTAGCTAGAGATTATGCAGTTTAAACAAAAGGAGATAAACCCCTTTATGCACACCGGTCAGACTCAGACCATTGGTCACATGTTATCCAAAAACATGAGGATATTTACGGGCTTTCCTCATTTACTATTGTCATAGTTGAAATGCAAGAGCAGTAGTAATGCTCATAATGAAGGATAATCTTATAAAAAAAAACCAACATACCGACCAAAAGGGCAGATCTAGAGACTGACCTTAACAAATCGGAGAGCATAATTGAAGAATATAGAAGTGGCTTTTTATTCCACTCTACTGGATCACAGAGAGAGTAGCTTACTCTCACCTATGCGGCAGGTTGAAAGCCTAAGCGATTTGTTGCAATGGCTAGATCATTGCAGGATGAGTGCTCTCGCTGATTCCCCAACTGAGTGCTTGGCTGTGTGAGCCATCGACTTTGTACTTGGATCAACTGGTCATGTTTGACTGCATGCTCTCACTGACCAAGTCTGTCCTGAAAGCTGCTTTCAAAACACAGTAGTCAACTCATCTCAGCCCTGGACAGTCGATGTCGTGTCTTGGTCACTGTCTTCAACTGACTCTGTGAGCCAATAACTAACTTTTACAAATCGTCCCCTTTATACCGATTTGCCAACCAGGATAGAGGAGGAAAATAAAATAAAAAAACTGTTGGGCAGCATCCTTTTTACAAGGGTTTGCAGCCTTCAGGTCCCATGTCAATGGACATCCGGCGAAATGTCACCCTGAATTTACGGTATCCGACACAGCTTGTTGAACTGCCCTGCAACGACCTTCCCACACTAAATAAATCGACTTTCATTCTTTAGTGGGGCTGATCGTTTCTTAGACTTCCAAGTGGGAAACTTCTCTTCGCTCCTTACTGGGTGGGTGATCCGTTGTACAGTGTAAATTTTTTACAATTATTTTTAACTCACGCAAGATGTTACATAGGCAACATGATTTAAGTAGAAAGGGAATTCTGTACTTTGAGAAACAGATAGAAAGACAGAGGTCTTTTAATGAGAAAATAGCGGAGGAAAAGGCCTGAAGTGGGAAGGAAATAACCACTTCAAGTTGGTGTGCAGTCAGGGATAAAGTTTGTTTTAGAACAAATCATGCACATGTTCCTCCTTATGGAGCTCATCGAATACAAGGCATCGGTAATTAAAGGTGACTTGAGGGTGGAATAAAGTTAAATCTTAGAGATACGGCTCTTGACTTCTGCGTCTCTAGGACAGGAAGAACCAGATCTAAAACTCAGGACTTTTGAACTCGTTCCAAGCATGTTTCATTGAAGTCCTGAATTTTTACAATCGTGTTGTAAGTGAAGAAGTGGGAAAGAAAGCTTGGGAGTTATTCATCCATCTCAGGCCGTATTGTGCCTTTACATTCCAGGTCGGTTGATAGCAGAAACAGACCAGAATGATCCGAAAAGACCGGTTTATCGGAGAAAAAGTACAATTTTTTTTTGGTCTAATGATAATACGGCTCGATGAAATTTCCCTTGCAAGATTGACCTAGTTGTGTGAATATAGAATAGTTTGGAATGTCGCCATCACAGCTGGTGTGTTTTATTATTAGCTTGACTTACGTTATGCAACTGACGTGAGATGTGCTAACAACGTTTATTTTTATTTTTTTAAGGTCAAGGAAAGTTTTACTGTAGTAAAATTTTGTAAAAATAGATAAATTTAATAACAGTAAATTTACTTGGATTTTACGCGTGTTTGGAAACATAATGCATCTTATTAAATATGAGTAGATGGGCCATCAGAGGATCTAAATTGAAGTTCATGCATGTACGAGGATGACACAACTTAGAAAACCGAGGAAGTTGGGCTTTTTTATTTTTTTTTAATAACTTTATTTCTACCTGCTACCTTTATCAGACTACTGTAAGGCCTGTAGTCTAATAAAGGGAGCAGGAAGAAATAAAGTTATAAAAAAATTCACTAGTTTCGTGGTCTGCTTGATCAATTAATATCTTTCAATTAATAAATAATCGTTATAAAAAAATACAATAGTTTCGTGGTCTGCTTGACCAATTAATATCTTACAATTAATTAAGTAATTAATCAGTAAGTTGTAATAAGTAACAATCAGTTGAGATAAAAAAGCAGCAGCGTATCAAGCCGAAGATCGTGGGTTTGAATCCCGCTCGTGCCATTGACTTTTTTATCTTAACTGAAAACCTTAATTAATTGTAAGTTATAAAAAAAGCTAACTTGACTGGTGTGACAGATAATCCCGAAGTCTAACCCCTGAATCGCCAAAACACTGATTTTTTTTTTTTTTTGCCAGAGGAGTTTTGATTAAAAGAAAACACTTTTTTTTCAGCAAAAAAGCCCTTTTCAAGGGAGAGGAGAGACAAAAAGAAAAAAAATTATTTATTTTTTGTTTTCTCTAAAGAAGAATGAAACAAATGTACATTTATATTTGTATGCTTTTTTTACAATGATAATTTTTTGAGTATTTTTTGATAAGCAGCACTGGCTTTTTTTCGTGTTTTTTTTGTAAAAGTTTTTTTTTTTTTCAAAGAAGCTTTTTCAGGAACAACTGCGGCGCGCTTGGGCGTTGCCTGCAAGCGATGAGAAATGACGACGGGTAGATCAGGGACAAGGAAGCGGCGCAGGCTGTTAAGGTGCACGTCTCTTATCAGTCCGGCCTGTCCTTCTTCTTATTTGTTCTTTTTGGATTTTTTCTTTGCGCCGCGCCCTGAGCTGTCCTGCTGAAAGAGTGAGTTTAAGATATCATCAATGTCGGGCGCGGGTCTGAAAAATAAAAACGGGGCGGTAAAGGGAAGGAAAAACAAAAACAAAAACAAAATAAAAATAAGAAAACAGAAAAAGAAACCCCGGAAAGAACAGACAAGGAAGGGATGTACAAGACTGATTTCTTACGGAGGCTGATTGTCACGTCCGAGCAGTACGCGGTACTGCACCTCGTGCGAGTCTGGCTTGACTCTCTGGATCGCGTTGCCCTGGCAGTTGGCCCATTGGGTGATGTCGTATACAGCTCCGTCCATGCAAGCGTAGTACCTGCAACGCCACCAGCCCCAGCCGCGCGACTCAGCCCACATGTCACTCTGAAAAACAATAATATAGTTTGATGGTTGTCTAGTTCCTGATAAGAAACACAAGAAATATAAATACAGGGCATTCGGTTATTCATGTTACAAACTTTGCCAGTAGATTCTACATTCAAAATGGAACCAAAAAGTCCTAATTAACTATGGTCTGAATCTCAACAGTTACGAAGTTATTTCACGTTTTCTGATTTTTTAAGATTTCATGACCTTGTTCAAATAAACAATAGTAACTCTATAAACTGCGTTAAATTTCCAATAAGATGTATCAATACTAAACTTGTAAACATTTTGAAAAATCGAAAAAAAAAAAAATTTCCAAAGTTGAAAAATTTACCATGGTGATTCTAAACTATTTCCAAAGCTAGAGACCAGCAAATTTCAGAAAACATACTCCATTTTAATATCCTTTTGAATGGTGCAATTGCTTTTTTAATAACTTTTTTCAAAGATGAAGCAATTGATGAAGGAAAAGAGAAAACGAGAAATCCGTCAGCCACGGTTTTTCCTTTCCACCATCAATTTTTTCATCTTTGAAAAAGTAATTACACTACTAAAAAAGGATATTCAATGGACTACGTTTTCTGAAATTGGAATGGAAAATTGGACTCTAGGTTTGGAAATAGTAGTTTAGCAAATGTCTCAACTTTGGAAAAAAAAATTCTCGGTACTAAATGATTTTGCTATTTCACGAAAGTTTACAAGTTTTGTATTGATCATGTCTTATTGGAAATTTAATATAGTTTTCAACGGTATCAATGGATTTGTCCAAAACCATTTAGTTTTGGAGTTATCATTGCTTATTTGAAGGAAGGTCTTGAAATCTTAAACGATCAGACAAAGCTATTTCTAGCTCTGAAACTTGAGATTCAGACCTTAGTTAATTAGGACATTTTGATTCCATATTAAATGTAGAATCTACTGGCAAAATTTATAACACGAGTAGCCGAACACCCTGTAAATAACCAAAATATATCTATAATATTATTTTTGTCGATGCACTACATGCCATATAAACCTAAGGGGGTATCAATACAATAACTGACGGTTTCCTTCAAAATCTCACTGAAGGAAAAATTGACGTGTGGTGGGGCTTACACTGAACTATAAAGCGAGATTACTTAATTTCACAGTCAGCTTAGATTTTATTTAGAAGGAACATTTAATAAGGCCGGCGCCACAATAGACGGAATGCGACGGAAATTTTCACTGCACAAGCTTACAATTCAAAACACAGCCGGCGACAGACTGAATGGAAATTTCCGTCGTAAGGTCTCGTCGAGCTCTGTTGGTGCACCAGCGTCCATCAACAGGATGTTCTGCTGGGTTCTACCTAAGCAGGTCAAAACAGTGGAAAGTAGAGGGGTGCGCCACACTGGCGACGGACATGGATAGAATGGAAAAGGTGGTATGTGGTAGTAGTTTTATTCATTTCTGCTATTTCCGCTGTATATGTAGGTTGTTCGGGTTGGGTGGATTTTTTGATGCAACATTTCCGTCACATACCGTCTAGTGTGGTGCCGGCCTAAGTCATAAAAACCACCTTCTCGCTGTTCATTTATTCACCCCATATTCAATTCCCCCCACCCCAATGGTGGATGTGGTTGTACACCATATGACAAAACGGTATATACATGTACACAGTTAAAGAAGAAGAAAGTATCAATGAGATTTTGACTATATGAGAAAAAAAACTGATTGTACCTTCAAAATCTCACCAAATTATGGAACCAATGGAAAATGGGGGGGGGTAAAATTTTTTAAAGGAAATCTTGATTCGTACCTCTCTCGCCGAATGGTGGATCTTACACTGTGCGCAATACCTCGCAGCGTAGCTCGGGCGATCCGTCAATTCCCTTTTATGCCTCTTGCCACAGTTGTTACACCTGGTAAATAAATTTAATTTTAGTTTTAAATATGATTCGGTATAAGTGCTTATTGCGTATATAAGATTTACCGTATTGTATTAGCAGCGTATTCCATTTTTTCGTGGAGTTGTGAAAGTAGGTTGCTCAGCTCGCTCCAAGCCTGTTCGACTTGGTTCGTCTCAGCGACATACCTGTCGTAAGCTTTCCGCCTCTCAGGCTCGGCTATCAGGTCGAAGGCGTGTACGAGTATCTTGAATGCCTCTTCAGCGCCCGGCTGAGAGTTTTTGTCTGGGTGTACAAGAAGGGCCTGGCTCTTGTAGTACTTCTTGATCTCCTCATCGGTGCAGGAGCTCGTCACGCCAAGTATGCTGTACGGGTCTTTGCCCTTGCATGAGAGCAGGCGTTTCATCGCCTCTTCACCGGTCGTCGGGAGTGAGATGTTGTGGTTGAGCGAGCCGGGGATCTGAGGCTCAGGCGGCTTTTTCGGGAACTGCCTCTCTTTCTTGCCCCAGTAGAGCCAGCGTTTCGCAAACGAGAATGAACTCTGCTGGAACTCGCCCAACCACGTCGAACTCTTGGCACAAGCTTCGCTAAACCTAATTTTAAAAGAGGAAATTTTATCAAAATGAGGGAAAAAAATTTAAAGAGAAAAATTTCCTTCTTACATGTGTATTAGAAGGGAAGTTGAAAGAGAGGTAACACTCCAAAGTAGATTAATAAGCCAGGAAGTGAAGAACATCAAGTAATATGATGACTTTTCTTGCCATTTTTTAAACAAAGCGCCTAAATTTGTGTCTCGTTTACGGAACGATCGTTGAGTCCTTTTAGTCTTCGGTGCTCTACAATTACTACTGTTCCTTTCTGACTTAGGCGCAGATCCTGCATTGAATCGACAATGAATTTATTTTTTTAATCAAAACTTTAGTGGAATTGTTACCTTTTCTTTCTTCTCTTGCTTTTGGCTTGGCCGTTTGACGATCGGGAGCCCTGGCAGGCCCGACGGACATTCCAGGAGACTCTTTCCTCCCGGCTGTCTTGCTGTCATTCTGAACGCCATCGGCAACCTTGTCGTCCTTTTCAGCCGGCTTCACCTTTTTCCTCTTTTTTTCGCGCTTCGGCTCCACAGGCTGGCCGCCCTTGGACGTGGCGACCTCCTCCTGTGACGACCACCTCTTGACCGTGGCGCGTGGCTTCTCGACAAGCGTCTCCTCGCTCCCGGATGAGCTTTGCCTCTTCAGGCCGCAAGTGCTGCCACCGCCTGGCTTGGCGTTGCCGCTCGTCTTGTTTGGCGGCTTTTTCACCTCGGGCTTGATAGGCGGGCTAGTTGTCGGCTTCGAAAAGAACTTTGTGACCGGTGGCGGAGTCAGAGGAGGCTTAGCCAAAACATCTGAGTAACTCGGCCTCATCGGTTTCACCTGCCACATAATCACAACTAATTTAAAAAAACTACATTCTTTTCTTTCTTTTTTAAATTTTATTATTATTTTAAAAACATTTTAGATAATAATTTTTATTATCTAACCTAATATATATATTTATTTAAATTTGTCTATGTGGTTTCTTTTTATAGATTTTTTGTTAAATTTTTACATCATTTTTTTTTAATTAAATTAAATTTTTTTAAAGTAGATAAATGTAGTGGATGCTGATGATGGGTTGAAATTTGAGGCGAACGTCCAAAAAATTTAATGTAAAATTAAAACAAAAAATTATTTTTAAAAAACCACTGTATTTTTTATATATATAAATACATAAATATAAATGCATAACTATACAGGGTGTCCACCATATACAAGACACCCCTTATTTTTTTTGCGTTTGTTGTATAAAAAAATTCTTAATGGAAACCACATTTTATTTTCAACCTAATTTTTTTTTTTTAATTGACCATGATAACACTCCCATGGAAAGAATATCTCATGTGTGCTAGTCATTAGTACGTACAGTATTACAACTGAGTAGCAAAGAAGAGCAGTTTCTTGCGTCATTCAAACTGGTGGACATTTGGAGCACCATTAACATCAAAATAAATTCAAATAATAGTTTAATTATTCAAACTAAAAACTACTTCCTGTCTTTTTTTATTTATTATACTACATGAAAAATTGAGGTAGAGTTCTGAAACCAAAACCAAAATTTTTTTTTGGTACTAGAAAGTAATGTCGTTTTTTAATTGTAGGATTACTTAGTTCAATATTTACATTTTTTGTTTATATATTTGTGTTTACAAATATGCTAGTTTAATCCCTAAATTAAAAGGCTTTATTTCTCCAGTTTCTGTTTTCATATTGTTTAGTTGTGTCAAATAATTTAATATGTGAAGACGTCTGGATAGAACACGTTTAAGTTATTGTTTCTTTATGTATGAATGAGACTTTAAAATAAAGCAAAAATGGCCTGCGCTAGCACAGAAAAGATCTAGTATTTCACCATGACGCCCCCTCCCTTTAAAACCAAAAATTTATTAACTAATCTGAATTGGCAAATTTTATCTCACCCACCAAACTATCCATACATTTCACCTTGTGATTACTATTTATTTAGATAGTTATAAAAGTTTTTAAATGGCCAAAACCTTAAAAGTGCTCAAAACATTCCTAGACTCAAAAGATGGGAATTTTTATGCGAAAGGAATAGACACGCTACCTGAAAGACGGCAAAAAGTAATTGCAAACAATGGACAATACATCTCTGAATAGTTAAAAATATACCAGCTATAAAAAAATAAAAATATATATACTGTCAAAAAGTCATTTTCTTGCCAACTCAATTGTTTTTAAATTTATTAAGCCTTAGTAGAATTGTACAATTAATAAAGAAAATTTTTCCATAATATACGGTGACGTGGTGATGTAAATAGCGAATGGGTAAAGTGTTTTTGGATGTTTACCCACTCGCTATTTACGTCACAAGTATATTATGAAGAAAAAAATTTTTTTTTACTAACAAGTTTGCCTAAACGCGAATATTGTTTATATTATATCAGTAAGATTGGTTAGAGAAGGGTAAGATTGGTTTGAAATAGAGGTTATTTAAATATTTAAGGGTCAATTGAGATTTTGACATGCCAGTAGGATTGGTTAGAGATGGGTAAGTTCAGCTAGAGATATTTAGGGTCAGTAGAGATGGTTCTAGGGGTTTGTTAAAGGTTGATTCGGGATTTTTACATGTTAGAGATGGGTAAGGTCATCTAGAGTTGATTAGAGATTTTTACATGCCGAAAGGATCGGTTAGAGATGGGTAAGGTCATCTAGAGTTGATTAGAGATTTTTACATGCCAAAAGGATTGGTTAGAGATGGGTAAGGTCATCTAGAGTTGATTAGAGATTTTTACATGCCGATAGAATTGGTTAGAGATGGTAAGGTCATCTAGAATTGATTAGAGATTTTTACATGCCGATAGGATTGGTTAGAGATGGTAAGAAAGGGTAAGGCTGGGTAATATGGCAAAATGCCGAAACCAATATGATCAGTTCAGGTAGGTCAAATAATCAGAAATGACCAAAATTCATTTGACTTTTAAAAAAATTAATTAATTTAAAAAAATAACATGAAAAAATCTCCCATCCAAATATTTAAACAATAACAAAACAAAAACAAACAGACATACCTATAGTATTTATTATACTTTTTTCAAGCATTTCAGCGACAATTTAATCTTTTTTGTTTTGTCTTTTTTTTGGGAGGGGGAAATAATCGGGGATATGCAAAGATAAAATAAATATATATATACCAAAATAATCAATTCTTGCCCAAAACAAAAATAAAACAATATTTTCACATGTGAGTTTCAATACAGAAAATTTACATAAAATACCGTTTAAAAAATAAATAAATAAACGGACAAATCACCTCGGCGACAATGCGCTTCTTCGCCTGCGACTGGCCTTGTCGTTCCTGTAGCGGCTGCTCCTCCTGCTGCCCTCCGAACGGCGAATACGTCCCGTTGCGGTTCGGCACCCAGTTACCGACGACATTTTCAATGAGGCACCCATTCGATATATTCTCCGGGTACGACGCCCTGTCAACACGCCAAGAGGAAACGTTCCAGTGGACAACTTTTATTTGATAACAGCTGATATATTATTTAAAAAAATAATAATAAAATGAGCTTTCATGGCCAATTAATATAAAGATCAATTTGGTGCCAGTGATAATTAAACATCACTGTCACCATATTCGTGCATCTGCATACCCACAGACCTCGTATCATTCCAAGTCGTCAGGATTTTAAAAGCACCTTAGCTGAGGAGAAAATAAAAAGACGTACATTTCTGCGACTTTTTTTTAAACAGTGTACTATGATTAAAGAATTAATTCATTCTAAATGCAGGCAAGTATGAAAGGGTTAAAATATTTAAATAATCAAGGTTTTATTGACTAAAAATGACTGATTGATTTTTCAAAAAAACATTTGGTCACCGGTGCTAAAAGAAAACAAAAGACAATATATATATTTAAAAAAAAAAAGAAGAAGAAAGATATACAGCTGATCTAAAAGGAGTTTTCAAAAGGATCTGTCGATAAGAAAAAGAAAAAATGCACCCGTCCAGCTCTGGAAAGTTGGCGGTCAAGAAGAACCTGAAGAGCGCCAAAGGGAGGCCGAAGAGCGAGTCGAGGAGCAAGAAAAAGCGTAGGAAAGAGTCGTACGCCATATACATATACAAGGTGCTCAAGCAGGTCCACCCGGACACAGGCGTCTCGTCCAAGGCGATGAGCATAATGAACAGCTTGGTGAACGACATATTCGAACGGATCGCGGCCGAGGCGTCACGCCTTTCCCTCTACAACAAGCGTATGACAATATCAAGCCGTGAGATACAGACCGCCGTGAGGCTCCTCCTGCCCGGTGAGCTGGCCAAGCATGCAGTCTCCGAGGGTACGAAAGCCGTAACAAAATACACGAATACGAAGTAACTTTGATTCAATGAAGTATTCAACTGTTCAAGTTTTTTTTCGGTGAATAAACGTGTTATATTAAAAACTTTTTTTATGTATTTTTTAACACACAAATAAGATTGCTAAGAATATGGATAACAGGCCTCTCGATTGATTAATATCTTATTATAATCCAGAGTGGTTGCCAATAAGTAGCTTTCTCTACACCCATAATGTCACAATCACAAAATGAAATCCAATCTTACGGTTGTATATAATAAGTATAGTCGTAGATAAAAGTAAATTAGGTAATTTTTTTAAATTTCTTTGAATTTTCTCAATTATGATGTTATTCGTGGAAAACAAGTCTTAAAATATTTTAGACATCAAAGTGGTTTTTGAGGTTCCATTGCTTTAGCCCTTTCAACTGCATGACACGGGGAATATTTTGGATTTTAAAGGATGTATGTTTAGATTTTTTTCCATAAGGAAAAGAGACGGCCTTGGAAAGGACTAGCACCTTGTGAGGGAGATAAATTATTTTCAGAGGTTCTTACATCATAGCTCTCTCATTCCCAGGATAGCTGCAGATTGGGGGTTGACACGCGAGGGGTCATGGCTCAGTTCTGGGAGGGAGGAGGTACTGATTGCCTTCAGGTATTCCTGAGAAGTTGGCAATAAAGAAGGTATACTAATGATTCTCTTAAGGTCAAAGAGATAACTTAATATATGTTTTGGCTTAATTAGTTTTGAATAATATTTTTTGATAATAATACGTTTTTTGATAATCAAAAATTCTGGGCTAGCTTGAAGATTCTAAAGGTGTTGGGTCCGAGGCGTATATACAGGCTACTCGTGTTACAAACTTTGCCAGTAGATTCTCCATTCAGAATGGAACCAAAAAGTCCTAATTAATAATGGTCCGCATCTCAACAGTTTCCCCCCTTTATGATTTTTTAAAATTTCACAACCTTGCTTCAAATAAACAATGATAAACCAAGGGCAACTTTCACAAAACGTACTGATTTAATATCCTTTTTAGTAGTGTAATTGCTTATTTAATTACTTTTTTCAAAGATAAAGAAATTGATGAAGGAAAGGAAAAACCGTGGTTGACGGATTGGTAAGGTGGAAAGATTAATAATACAAAAATAAAAACTTAAGAAAATTTTGAATGAATTTATTTAACTTTTTTAAATTTTGATTTGAAATGCTCTCCACTCTCCTCTATTCAAGAACGAGCCCGTTTTCTCATATTAGCCACTGTAACTCGAAAGTTTAATTTAAATAAAGTTTTTCAACAGCGGACAGGATACATTGCTTTAAAATTACAACATAGTGTTAACAAGATATCAAATTGATAACTAAAAAATTTTGAATCTTAAAACTCTTTTCTTCTGGAGAATAATAATACAATAATCCTTTAATCAAAGATGCTGTCGTTGGTAAATAATAAACATTTGCACTAATTCGTTTTGAACCCAAATTAAAAAACATTTAATAAATTCAATCAATATTTCCTTAAGTTTTTTGAATTTTTTTAAAATTATTATTAATCTTACCACCTTACCAATCCGTCAACAACGGTTTTCTCCTGTCTTTCAGCAATTTCTTCATCTTTGAAAAAAAGTAATTAAAAAAGCAATTACACCACTAAAAAGGATATTAAATGGAGTACGTTTTCTGAAATGTGCTGGTTTCTAGGTTTGGAAATAGTAGTTCAGAAACACCATAGTAAATTTTTCAACTTTAAATATTTTTTTTCAAATTCTTGGTACTAAACGATTTTGCTATTTCACGAACGTTTACAAGTTTAGTATTGATCACATCTTATTGGAAATTTAACATAGTTTTCAATGGTATCAACGGATTTGTCCAAAACCGTTTGGTTTTGGAGTTATCATCGTTTGAAACAAGGTCGTGAAATCTTAAAAAATCAGAAAAAGGGGGATAACTTTAATTTCCCTAGGATATTTTTTTTTTCTTAATTTGGCGACAGGTCGATCCACGCAAATGTTCCTTCTGTGGCCATGTTGGTCCAGAGCATCACAGCGCACTTATTAAAGATCAACCTTTACTATTTAAAATTTGTAAATAATATAAAAAGATCATTTTGGATAATACATGTCAATTTATTTATTTTTCATGCTAGCTGTTTGATCTGACATCCTAATGTTGATGGTTGGCAAGAATAGGCTCCCTGTCCATTATTCAAAGACAAAATTTATTATAAAATATCATACATTCAGTACAATTAATTGTCATACATTCAGGTGAATAAATGAATTAATTTTAATTTTTTTATTTATTTATTTTACCATAGTCGCAATTTTACCCGTCATAGACAAACATTTTCCTTGTATCCAAACAAAGTTGGCATACATGGCCCTGAGCCATCTGTTATTTAATGTTCCAATTTTATTTAAAATATATTAATTGTCCAATTATTGGGATGGATGTCGACAAGAACATACACCCTCTGATTATTTTATTTTTTTAATTTAGTCATGTTGACTCTCTTTTAATCTGACGATATTAAGGTCGCTAGGATAATCATTGAAACGTAGTTGGCAAGCATGGCCCAAGAGCGTACATTACTCAAAAACAAAATTTATCACAAAATGAACCAATCGTCCTATATTGATTAAAAATAAATCCTCAGAATTTATTCAAAAATGCTGTTTTTTATTTTGCCACACTGGCCCTTTGATTTGTCATACAAAGGTTTTTCAAACATTGAAAAAGAGGTTGTTGGTAGACATGGCCTACAGACATCCTTTAATAATGGACAAAATTTAGTATAAAATGTTCCGTCCAATATTGGAATTGACGTTAAAGTTAACATAAATCCTCAGTATTTATTTTAAAACGGCAATGATTTAATTTTGCCAATTTTATCTGACATACACAAAGATTTTCCCAATGTTGAAACAAGATTGGTGACAGCCATGGCCCAAGGATGTCCACTGTACGAATCGTCTTACATTCAAATGAAAGTTAACGTCAACATAAATCCTCTCAATTTATTTTAAAATAAACGTCAATTCTTTATTTTGCCATGTTGGCAATTTAATTTGTCAAACATACTGATTTTCCTAGCATTCGAACAAGGTTGGCAGTGATCGTCCTGGGGTGTTTAGTGTCGAAATTTTATTCAAAATACAAGTTCTCCAATACTGAGTGGATGTTGATCCCAACATAAATCCATTGAATTCATTTAAAAAGCAATTATTAGGCACTTTTGTAATTTGATGTGCACGAAGGTTTTTCAAGCATTGAAGCAAAGTTAGTGATCCAATATTGGGATTGATGTTATTATTAACATAAATCCTCTAAAATTGTTTAAAAAAGCATATTTTTTTATTTATCCATGCTGCCATGTTTACCAGCGGCTCACACAAATTTTCCTTGGATTTGAATGAGCTTGGCCGACAAGACCCTGGAGCGTCTGTTACTCAAAAACAAAACTGATTATAAAATGTACTAATCGTCCCATATTGATTAAGAGAAAAGCTGATGTCAACATAAAATTGTTTGTATTTACTTAAAAAGTTATTTTTTATTTCGCCATGCTGGAGATTTTTTTGGCATTGAAGGTTGTCCAACATGACCATGGAGCGTCCATTATTCAAAAGCAATATTTATTATATCGTTCTATGCTGATTAAGACAAAGGTTGACATCAACATAAAATCTTCTGAATTTATTGTAAGTTATTTTTTATTTTGTTGGTGCTTTTTTTGACAGTGATGGTTATCCTAGCACTTGAAACAAGGTTGGCCAACATGACCCTGGAGCATAAGTTATTCATGAACAAAATGTATTGTAAAATGCACTAATCGCCATAAGATAAAAGTTGATGTCAACATAAAATCATCAGAATTTATTTAAAAAAATATTATTTATTTTGCTAAGCTGGTGCTTTTATGACAGTGATGGTTATCCTAGCACTTGAAACATGGTTGCCCAGCACGGCCATGTTGCATCCGATATACAAAGACAAAATTAAGTATAAAATGTCTTACATTGAGAAGAACGTTGAAGCATAAATACTCTTAATTTATTTCTGAAAGTTTTCATTTCACCATGCTGGCACTTTTACCAGTCGCAAACAAAGGTTTTTAATTATTTTGAAACAAAGTTGGCTAACATGGCCCTTGCGCATATATTGTTTTTTTTCGACTTTGAGAAATTTTGTACTTCAAAATTATCAGAAATGAAGAAGTTTATTATGCCATGTTGGCTCTGCATGTCAAATGTTTCTCTAGGTGAATGTCAAAGGTTTGATGGTGTGAATTTTTTATTTTTTTATTTTTATTTTATTTTTTTAAACTGTACCGTGATAGACATTGAATTGGATATAAAAATTTTTGGAGGTTGATTTTGCGTGTATGCGGTTAGAGAAGTGACCTGTGAGCAGGTTGGAATAGCACTATGCTTAAGTGGCAAATGGCAAAGAGTTTATGATTAAATCCGACGTAATGGAAGAAAAACAATGTTTAAAAGAATCAATATTGTATTTTGTGAGGGGATCGGATGTCGTCGTGTACCTTTGTGAATAGTCGATGATGTGCGGTTGAACTATGTTGGCGGCCGGGTAGTGGATGAATCCGACCGGCTGCTGGTACTCCTGTCCTCCCGGGTTGAAAACAACGTTGACGAAGTTTCCGCCTCCGACATCGACCATGCGGAGGACGTCTGTCTCCCTCTGGACAGGCTGCGGGTAGTAGACGCTTTCCGGGGGCGGTGGGCTGTACTCGGGCCAGACGGAGCCTCCGGCCGGGGGCGGCGAGCCGAGGAGGATGTACTGGCCCTCGTAGCTCTGTAGGTCGGCGGTCATGTGCTCGATGATGTCGTCGATGCCCCGTTTCTTCGCCGGCTCGATCGGCACCCCGGCCATGTCTCGGGGCGGCTTCGGGTGTCGCTGAGGCGGGTAAAGGGGCGACAGAGCGGATTCTCGAGGGGGGAAAAGCGAGACAAAGCGGACCGGATATCGAGACGGTTCCACTTCGGGGGAGACTGGGTCTCGGCCACAAACAAAACACAATCACAACTGAGGCCACCGCCTCTGGCTGGAGAATGGCTCGAAACTCGATACGGCCCGGGGGAAAAGGGGAGGGACTTAGATCAAGTCCGCAAAGTGGGAAAAAAAACTACAAAGTCCGAAAAGTAAGCGAAAATAGACAGACGGTACACAAATTGGCAAAACGGCTTACGACAAAAATCCTGCTATCACTGCTCCTTTTCTATGACAGACTATCGATCCAACTCCACCCGCCAAAATTCAAAACGGACAACTTTTAATCCTTATTCATAATATAGCATTTTCCAGTCAAATGAAACTTTTTGTCAAACAAATAAACCTTTTTTTTTCAAACAATTGAAACATTTTTTACAAGCAGTTGAATTTTTTTTCCAAGCAAATGAAATCTAAAGCCTAATGATAATAATTATGTAGAGGAATAAATTAATAACATTGTAGTGCTAACAATAATTGTATGATGGTTGAATATTAATATTAATTTCATGTGTGTCGTGCTACAGCATTCGGTTCCATGAATTCCTTCAATGTTCATTTCTAATAATGGACAACAATGCAATTCATAAGACACCAGAAGTAATTGCTGAAGTAGAATCCTTCTCATACACGATAAAATACTTACCGCCATACTCAACGATGTTAAACCCAGTTGAACATGCCTTTTCAAAAATTAAAGCAAGTGCAAGAAGGATGTTAACTGATGCGACATCGCAAATGATCTTGTGTCAGAGATCATCAGCTGCAGTGTCAACTCAGTTACAAGTAACTGCACCAATTACGTTTTGGACTTAATGTTAACTACCGGCAGCTGTTGCAGGAAGATCTCTATATTAATCTTTTATATTAATTATTCTTTGTATGTAAGGTCTCGATTGAAATGAAAAATTTAATGTCACAAGCGGGATTTGAGCCCACAACCTTCGGCTGAGACGGGGAGTTGGTCTCCAAGTGGATTGAAGTCACAATAGCTCAAGTGGCTAGAGCAGTGGCGTATTGAATCGAAGGTCGTGGGTTAATTGAAAGAAGTAATTTGACCAATCAGACCACTAAATATAATGGATTCTATATTAATCTTCGTCTTTGAATTAAAACATTTAAATACATTTTTCTGGCAATAAAACCTATAACTTAACACCATTGTAATTACTTTTGCCTTTTTATAAAACCCCCTAATTTTTGGATTTCATTTGCTTCAAAAAAGGTTTCATTTGCTTGAAAATAAAAAGTTTCATTTGTCTGGAAAATGCTATATATTAATCCATTTATGTTTAGTGGTCTAATTGACCAAATTACTTATTTCAATTAATTACTCTTATTTTGTAAGATCCTGGTTGACATGAAAAAGTTAGTGTCCCGCTCGTGTATGGTAATAATTAATATGGTCAATTAGACCACTAAACTTAAATGGATTAACATAATAAGTAAAGAAAAAAATCACTTCACTAACAGCTTGCTCTGGCCATTTTCATAAGTCGCTGACAATCGAATCCTGATTACATGACATTTGAAAAATGGCAAAAAGATGTAAAATTTTATACAAAAAAAAATCACACACCAGTCTTCTAGTGCATAATCTAGGCAATCTCAATTCCCTTAGAATTTTTTCATAAGTAGTATGAGGATCCTATAAATTTTAAATTTATAAGAAACAAATCGAGAAATTTATTTTGTCAAGTTCAATCTGACCGATTGGGGAGCTATAAAAGGGACTCAAGACGACCTAGCCATCTGCCATACTCTAATATGCTCCTTACAAAAGGACAATATAACATTTTCAATAAAGTCATATCATTAAAATCACATGAAATTCTTAATATAAATCCCAACATTTTAAGTGCTTTTCTTTTAACAAAGTTGATATGCTGATCAAAGGACAATTTGTAGTCTAAATTCCCAAGTCTTTTATTATATTTGTTCTTTCTAGGGATACATCATTAATAGTATAATTATACAGTATATAGGTTAACTTTCTGTAAAAATATATGTATTATGCTTAGCGATGTTTAGAAACAAAAGATTTCTTTCATACCACGAATACAGATTAGTTATGTCTGATTGCAACTGCGAACAGTCATCAGTAGGTTTCTTGACCATTCCTCATGACATCAACAAATTATGATACAACCAGTCACTAGAAACACACATTTATTTACTATATTTATGCAATAAATTAATTATTTATGATAAAATTAAGAATAAATTTTTAAAGTTTATTGAAATTCAAGCCTTCTTTGTATTGGCAGATCAACCAGTTTTTGTTTCACTAGTCAGAACACTCTTAATCAAGGGGAACGTACAGCCCACACTCTCCGATGATGTGCATCCATGTCTGTTCCCCACCTCCGCAACAACAGTATGCATTTTCGCTGATGTGCATGTGTTTCAAACATGCTCCATTTTTTCTCGTGTCCCTTAACTGCCATACTCGTCTTGTGTGGTCAAAGATGGTGTTCCTTCTGTCATGAACCAGCGTAAAGTAGCTTTTTGCAATTATGCCCTCATCTACCTTTATCCACATATTGTTACATTTTTTTTGTAAGCTTAGCCTTCCTTTTTTTTAATGTAGAAAAGAGGTACTTTTATAAATGAAATAGCTAAATTTTCCTTGTTTTTGCTATGTCATTCGCCAGCTCGTCAGTTTTTTCATTTCCCTGGTATCCCACGTGCCTTGACCCACCTCAAGGAATTCTTCCAGCGTCTTTTTTCCGCAGTTCCCACAGCATATTCCTAATTTATTCTGCAGTTAGGTTGTGATTTGTGTGGTCTTGAAATTGTTTTCAATTGTAGAGTTCTTTCACAATGACCATTGAAGCGAAAAATGATCCTAAGGCCTCATTTATTGCTAATAGCTCTGCCTGATTGTTGGCACACCAGCCAAATTTCTTTGCAAAACTTGTATTTGTTTTCCAATTCCTTTACTTTGGTATCTATGGACGTAATAACAGGCCAAGACTGGCCTGACAAAATGGCTGCTTGATATATTGTATGAAACCCACTTATGATTTTGAGAGCAATTTTGCATTGGACACTTCTCATTTTTTTAACACAATATTGCTTGTTCATGGACCCTGCCAAACAGGTGGAGCAGTAATGATCAGCAGTATGGCACCTTTGGCATGCAAGGAGCATGAGTCAAACAATTTTCCGCATATTTTGGTTGGTTATTCATTTTCCTTTTCTTTGACACCAATAGAGCTGCTTATTTCTCTGGATTGAATTTTATTTTATTTTTGAACGACCATTTTTCGATCATGATCAAATGCCTTCTGATTGAATGTATTAATTGAACATTGAATTGAATTCATGGTCGTTGATTCTTAACTGATTCGAATAAGTTGACAAACTTGAAAATTGAAAGATCAAGTCATTGATGAATTGACTTATTTGGTGAACGAATGAGTCTTTAGTCGACAGATCAAGTCATTAATAGACAAATTTATTTAATGATTTAAGTCATTAAGTCATTTGGTGGATGTTCTGAGTCGATGATTCTAATCGACAGATTTGACTCATTGGTCGACTAAATTGGAAGATTAAGTCATTGGCAAAAGATATGAGTCATTTGCTCTGTTGAGTTAATGAATTATTGAGCGATTGCTTCGAAGGTTGTCATTTATCGATTTGGTGATTGATGCCATTGGACAAACTACTCAATGGGAAATTATTGAAGTCATTTAATCTGTTGACTTGATTATTTGTCGAATCGTTGGCTGTAAGATTGTCTTTAATTGATTTGGTGATTGATTGAGTCATTGGACACAACGGCTCAATGGGAAATTATTGAAGTCATTTAATCTGGGACTTGATTAATTGTCATCATTGGTTGGAAGATTGTCATCGATTAATTTCATGAGTCATTGGTGAACAGAACGGCTCATTGGTTGGGAAATTGTCACTGATTGATTTGAGTCATTGCTGGATGGAACTGCTCACTGATTGATTTGAGTCATTGCTGGACAGAACTGCTCACTGATTGCTTTGTCATTGCTGGACAGAACTGCTCATTGATTGGGAAATTGTCACTGATTGATTTGAGCCATTGCTGGACAGAACTGCTCACTGATTGGGAAGATGTCACTGACTGATTTGAGTCATTGCTGGACAGAACTGCTCATTGATTGGGAATTGTCACGGATTGATTTGCTGATTGATTGAATGAATGATGAAGTGAACAGTTCATTCGTTGAAAGATTGTCATTGATTGATAGCGTCATTGGTGAACAGAATGGCTCATTGGTTTACATGGTTATTTATTGAGTCATTGGTGGATGAACGACTCACTCATCAACATACTTCGTTTATGACCAATTAATACTTTGATTTACTTGGCAAATGACCGTCGGATGATTGATCAGATGACTGATCTGGTCAATGATTGACTTGTTCAGTTGATGATTCTAAACAAAAGATTTGAGTCGCCAGTCAGCTAACTCGGTGGGAGATTAAGATATTGATTGACTTATAATTGAATTATTTTCGAAGTTTGACGCTCACGAGGTTTGAGTTAAGACAAAAGTAAATAAATAAAAATAAAGAGCACAAATAAATTTGTTTATTCATTAACAAAACTACAACTAGCTGAATCAAGAATTGAGACCTAGAATAAAAATAATTACACCATGTACAAAATGTCGGGGATGGAGCCCCTTCGATCCGGGCTCTGTCGGATCTCGTGTTAGAGAAAAAGAGTTAGAATTGAGTCAAGTTACTTATTATTTATTTGATCGGCCAGTTTCAGTCTGCGCGGCGCTAATCATCTGTGTAGTATGTCGTCGCTATCCTCTCGATGTCCTCGAGGTTGAGTGTTGACATCGATCGGTTGAATTCCTGTCGAATCAGAATCGAATAAATAAAATTAAAAAAAAAAAAAATGAATAAAGAAATTTAAGGATTTTACGGACTTTCATAAATTCATCCGCAATCCGGCCCGTCTCGGCCTCGGAAAACCGGTTTTTCAAGTAGTTGATGACAGCCAGCCTTAGGACGCACTCCTCTTCGGCTTTCTTCACAACCAGGTTTATCTTTGTACCATCCTTGATCAGCGGGTAGTCGACGAGACATTTTTCATCTGGAACAAACGTATGTTGAAGATTATTAAGTGATTGTAAAATTAAAAAAAAAAAAAAAAAAAAATGGGGTTGAAACGTCATGACAATTGTAACAACCGAATACCGCAGTGACTAAGTACTTGCAAAGTTTTCAATGATCATACAGGTTGACAATAAACATAGAATCTCTTTCTAAAATTAATCAAACTGTTAAATTTTACAATACTTTCATTTAAAAATTATTAATAAATGTAATATTTCAATGCGTGTTGAGTGAACAGACAAGGATGTGATGATATACCAAAACCTCCCGGACTGTTATGTCCAGGAACTTAACAGTTGGGGGAAAAAAAGTACGGTTTAATTGAGTCGAAATAATTAATTAATGATTAATTTGATTTCCGCTTACCGGACAACGGTTTTCCGGTTAGAAGCAGCTTCTGCTGGTTAACGGGCACCTTGAGCGCTTGGGAGACGTGCTGCTTCAGCTCCTTGACGCTGGTCCTATCGTTGACCTGAAAGCATGAGACGGTTTGAAAAATCTGCTTCGGCTTTAGGCAGTCGATCGATAGACCTCGAAGGTCGTCTCCTGGCCCTGGAAAACCTTGACGGTGATCTTCATCATCGGAGGCTGAAAAGGCGGACGTCTCACAGCTCCATCCCTAGGTACGCGCTATATCGACAAAACACGGGCAGCCTGCCCCGGAGTGAACACCTAACGTGACGCAGTGTTGCCACTCTGATAACGCTCTTCGAACAGTGTTGCCGGCTGCAAACGAACAAAAATAAAAACCCTAAAAAAATTGCCCCTCCTACTTTTTTTTATTAAAAAAAAAAAAAATCCTTTTAAAAACTAAATTCGAACACGTGCTTTTTGTTTGAACTAATAACTTATTAATCCGATAACAAGTTAAAATTAAAAAAACATTATATATATATAATGATTATTCGAGTATTAGAAATGGTTAAAATGTTAAGGGTAGTAATACTTGTTTAAGGGTGAGAATTGGAAGGTGTAAGGGGAGTAGGGATGGTTGGAAGTGGCTAAGGAAAGAAATTATGATGGCCAGAAATGATTAAGGTTGTGGGGGATGGTTAGAGATAGTTAAGGTGAGCACGGATGGTTAAAGGCGAATACGGGTCGTTAGGGATGGTTAAGGGTAAGCAAGGATCGTGGCTAAAAATGTTAAGTGTAAGGAAGGATGGTGGTTAGAAATGGTTAAGTTAGAGCAAGAATGGTTAGAGATGGTTAAAGGCGAATAGGGGTGGTTAGAGGTGGTTAAGGGTGTGCATAGATAGATAGAGATGTTTAAAATCGAATAGGGGTGGTTACGGATAGTTAAGGGTGAGTAAGGGTGGTTAAAGATGGTTAAATGAGAATAGGGGTAGTTAGGTATAGTTAAGGTGGTTATAGACGGTTAACGGTGAGCATGGGTGGTTAAAGGTGGTTAAAGGCGAATAGGGGTGGTTACGAATAATTAAGGGTGGGCAAGGATTGTTAGAGATGGTCAAAAGTGAGTATGAATGTTTAGACGTGGTGATGGTTAGAGGTATTTAAAGACCAATAGGGGTGGTTATAGATGGTTAAGGATTGTGTCTTGAGATGGTTAAATATAGGAGGAATGGTGGTTAAATATGGTTAAAGGTGAGGTGGGATGGTAAAGGTTAAAGAAGTCGACTTTCATCACCTTCTCGATCTACGTGACCCCCACAACTACAGCATTCCAGGGACACTCCAGTTCAAGGCAACCCTCCAAACTGGCAGTGGGCCGGATCGCCACGGATTTTAGGACAATATCCTTTTTTCACACCGCTCCATAGGATGTTAAGCTCAAAGAAAATGAATCTTCTATGCCCTCCCATCTGAAACTCTTCTGTAAACTGAGAATTCACTATAATACTAAATATTAAAATTGATTTAAAAAATTATTGAGGTTCTTTCTAATTGTACAATATTTTTTTTACCGTTTCTTTTAGGGGAAAATATCACCGTTTGACAACTGGTGACGGTGACGTTAGGTTAGAAAAAAATGTCTGTCGAATGATTTATCAAGTTTTTCTTTTTTTGTTAATGTTGGGTGTTTGAATAGTTTTCTTTTTTTTAGAGGAAAAAGTTTGGATTTTTTCTTTGTATATTTTTCGCCTTTAACTGTTATCTTTTCTGACCCAACATGCCTATGGAGGAGACAGTGTTGAATTCAAACGGGGTGATGTGAAAGTCGGGCAGATTTGTATCTTTGTGATTTGTGCCTGCTTAGAAGCCAGAAAGTTTCAAATTCTGATTAAGAAGAAGAAAAAATATATATTTCGGTGTGAAATCGAGACTTTTTACTCACCAGAAATAAATCTTCCCGCCAAAACGTTCGGCCTTTTTTTTCTCCAAAGTACAAAGCCTGACCGGCGGATATCTGTATTTAAAAAAAGAAAGAAAAAAGCATATTTTACTTTTTAAAAATAGAATTTTTCTAGAAAAGATAAATAAAAAGACAAGATTGATAGTTTTCAAAACCGATCCTTCCCGGCTGGAACTTGAAAGCAGCCTCCCCACCATTTTTATTCGGGTACTTTTTTTAATGCCCGTCCCCACTATTGCAGACTTGCAGACGGGATCGAGGGCGCCGTGGTCAGTCCGCCCGGCAGAAGCGTACCAGGTACACCTTGTGGTTCAAAATCTTCCAAACTGGCTTCCCGACGAACTCGGAAGATGTCTGCCATGGAGGAGCTAAAGGTAGGAGACCTGGAAAACACCCCGATAACCTAGATAACCGCCCGTATCGCCCTTATCGTTAAGTCCGACCCGGTGGGCCGTCTTAGCCGGCCCTCCTTTACGCCCTTTCGTCCCTTCAAAATAAAGAACGGGATAACCATAGTTTATCCAATCCAAATAGAATTTCGTACCGGACCCGTTTAATTTTTACAGATATCCCTGGTTTATTTATAAAATTTCCCCCTAGACGTGATGACAGCTCAACACTAACCGTCAACAACCCATTATTTCTCATTGTTAATGATAAACAACCGAACGATGTACGTTTAGTATGTTTAATACCGTGTTGGTCCTTCCTAGATATTTTGTTTCTTCGACCATGACGTACAATGACACTCATTGTGCACCTGACAATTATGATCACCATGGACACATCTTCAGACTTAAACGCATAACGTATTAATTATGCCAGGCAGTGTACATTGATGAAGTAATCCTGCGACTGCACAGTTATGAATCCGAGAATCTGTCGTTACCGATGTCTGACTTTAATTCAACCAAACTTTGTAACGTTAAGGATTTTAAAACATCTACTGATTGCCGAGCACCTCCATCTGTCGATTGGATCATGATTGCCAACCTGACACATTCGACTAGGCATATTTGTCAAAAGTCAAGCTTTATAATGCTAATTGTGACACATACAGTCTCTACCGATCAAATTTTTACTTGTATAAATCATGTCGTACATATTACTTTGTATTCAGCTTAGACATTGATAAAAATTGACAAAACCAGCTGTCCATCATATCATGGATGTTAACCTGACACATTCGACTAGGCTTATTTATCAAATTTCAAGCATTATAATCATAATCATCTTGCCACATACAGCATTTATCATTCGAATTACCATTTGTATGAATCAAGTCGTAAATATTCTGTGGTATTTAGCTTAGATGTTGATAAAAATCTTAAAACCCAGCTGTTAATTGGATCACGGTCGTCAACCTGACACAGTCGATTAGTTTATTTGTCAAATTTGAAGCTTTATAATCATAATCATTATGTCACATATGGTGTCTATCGTTCAAATTACTAATTGTATGAATCATATGATACATATTCTGTATTCAACTTTGACGTTGGTAAAAATTCTAAAATCCAGTTGTTAGTTGGATCACGGTCGCCAACATGGCACATGCCAAGCTTTGTAATCATAATCATCATTTCAAATTTGGTGTCATATCAGTTAAATTTCCACTTGTATGAATCATGTTCTAAATATTTCGTGGTAATCAGCTTGGTAAAACTGCTAAAAACCAGCTGTCGATCAGATCATGGATGTGAACTAAACGCTTATTAAACGAACTTGGTTTATTTGTCAAATTTCAAGCTTTATAATCATAATCATCATGTCACTTACAGTACCTATCAATCAAATATCCACTCATATGAATCATGTTGTACTTATCCTATGGTATTCAGCTTTGATGTTGATAAAAATCCTAAAATCCAGCAGTTGATCAGATCATGGTCGCTAACCAAAGTTATTCCAATCTCAAAACACTTATTTGTCACAAGCTTGTTGAATCATAATCATCATTTAGTCAATTAATTATACACAATTTTTTTGGAATGAAAAATTTGTCAGAGGCAGGATTCAAACCTACAACATTCTGCTAAATACACCACTGCTCTACCATTTGACCTACTGTGACTTTGATTGCCCATCCCACAAACTTCTCATTTTGACTCCCTGTCATAATCATCATGGTTTAAATAATATTGAATTAAGATGTTGACAATAGCAGTTGGATGCCATTTTATGCCAACCCAATCCATAAGACACTTAATTTTTTCTTTTTCTTTCAGAATATGCTCTTAACATTCAGAGTGTCGGAGTTACAAATGCTGCTAGGCTACGCCGGTCAGAACAAGACGGGTCGCAAGACGGAGCTGCAGACGCGCGCGATCAACCTCATAAAGAGCCGAGGGCCAGCCCAGGCTCCTCACATACACGCCAAAATCAAGGAGTTGTACCTTTCAATACAGTGAGTCGGTTTTTGCACTTTTATTTTACAGCCCGGGAGAGTTTTCAAGGTTGCCATCTAAGAAGCATGCAACTTTCACCGACAGACTCCCAATATATTGTCCCTAAGTACTCAGTAGCTCTCTCTATATGAGTTATCTGAAGGATTTTTTCGTCCATCTTTGGTCTTTTTAAATGTCTAAACAATTGTATTTAACAAATTACAATTAAGTACTGAAGATTTTCATACTTTTCTTAATTAAAAAGGCATAGGATAGGCCAAGATTCAAACCAAGTCAATCACTAGTCAGATGTCCTTACCACTCATTATATATATTACATATATATATTATGCAGGGTGGGCGACCAAGACCCAAGGGGTTAAATGCCTGGGTAGACTCGTACCCCATCCCTAAAAGGTCCGGGACTTGGCCGGCTCACGTGTCCTGCATAAACCTCTTGGACATGTTCACAGACCCCAAGATTTTGGTGATGTCCTCTCCTTCAAAGATTTCAAACCTATACCTAGCATACCTATCACAATCTGCGAGGTAGTGCCTTGCCGTTTCTTCTTTTTTTTGCAAAAACGGCAAAAGGGATCTGGTAGGATACCCATTACGAAGAGAAGAGGTGTCTTCTCAGTGGGCAGTGGCCCGTCAGAATACCTATCAGCCTCCTAATTCCCTTCCTTGAGATAGAGAATAGCCATTTCGATTCTGCTGGTTTGATCGCCTTAACAAACTCTTTCGATTGTCTGTGTCCAGGGGATAAATTCCACTCCCTAAGGAATTGTTTCATGCCCCAATTATTAATACTCTCTTTCGCTGTGCTCATAGTGAGGTAATACCGATTGTGTCCCGACAAACGCAGTATTAGAACCTTCTTTTGCTAGGCCATCCGCCTTTTCATTGCCATGGTGTCCTTTATGTGCTGGTATCCAAATAAGGGTTACCTTGTTCTCAAACCTGAAAGAGATCCCATTGATAAGATCTATAGTTTCCTCCATCAGTCGTGAGGTGGACAAATCTTTTTGTAATGACCTACGACTAACCTGACTGTCAGAAAAAATTCTAATATTTTTTCCCTTAATTTGATTTTCCATAAGTGTTCTACAACACACATTGATGGCCCAGATTTCCGCCTGAAAAACGGAGGTGTTATTGCCAAGAGGGGAGGAGATGCTGATTTCTAATTTTGGTATGTAGATTCCTACACCACCACTCCCTCTACCTTTGATAAGTGATCCATCTGTGTAGCAGTCTATGTTACGATGGTCATTATCCAGACTATAATTATAATCATAAGGGGTGACTACCTGAAAGAGCTTTTTCCCCAAAGAGGATTTAATCTTTTTATCACTAACGCTTAATAATTGACCGTTAACCTTACTCAATAGTTGTGAGATTTTTGAGTGACCTATGTTATTGCACTTATGATTCCAGCTGCCCTCGCTAATTAATCTGTAGCAGCTGATTAGTGCTCTGACCTTAACCTCAATGTGAAGAGGTGTGGTGTTGGTTATGATTTCAAGTGCTACAGTGGGTGTAGTTGAAAATGCTCCTGTCATCATCAAACAACCTAGTCTTTGATATGACCTTAATTTATTACTATTCCCTTTGTTTTCTAGACCTTTCCACACCACTCAACTACAACCGCCCCTGTATTTATTATTTTCTGCCTTGGGGGCACAATATGTCCGGTCAGACTGTCGGCTAGTAGATCTAGGTTGGTTTGGTTTGATTCCTATCTCCTTTGGATTTTTCTAACACATAAGAGGAGAGGCTGTGAAAGAATATAAGGTCTGGCAGCATTGGGTCTTAGAGACCCTGAATTCAGTCCCAACCCTTGGAAAATGAGTTTGTGGATGGAACTGGCTGAATGGAAATTCCAGGGGGCTCAATCTAGAAACGTGTTGTGGCAATCTCCAAAAATGGTATTAGGAAGGAGTACATTAAGCTGTAAGCTGCAGTGCTCAGGGGGACATGTACAATCATTGGTTCAAGGAGGGGGATTTTCCCGATAAAATGGAAATGATGATCCCAGAGTCTCCTGTGGCCTACAGACAACTACACTGAAAACAGCTGGGAAGCCTCACAAGAGCTTGTTTTGAAAACCAGCTGGTAGCAGGTGGCATCTCGGAAAAGCAGTACGGATTTAGGTATAAATCAGTGCTGTAAATCAAACAGTGGAACTTCCAAGCAGCTCAACTGGAGGTAATCATGGTAACGCTAGATGTGCGCAATTCTTTCCATTATGCAAGTTGATCAGGAATTCTATGCGTTTTGGAGGTGGAGTTAAGGTTCAGGCTTACTTTAGAATTTTTCAAAGTTACTGGTAAGACAGGAAACTATGGTATCATATTACAGACAGGTCTCACACCAAAGAAATCAGGAGGTCAAGGAAGACTCGCAGTATGAGAAGGGTTCCTGGCTGAAGAGTTGAACCGGAAAAAACGGAGTCGTTACTTTCGACCTGATGCCATCCACCATTCTGGAATACCAGATCCTGGTGCTATTAGTGACAAAGTCATTGAAAAATATTTACGCTGGATCCGGAAAAGGGGTATATTGATGACCAATATTGGGAGCCCCTGGCGAGTTGGTATTGCCTCATAATGTTCATTTACCGACTCAGTCATGCTCTACAGGTGGGCTAAGGGGCAAAACGGTAAAAAAGATCAATACCGAAAACAATGGAGAGGAGCCTTAATAATAGCAAGCTCCTACAGAACAGTTTCTGAGCCCAACAGTCTTGCCGGTTGCTGGAGTGATCATTGACTTAACGGCTCTAGGTAGAAAATGGATCAACTACCAAAGGGTCACACTCAGTCAGCGCGGATTAGTCAAGAAAAATGGCCCGGATGGAATGAAAGGTCGATGGAGAGGTCGACTTTGACACCCAGTGCAGAATCTCATGTTGGATTATACCAATCTTTTTCAGATGCCCATTGAGTCTACACTGTCCTATTATCCTGTTAAGATTGAAGGCTTTTCCTGCTTTCTTTGGTGCATACTGCTGTTTCCTTCCTATTTAGTTTAGTTTTGCAATTCAGCACTGACTTTTGAGCTGACGCTATAGTGCTTTGATGGCTGCTTGGCTACCTGACGTATTGTAACATCTGACATGACTGAGTCCTATGCTTGTCTCGGCTTTCCTGGTTCTTAATTTCTCCATTGAGATATCGATCTATGTGCTTTTTCTCCAGGGAATCCTTCTATCGAAAGCTCCTTCAATGTTGAGGAATGCGCAGGTTGCTATTTCTTTGGCTTCCAGTGTTTTCTTCAGGTCGCCGGTTAACTGTTACAGATTGGTTTCTGTTGATCGTCCTGCTCTGTATGCATGTTGACAGTGATTTATCCGGCAACAGTGTTATTCTAACATTATCAGCTTTTCAATGTTTTTAATAAGAAAGATGCTAGGGTGGTCTGTAGGATTTGGGTAGTGTAGGGTTTTTCCTACTATCTTGGGTACAAACAAGCCTTACACCTTGACTATCGTATGTAGCCTAGATTAGATTATACAGGAGCTGGCCTCTTTATGACCTGCATTTGCTTTACATCATTTATGCATGTTTCATTTACTAAAACCTAACCTAATTTAAATGTTTAAACAGTTGTATTTTACATGTTGGACCAGTAAATGGTCTGTTTTTAGGCTGAATTTTGTAAATGTTTTGAAATTACTTGTTTTTTGGCTAGACGATGCGTTCATAAGTTCTGGGAGGTTTCATTTGCTGTTATATCGCTTTTCTTTTTACGAATTAATCTATTTTAAATGTTTAAACAATTGTGTTATCAGAAATTAAAAAACTGTAATTTCTTTGACTTTCGATTGAATGTTATTGAAATTATATTCAAACTGATATTTTTGTGTAAAATGGGACACAATTTGCCCAGAGGTTGTGACATTTTACTCATCACCAACAAGGTCATTCTTTTATATTTATTGGCCTTTTTGTAATGTTCATCCAATTGTATTTGTCACATTGGACCAGTAAATAGTCTGTTTTTAGTTTGAATTTTGTAAATGTATTAAAATTACATTTTTTTTGTGTGTGAGGTAAATCTTTAATAAGCGCTTAGTTCAGGGGTTCTAGGAGGTTTCACGTGCTGTTATCACTTTCATTTTATGAATTAAACTCTTCTTAAATGATTTTGTGTTGTAAATTATTTTATTTGCTTTGGACAGAGTTAAATAAACTAATTAAACGCAATAAATCCTTAATTAATTGAATTTAGGTCTAAAAAGTATGAAAATTAATTTTTCGGTGTGGGGGCGCAATAGTTGATTGGAGGTTTCACTCGTCCTATAATATGTAAGTGGCCCTTTTCACGATTTTTCCGTTTTTTAAATCTTTAAATAATTGTTTTTAACAAATTAAAACAATCAAGGGTCTGTTTAATTCAGTTACATATATTTAAAATGTGTCGAAAAATAAGTGTTTTATATGTGCGGGGGAGCAGTTCGTTTAGAGGTTAGGAGGTTACGCTTGTTACGTCCCATTTACTTTTTATGATTTTTTTCTTTTTAATGTTTTCAACAATTACATTATAACTTATTAAAAACATTAATATATTGTTGAGGTAAAAATTTTGTCGAAATATATTAAATTTAGGTCTTAGCGGAGGGGGCGCATGTCTTGAAAAGAGGTTGCGAGTGTTACCAACAAGACACTTTTAAAACAATTAAAACCATAAAAAATGGCATAAAGTAATAAAAGACGATTTAAATTGTGTATAAACAATGTTGTTTAAGCAATCGGCGATGCAAATTTCGGGTAAATTAATGTTTTTGTTTAGAGAGAAAGCCTGGTGGATCGATCAAGGGGGGAAAATTCTCGTGTGTGATCGTTGGTAGGGAGGGTGGTCGTAATCGTTTTCCACCAATTTTTCTCTCAAAATGAAAAAACTCCGACACGGTGTCATGGTCACATTAATTTCGGACTAATTAAAGGTATTTAAAGAAATATATTAATTTTCATATCGTCTCAGATGTGTTGTTTTGAGTGATCTTTTAGGTTGAATTTATGTTGACGAACAGGCAGTGTTAGATAATCCAGATCGGAATGATGTTTTTGCATAAATCGTCCTATCATACAGAAGACTTAAAGACCTGGAAACTACGGTGGAACGACAGACTGTTTGTATAAAATAGAATCGTTAAGTCATTTTTCACCACAATTGTCAAGCAAACACGAAAAAATATCAATAATTATCATTTTATTAATAATAGTCTTTAAATTTAATACAATAATAATAAAAAAAGGAAAAATGTGTAAATTTATGTGTGGCGCGAAATTCGATGTAACCTCATTGCAAACTCCCGTCTAGAAATATTTGTGCGTTTTTTCTTTTAAGTGAAAAATTTCAAACTTAGTTTATTGTTTTTTTTGTTTTGTTTTTTAATCGAATATTTCTAAGCTGTATTTCAGACAAAAACGGAGATAAAACAAAAAATGATTTGCGTATAGGAATAAAAAAAAGGTCGGTTAAAAGTTTAATTGGCGTCTAACAGCTTTGCAACCTTCCTAGGTGAAATAATACAAGGATAAAGATTCGTATGGCGGACAAAGGCCTTTTTCCATTATCTGTTTTTATCATTTTTAAAAAGCTCCCTACGAGCTTTTACGGTTTTTTTACACGATTATCGATCTGATTTAATCTACCGCGGTATGATTTAAATCGTCCGTGATCATAGTTGAGCCGGAACAGGTTTTTGTTTTGTTTTAATTGTTATGATCTAGGGTTTGTTTTTGGTCATGGCCTCTCGCCGAAGGTCATAGTTCAATCTGGCTTAATCCTGGTAAATCGGAAAATAAACAGAAACAATGAGACACACAAGAAATTTTTATCCATATTATACTCCTGCCAGGTATAATTAAAAAAAAATTAATTAAAAAATAAATATATTTATACATAGGCCTAAAAAAGGTCCTGACAGCTTGCATGTCTGAAGTTGATCGCTTGCTGTGTGATTGTCATGCGCTGGCATGTTTGTCTGTGGTAGGAAGTTTCAGCGACCTTCCCCTCCCTCGAATGAAATTTCTTTATTTTGTATTTAATAATTATTGTTTGCCTGTTTAACAGACAAGGAGGTACGGTGGTGTCATCTGCGATGATGGAGATGCCGCAGCAGTCGTCTGCTTCAGCTCCGATCATTACTTCCGGACCATCGCAGGGTATGCTACGCACGGCGGCCAACACGATCCTACCGCCAGGATACCCGGCCATGGTAAGCCGCTAAGTACATAGCGCGTGCAACGAAAACAAAAATGTGCCGCCCGATAAAAACGTAAAAACGCTTCTAGGTTCACGGCAGGTACCAAGACGCCGACGATTGGGGCTGGTGCGAAACTTACTCTCAGGTCGATTTTTAAATAAAAAAAAGACAAAATTTAAAAAAAAGTTTAAGGAAATTCTTACACTCATTTAAAACATGGGCTTATTTTCTTGACTAAAAATCTGGCATGAATTTTACCATTTAACATTATTTTTAAGTTTCCAAGCTAAAAAAACCAAAAATAAAAAGTTTAAATGATCCTCTTGGCATATTTAAGACGGTGCCTTTTGTTTTGCGTTAAATTTTTTTGCTGTGCTTTTTTTCCTCTGTATTTTCGTATTTTTGGTTCGTCTATTAGTTCTTACGGTTTCTTTTTTTTTAAGGGCTTGACATTGAAATATAACTTGAGAATGGAAAAGAAATTACTTTTTTTTTTAATCTTTCGTTTTGTGTTTTTTTTTTTTGCGTTTCGTTTTCAGCAGCCACAACAGCCGCCTCCGCCACAGCAGCAGACGCAGCAGCAAGGTCGCTACAACATGCGAAATTACGAGCTTGAGTCCCAGTACCCACAGCAGAGCGTCTACCCGATACAGCCCGACGTAACCTTCAAACGGCTCCCATTTTATGACATCCTAAGCGTCCTTTTAAAACCTTCTAGTCTCGGTAATTCTTATTTATTTTAGTAGTGTAGATTATCTGTATATACAAGGTGTTACAAGGTCATGAGTTCGATTCCCACTTTCGCGTAATATGCATCCATCATAAAAAGCCATTTAAAAAACGAAAAATATAAGCGTTGTCAAATTGGAATTAAGGAGAAGGATTTTTCAACATTTGATTATTATTATTGGCCTTTTTTATCTCAACTGAAAACCTTAATTAATTGTAATTATTATTGTTATTGAATTAATTTTAACATTTAATCAGCTGGCCCATATTATATACCTTTATTTAAATATTTTCCTTAATAAGTAGATATTTTCAATAAAAATGAAAAATAGGCATACATTTTTTTGTTGAATGGTTCATTGGTGTTTAATTAAATTATTTATTTTAACTTCTTCGTCTATTATTGCCAAGTTGGTTACTCCTAGTTTGTTAGATTTGTCATTATTTTATTTTTAATTAATTTCTGTATCCTTTATTTTAGTATTTCTGGAGAAGGGTATAGAGTTCGTTTTTCATATTTTACAAGTTTTTACCTCCCCGTCTTTGGCTCAGATCATGGACATGTCTTAAATTTATTATTTATATTTTTAGTTGTTCATTAAACACGGTTTACAATAANTTGTGACCAAAACCATCTATTCAAATCAAGCAATTCAACATGCAAAAATTTGAACATAAAGCGTAATAAAAGTTAATTATTTTTCTTTTGTTTTAATCGATGGATACATGTGACTTCACGCATGTAGAACTACCCTAAAATGGCATAAGTTTTAAGAAATTTGCAATTTTCAGATCCTTGCCATTGCTTATATTTATATTATAAGATCTACATTTGTACCAAATATTACATTTCTTCTTATACAGGAAGTAACTTATAATTTTGATGGTGAGATTACTCCACCCAGCCACCCCTGAAGCGGCACTATTTTGAGAAAATTGCAATATTCTGATTTTTCCCTTTGCTTACAATATAAAGCCCTACCTTGTACCAAATTTCATGTTTCTACCTATACGGGACGTGCCTTCGTATATGTATTAAAGTGGCACTAAGTTTGAGAAAATTGCAATTTTCAGATTTTTTCCTTTACTTGCTATGGAAACCCTACCATACCGAGTTCCACATTTTTAGCTATTCTGGAAGTGCCTTTGAGGATCAGTTAGTCAGTCAGTAACAAAAAATGCAAATTTTGAACTTCTTTCAAACATGCTTAATATTAATTAAGTATTCAAATTTTTACAATCTCCTAAGCGACTTAAGCTTAATTTATGTTTCAAATTTTAAAAGCCCACACGTTCAGCATGGAGCTGATTTGGCCATTTTTGACCTGTGCTGGACCCTTCTTATTCACTCTTTTGACCACTTTACCAATTGGCGTAATGCCGTCCAGCTGTCTCCTCTACCTACTTTATTTACATAGATATTTGCAGTATGTATAACTTTTCTCGAAATTAATTAAATTAAAAGAAAAATTAATTCTTTTCAACTGGACTTTTCTTTGTAGGTATTACTTATTCTAAAGAACAGTTAGATGTTTACTGAAGTCAAAGGACATATATTTTACAAAAACATTTATTACACTCATGTTTTACATTATTCAAGAAATATAAATCACTCTTATAAATCTAATTTTTTGCCAAAATCTTTGCAAATCTGATTAATAAACCAAAATTGTATATTAACAAAACAAATGTTGGTACAAATAAAACTATAATAATGTGAAAATACAAAGGTTAAAATGATTCTAAATATTAAAACTTACTTACATATGCACAAATAATTAGCTTCTTTTAAAAATTATAACAACTCACTATATACATATTGAATTCCTTTTGGAAATATGGCTAGTATAATTATGATGTTCCCCAAAGCAATTAATTATGCTTAACCTTGCTGGTTGTGGTTCTACCATCTCTCAATGTTTTCGATGTACAATTAAAAAAAGTACAAATGCAGTTACAAACAATGATTAAATAAAGTAAATAAAGAAACCAAAATAAAGTTTTTACAAAATGTCAAGATTGTTGAAAGATTAATTTTGTTTACCTTTTTGGTGTACTAATAAAATATATAGTTAAAATAAAAGTGTGTATAAATATTTTTTTTAAAAATAAAAAATGGATTAAAAAAAAAAAAGTAGGAAGTAACGCACAATAACTTTCAATGTAATGCCTGAGCTAGAAATGGACTGTTCAGTTGAAAAGCTGGCAATCCAGTAAATGGCAACCCCAAAGTAAAAGAGAATCCAACAATACCAGCCCCCACCATAGCACAAAGAAAAGTAAGGGGTGAGTTGGTGTAAAGACTGGCAGAACCTTTTTTCTCAGTTGATCATGTTAAGAGCAAGCAGAGAATGAGGGTGAGAAAAACCGGGTGAATTGGTTTATGTAAAGATATCCATCATAGCCTGCTGGTACTTGGCCAGTGCATTGCTAGGCACTCGGATTGTACATTAACAATATTCTCTCGACTTATTGACTTGAACTCGTTAAGGCTTACAATATCGAGGGATTATTATTTTTTAAATAATTTTTTTCTCTTGTTTCAGTTTCTACAAGTAGCGTACGAGAGCAAGCATCGAATTTTTATTTCTACCTTACGCCGCAGCAGGCATCCGAGATCGCCATAAACCGTGAGATCGGCCCCGGTACGAAGAACGAGTATTTCGTCCAGGTCCAGATGAGGTTTTGCCTCCTCGAGACATCATGCGAGCAGGAGGACTGCTATCCACCCGGATTGCAGATCAAGGTGAACGGGAAATCATGCCCGTTACCGGTACGTACCATTTACTTAAATTTAACTCTATTTAATTTTAATCGGTTTGTTTAAATTTGCCAGGGCCCCGTCCCAGTCAACAAACCGAACGGTGAGCCAAAACGGCTCCCTCGCCCTCTCAACGTCTCACACCTCGTGAAGCTGTGCCCGTCGATCGCAAACCAGGTGCTCGTTACCTGGACGCCGGAGTACAGCAGGGGGTACGTCATTGTTGTTAACCTTGTAAGAAAGCTCTCGGCACCAGACCTCCTCCAGAGGCTGAAAGCCAAGGGCGCCCGTCATGCTGACTTCACCACTGGTTTAAGTAAGTCAGTTTTAATTTATTCCTTTAACTTTCTATTGTACAACCATGAAATATTTGTGAAAAATGAACGGAATGAAACGGAAAAATGAAAACCACACTATTTTTTTTTTTTTTGTGGTGTGTATGTGTGTGATTCTATACTCCAAAATATTGGGCACGTATCTGCCAATTTTTGTGAATAGGCCTTGGTTTTACCAAAAATTTTTTTTGAAAGTTGAAATTTTCTGTTTTATAATATTTTTATTTCACCGTTCTACTTGCTTAAAACTGCTAGGTGAATATATCATTTTACACCATTTTTTTCTTAAATGTAGATTGCAATAAAAGTATAATAAAAGCTATCAAAGTTTATCAATAACCAAAAAATTTCTAAAAAGCGAATATTTTTCAAGTAAAGTATGTCTTTTTTTGTGAAACATCTGAGATCTGAGTGAAAGTAAATCAAATAATAATAAACCTTCTGAATTAAAACACAAATTATTTTATAAATGACCATTGTTCACTTGTCATATTTATTGATACAGCAACAGGAGGCGTGCCTAACCTTTCTTTTTGTCTCTACCTTCCTTATCAACTGTCCCCACTATAAGTCGGTACACTCTTGATCCTGACAATCCATAAATGAAAAACGCAATGAAAATTTATTTTATTTACTCCTTGGATTTTCTTAAGCCTATTTATAATGAACACGCCATTGGAAAAGTTGGGGGGCATTTATATAATTAGCTATTCTCACTTGTCAACAAAAACTCCAAGTTGATTAGTGCAAGTGATATTATGTATATCCAACTGTGAAAAAATATCCGAAATTTTTCAGAAAATGGTCAAAACTTGGATTTGACATCATTGTCGTGATTCTAGTGTCATAATACCCGTAGGATAAAAATTTTCTTGCCAGACAAGAGATTTCATATTAAATAAAATTCAAAAACAGCGGTCATTCAGCTCAATCAGAACCCACTTGACGAGCTTTTTGCTTTCCCGATAGCTTCCAGGTGGCAAATGCAATGGTTCTTCCGCTGTTTCTTGAGTAGTTTTTGTGTAACCTATAGCCTTTAACCATTGTCAACAGAAGAATTATGGCCACCACCTTTTTTGAAACCAATGTGGATTTCATTATGACCGGTTTGCGCTGCACTTCGCCCAAATTTAAATTCATAGAAATAAATTTGTCGAAAATAAAAAAAATCTTAAACAACATTTTGTTTGAAGGCACTGAACAGACTAAATTAATCGTTTTATCTAAAAGGATTGTAAGAGAAAGAAATTGTGATAAATAGACTTTAAATATGTATTCCTTAGCATAACGGATTAGTTTTGTTTACACAATTGGTATTAGAAGTGTAAGCGAAAAGGAAAACCTGTATTTATTTTGCATCAACCCATTATAAAGTAAATTTAATTAAATGAGCGTAAATGGTTGGTTATTTATAGATGATGTCAATAAAGATCGAAATGGCACGACAAAGAAAATGTTTTTCTAAACCTACATCACATAAAACTGCATCTCACAATCTCCAAATAATCAATAATTAACAGACACGAAATACTACATGTTATAGGTGCAAAAAAATATTATTTCTGGTTCACTATTTTCGTGGTCTGCTTGACCAATTAATACAAGACAATTAATTAAGGTTTTTAGTTGAGATGAAAAAAAGTTAATGGCACGAGAGGGATTCGAACCCACGACCTTCGGCTAGTTACGCCTCTGCTCTACCACCTGAACTTTCGTGACCTCGATCCACTCGGACATCAACTCCCAATCTCAACCCCACCTTATTGTTTTCCCTCCTTTTGCCATTTTTCACTCATAAACCTTAATTAATTGTCTCGTATTAATGGGTCAAGCGGACCACGAAAATAGTGAATTAATGATTTAAAAATGAAGTACACTTCACTAAAGCTCTCTGTCGCCATTTCAATTGTCGTCGAGAATCCAAACCGATTACACGACATTTGAAAAATGGCAAAAGGAGGGAAAACTCATAAGGTGGGGTTGAGATGGGGAGTTGATGTCCGAGTGGATCGAGGTCACGATAGCTCAGGTGGTAGAGCAGCGGCGTATCTAGCCGAAGGTCGTGGGTTCGAATCCCTTTCGTGCCATTAACTTTTTTTCATCTCAACTAAAAACCTTAATTAATTATTTCTGGTGTAATATTTTCTTGTTGTTAACATAAAAACAAAACTGTTCTACTCTACTTAATATACTAATACCCCCAACTTTTCCAATGACAATTCATTATAAATAGACTTAAGAAAGTTCAGGGGATGAATAAATTATATTTTCATTGCGTTTTCATTTAAATATCATCTAATTAATCTATTCCTAAGCTTCTTTTATAGTTCACTTGATTATTTATTTACCTTTAATTTTTTGATTACTCAATTTAATATTTTTAATTTTATTTATAACATTTTATATTTTCTTAATTTGCTTTTCGCCAAAACAAAACTCTATCACTTTCCCAAAAAAATTCAATTTCATTAATTTTGAAACAGGAGGAACCAAATATAATTCTGTTTGTATGAATTTATTTATTTTTATTGTATAAATAAAAATATTAATAAAAATTATAAATATAAGCAGTCATTAATATAAGTATAAAGTAAGTTTAATTAAATGAGCTTAAATGGTGATTTATAGATTAAAAAAGTATATTATTTTTGGTGTATTAATTTCATTGTTGGTTAAGATAAAAACAAAAATGTTCTACTACTCAGAATATTCTAATTGGTTATGACTTAAAAAGATAATCAACAAAATACTGCTTTTTTGCATATTTTAACAAATAATTTGTAAGCAAAGTAGGTCAGAAAATGACCAAAACTTTGATTTGACCTCTTAGTCATGATTTTAGCGTTCGTTATAAACCCTTAGGTACTGAATTAAGCGGAAATCAATGTAAATTAATTTTTTTACTGGTAATTTTGACTGCATGCGTGACTAATGCAAGTTCTAACCTAGTAAACCGATTTACATGGTTGATAATTCGTTTTAAAGAAATTGTCAAGTGCATTTTATAATTGTACCAAATATTAAAATTGGGCTATTATTTCCATTAAAAAAAAGGTTAATTTCTGAGAAATAATTTTCCTATGTTGTGTATTTTCTTATAGAATCTTTCATACAGGGTGTTCAGCTACTTGTGTTACAAACTTTGCCAGTGGATTCTACGTTCAAAATGGAACCAAAAAATCTTAATTAACTATGGTCCAGTTGGCACAGTTTCGGAGTTATTCCACTTTTTCAGATTTTTTAAGATTTCACGACCTTGCTTCAAATAAAAAATGATAAACAAATTCGTTAATACCCCCATCAACACTAACTTGTGAATGTTCTTAAAATAAGCATTTTAGTAGCGAGACTTAAAAAAAATAATTTTTTTTTCAAAGTTGAAAAACGTACTATGATGATTTTAAACTACTATTTCCAAACCTGAGACCAGCAAATTTTAGCAAGCGAACTCCATTTAATATCCTTTTTAGTGGTGCAATTGCTTTTTTAATTACTTTTTCCAAAGATGAAGAAATTGATGAAGGAAAGGACAAAACCGTGGCTGATGGATTGGTAAGGTGGAAAGATTAATATTAATAAAAAATATAAAACTTAAGGAAATTTTGAATGAATTTGTTAAATGTTTTTTAATTTTGATTCAAAATGCTCTCCACCCGCCATAATATATTTTTGACACGCTGCTGTTGCATTAAACCCGCAAAACATGTACATAAGATGTATATCAGCGTATTCTTCATTAGAACAGTAGCCATGGAGTTAACAAGTTATCACATAGAAGAAGAACGTTTTGCATCTTAAAACTTTTATACTCCGGAGAATAATAATACAATAATCCTTTAATCACAGTTGTAGTCGTGTTTGTAAATAAGTAAATATTTGCACTATTTCCGTTTTGAACCCAAATTAAAAAACATTTAATAAATTTATTCAAAATTTCCTTAAATTTTTGTTGTTGTTTAATTTTCCACCTTACCAATCCGTCAGCCACAGTTTTGTCCTTTCCTTCATCAATTTCTTCATCTTTGAAAAAAGTAATTAAAAAATAAATTACACTATTAAAAATGATATTAAATGGAATACGTTTTCTGAAATTTGCTGGTCTCTAGGTTTGGAATAGTAGTTTAGAATCAATATAGTAAGTTTTGCAAATTTGAAAAAAAAAATTCAAACTTGTCACTACTAAAACACTTATTTCATGAACGTTAACAAGTTTAGGATTGATCACATCTTATCGGAAATTTGACGTAGTTTTGATTGGTATCAACGGATTTGTCAAAAACCTTTTAGTTTTGGAGTTATCATTGTTTATTTGAAACAAGGTCGTGAAATCTTAAAAAAATCAGAAAAAGTGGAATAACTGCGAAACGGTAGACATTCGGTCCATAATTAATTAGGACTTTTTGGTTCCATTTTTAATGTAGAATCGACTGGCAAAGTTTCTAACACGAGTAGCCGAACATCCTGTATATTTTTATGGTACATAAGTCGTTAAAAAAGCTACATTCCTCTACTTTGGAGTTACTGTAAGTTAAAATCTTTTGTTTTTGAATTATAGCGGTTTAAATCAAATATTCCAAAAACCTGACAACTAATTATTCAGATATCGTGAGATGTGGTTTGGTGTGACGTAGGTTTCAGTAGATATAGATATAGGTGATAGATGTAGGTTTATTTGTTAAATGTAAACATTGTTTGTAAATCACAGGCCCTGAAGATGATCTCAATAAAAGATCGAAACGTTGGCACGATAAAGAAAATGTTTTTCTGAAACCTACATCACACCAGACCGCATCTCACGATATCTGAATAATTATCGATTAACGGTCACTAATCTCCACACATAACTAGACAACCATCAAGCTCATTTTCTTATGAATTTGATGGTTGTCTAGTTCCTGAAAATAAACCCAAGAAATATAAAAAGGGAACAATTGAAAAAACAGAATAAAAAAATATCCTAATAACTTTAAAAAAAAAAAAAAATTAGGGGTCAAAAAATCTATAAACTTAAATTCAAACAAAAATGTATATATAGGGATCTCTAGAGGTGCTAAAACGAAATTTCACATTAGTTTGCACACACACCACACAGGTTGGTTTTTAGATTTTTTTGTTATTAATAAACTTTGATAGCTTTTACTGTATTTTTATTGCAATCTAAATTTAAAAAATATTGTAAAATGATATATTCACATAGTAGATTTGAGCAATTAGAATGGCAAAATAAAAATATAAAAAAAAAAGAAAATTTCAACTTTTTTTTTCTGAAACCAGGGCTTATTCAAAAGAAGGGGTGGATATTTTAGTGTAGAATCACCAAAAAAAGTGTGGCCCAAATTCGTATCACGCCAACCCAGTCGTCCTTGTGAGACAAATTTACAAATTAGGTAAGAAAAAAAAAAGTTATTTTAACACTTACACGCTTAATAAACTCTTGAGATATTCGCATCTCGAGGAACGCAGCAGTCCATATTACCAATTAATTCCCCCCCTCGTTAACATGAGAATGGTCGGTCCAAATTAAAAACCTTTTAAAAAATGTACACTAATGAGTATCTTGCCATTTGAAATAGTCAAGCTTCTCTTCAGACCCTGCTATCCTGGAGAGTTGGATTGAAACGATTTTGGTCTTGATAAGCTAGCAAAAAAAAAAAATTACGAGTGGAAGGGCTTGGTCTAGAGAGTATGGTTGGGGCGGCCATTGCCAACTAACTTGATTTTACTCTTGAGTGCAGTGTGAGGTCTGGTGTCTTTATTTACCAGAGTTGGATGTTTTTTTTCAACGCTGCTGCAAAATGCTCTACCTCGGCACTGTACGCCTCTGCCATATGAACACATGGAGTTTTTTTGCTGTCTGGTGCCTTAGCACTGATGTACTTCAAATGCCGCTACCTTGCGTACAAACTATGGATGTCTATATTAGAAAATGTGTAAATTTTGCTTACCATAACCCATCCAACGCAGGACCAAAATGTGAGACCTCTTTGCTACGGATTTTGTTTCCTTGAAACTTGATAGGTTCTAATAATAGCAAATAATGTATGACTCAAACACATTTTTGTAGGGTTTTAAATCGTAAGTGGCAAAAATCTTGAGTATGCAAACACACAACTCAACACATTTTTTCTAATCCGCTTGGCGTGATTGAACTGTCGAGTCACGAATTATTTAGAATTTGCGTATCCTGAACCATTTTAAAAACCTATTTTGACGAATTTTTCTTTGCCAATTTGTGAATGAGGACTCCACTGTGGGGTCACTTGGAACAGGCGAGACCCCGGCTTGACTAGAAGCTCGAAAATACAAATATAGGGTCAAATAAGAACAAAGTGACGCCATTTTGTTGTGGCGCTGCTGTGCCCTAGAGGGAAATGCTAAGAAGACAATAACCGCCGGACTGTGTGTCTGCTCTGCGGCTATCAATGCATTAACCAAAGTCTGTACTTTAAACCAGACAGCAAAAAAGCGCATGTGTGCATCAGGCTTAAGGGTTTTGTGGAAAGGTAACAGGGTAAAAGTTCCCAATTAATTATCCCACAAAAAAAAAAAAAAAAAACTGGGAAAATTACAGGGTGCAATTCTGCTCTCGACTTTGATGGCAGGTTTTTCATTCTCTCCCACCATAATATACATATATAAATAATATATTAAATGAATAAATGCGTTGTTTAGTTAAAGAAAAGCTGTCCGAGGATGCGGACTCTGAGATAGCTACGACTTCACTACGTGTGTCTCTCCTCTGCCCACTGGGCAAGATGCGAATGGTGACGCCTTGCCGACCTTCAACGTGCCTACACCTCCAGTGTTTCGACGCATTCCTTTACATCCAGATGAACGAAAAGAAGCCGACGTGGACGTGCCCGGTCTGCGACAGGCAGGCTCTATATGACAACCTCGTTATCGACGGATATTTCCAGGAGGTGCTTAACTCGCAGCTGTTGCCATGCGACTCTCACGAGATCCAGCTGCACAAAGACGGCTCTTGGTCGTCGCACTCGACCAAGAAAGCGATCACAATGATCAACACGGTAAGTCTCCCTGAATAATCCCTTTTTAAATAATAAAGTCTTTATTAACAAAATAATGAATATGATAATATATACATTTCATTCTTATCATAAGTCATTACTCCATGGTACTGTGACCGTCGGAGGAGTTGCAATTTTTATTTTATACATACTTATTAGTTAGAATACATAATTAGATAGCACCAAGTATATTTGCATCATTATAAAGTGTTTATCGCCAATCCAATTTCTTCATTCGAAAGGTTTCACTTCCCAAAAACTGATTTTCTGATTTCTGCCAAGATTATACATACACCCACAAAGTGCAAAATAGTTTCCTCTTCTTTTTCTATTACAGAATGAGTATTTATTTAGATGGATTCTCACATCTAGCTTTAAAAATCCAACTAATTTGATCAGTTCTTAAGTCACAATTTACATATTTATTTACAGAATTCAGTTGCCTATATAAACTACATAAGTGAACTTTCTGTATATACTTATTCTTTAAGGTTAGCCTCACCTTCTCAGGGATTTTTTCTACTTTACAATCTGTGCTTATCAACTATGTTACTGTTATTCCATATTCCGTTTCCAACTTTTTATATACTTCAAACCAATACACATTTTTAAGCTTAATTTGATTTACCAAGTAATTGGGGTACCGTTTTGATGGTAGACTGAGACATTTACGCAAATAATTTATATGTAGTTTTAAGGTATATACAAAAACCGGGAACAACACTAGTTCAATACACAAAATAACTATGTGTATGCGATGGTAAATTAAGCATTTTTTCAAAAAATACCTCTGCACTTGCTCTACACGTTCCAGCTGCTCACACACACCCCCTGTCTGGGCTCCATAACAAAGTGAAGTTTTACAAATACTTTCAAATATAACCATTTTAGATTTAAAAGATATTTTATTATTTGACATTATGCCATGGAGGGAGCCAATGATAAATTTACACTTTGTCTTTTTTCCTCAAAATGTTTCTGGAAGGACCCCCATGAAGCCATTGTTATACCTAAATATTTGAAATTTCCTACCACCTCTATTTTTTTGTTTTCCGTTTTTGAATATTTATATAATTTTTTTATTGTTTTTACAGCCGACGAAACAAGAGCCGATTGAGGAGATACTCGACGACTTAGACGATTCGGATGGCAACATGACTGACAAGGGCATTGAGTCGGATGTGAAGTGCAAAGTCAAGGCCGATTCGCCCGTCAATAAGGTAATCAGTTTCATCGACCTCACCTCTGATTCCGATGATGAACAGTCACCCCCCAGCCCCAAGCCAGACCAGCCAAAAATATCGAAAACTGTAATCGCAGGTAAATAAAACAAATAAAAGTCAAAGTTAACGTGTCTTCTGGTATTTAACAGCAGAAAATGTAGGTACGTCTACACAGGCGATGTCGCCAACTGCGATAATAACGCTCGACTCGCCATCGCCGCCGATGCGCGAGCTGAGCCCGATATCGATGCTCACCGCCGAGATGAGGGCCGAAGAGTGCCCGATGATGCCGCTCGCCCTCGGCCAACGCCCCATTCCCCAGCCGTCCCAGGCTCAACAGCAGAGCCAAGCGCCGCAATCGCAGCCTCAACAACAGCCTCAGCCGCAGACGCCGCCTCAGATAGGATCGCCTGTCGCTTCTCAGCCAATGCTACCATCGCCGATTCTGTCCCCTCACCCTCCCCACCACGCGATATATACACCGCCCGACGAGATCGCCGGACAGACACACACCAACTACAGTAATTACCTGCGGATGGCGTCAAAGTACCATCCGTACTAAAAGAAAAAAACTCCATCTGATTATTTATATATGTTAGATTCTTATTATTAATATAAATTTTATCATAAAAGTGGGCTGCAAACCATATTTATATTTAAGAAGAAAAAAAAAAACATGTTTTGAAAAAGAGAAAGAAAAGGGAAAAAACAGAAACAAAGAAAGAATTTATGTGATATTTTTTCATTGTTGTATATATCTATCTATCTAGGTATATGTGTATAATGTGTATAATTTAAATTTACTATAAAATTGTGTACATAAGTTAAAAAAAAAAAAAAATGAACAGCTTGGTTTTACTTTTCTTCTGTTTTTAAAACAAAACTTACAATTTTTTATTTTTTAATTACAAATCAATTCATGTGGTAAGAAATAAAAAAAAATCCTTTTTAGTAATTATTTTATTTTTATTGTTTTTGCATGAACTGTACTGAGTATTTTGTTTAAAAAAATAAATAAATAAATTGTATTAGGAGGAAATATTTTTGATAAGGACCACACCAAGAATGGGCCCAATAGGGTTTGTATAAGGAGAATAAAACAAGAGCTCATAGCAAAGAATGGACTTATGGTTTGTACCAAGAAGTGCCAAAATAAAAACGGTAAAGTTTGTATTAGTGACTTAAATAACTCATCACTAAAAAACCAAGAATACATTTTTGTATCAGGATCATAAACACCATAAGACATCATCATGAAGAATGAATCGAAGGTTTGAATCAGGAGCATGAACTGACGCAATGAGCTTTTTGATAAAAAATATATATTTTGTTTCAGGAGGAAATAAGAGGACAACTAATGGTTTGTATCATCAGTATAAAATAAGAGATCATCACATAGAATGAACTTTTCAGTTAGTATCAGGAGCATAATTGCCATTACAGCTCATTGTGAATAATGAATCGAGGTTTGGTTTCAGGAGCATAAAAACATCGTAATAGCTAATCTCCAATGAAATTTAAGTATCAGGAGCATTGATGACTGGCCCATACTGCAGTCTGGTATATAAAGACAAGCAAACCAATACCGTTAATTGGTTAATATGCAGTAATTTCATGAGCAGCCAGGAATATTATGATAATTGTTTTCTACACGCTAAACTCTTCCACCTCGCTATCACCAGACTATGTAGTTCTCATTAAAACATAAATCACTACCTGACATTTCGTTCTGTTAGATGAAATTGACTTCAATCCTGATTTGGACATGTACTACGCCTTGGGCAGCAGCAATGTACATTACTTGGCTGCTGAAGGGAGTGCTCTACCCAACACGGTCCAGGAGCGTAATATTGATGAGCTCTTCGAGAAGAATGACGCTGAGGATGTATCAGGAGTATAAAATGGAGCTCGTCATAAAGAATGAGCCGAGAACTTTTCAATAATAATGATATCAGGAGCGTAAAATAAGAGGTCAGACATGAAGATCTCATCACTAAGAATGACGAATCGCTATAAAATAAAGTTTTTATCAGGAGGAATTACAATCGACAAGAGCTGATCATGAAGAATGACACCAGCAATTGTATCAGGAGCATAACATGTAACTCATTGCTAAGAATGTACCAATGGTTCGTATCAGGAGCATGAACTGTCACAAAGAACTTTTCAATAATAATGATATCAATTATATTACAAGAGCTCAGAGCTAAGAATGAAAATTACAGTTTGTATCAAGAGCTTGAATTATCTGTCTTGAGAGTTGTTTTTAAAAAATGAAAATAAAGCCTGTACTGAGACTAAATACATGGACAGGCCAAAAATTCCACCCACTTGTATTATAACTTGATATTTATTAGTTGAAGTTTTTTAACTTTTAATAATTGAATCTTTGTCTAAAAAACAAAAAAAAAAGTAAATTGTTAAAGAAAATGAAGAAAAAAGACAGATAAAATAAATTTTAGTTCTGTTTTAGATTTTTTAATTAACATTTCAACATCGCATATTTACTCTGCTTGGCTTAATTACACCTCGAAGACGCCTCGGCATACTTTCTACCAGTCTGGAAATGTCTCTTTGCCAGAGGTTAGTTCATTCTTCATGAAGAGTACTTTCAAGATCATGGAGTGTATCAGGAAGCGATGGACCTGCACTTATTCGTTTTTTCAGTAATACCATAATATTCTAAGGGGTTCTGGAGAACGGGCTGGCCGGGCTAAGACCCTGATGTATGCTGTTGAAGGTTTGTACTATGCGAGCGGCGTGTGCATTATCATGCATCAGAATAGGATTGTCGCTGATTTCATCAAGGATAGGCGATACATGATGTTCCAAAATTTCATCATAGCAAGTGGCCGTCAAAGACCCTCCACGAACAACAACCAAAATTCCCGCCCACACTGTCACTATGTTGTAAAGATCAGCTCTGGGGAAAATTACAGGTTTTGTACCTTTCATTTCACCTTCTCCACATTCTTTCACGCCCATTTGGAGATCGTACAGCCGAAATCAACACTCATCTATAAAAAGCACAGCAGTCCAATCGTCAAAAGACTGATGGCTGTGTTCTCTAGAAATTGTGTGCAGTGCAATTCTGTGTTCAGGTAAATTCTGGTCCTCTTAAAAAAAAGCCATCAGTCCACACTGATTTAATCTTCTTTGAGCAGTGCGTTCAGAAATTGTACTCCTTGAACTTCCTGAAGCTGATGAATCCCTTTAACAGAAAGGTGCCAGTTTCGCAAAATTCTCAAAGTCAAAAAACGGTGTGGTTCTGTTACCCCATAGGGCGTGCAGAACCAGGCCTTCTACGGTAGCACTCAGTTTCTCGTCTTAACGGAGTCTCGCAGAGTTTCGTTGGGAACTCTGACGGTAATAACGTATACCTGATGGAACGTCCGTCATCAATAAGTGCCAAACCACGTGCAACACCTCAGCACTAAGTGGTATTTTTAAGTTTAAAAATTGAAATTAAGAAAAAAGATGAAAACTAAAACAGTTTTTTGCTTCAGAATTCAAATGAGACTGAATAAACAATTTAAATTCCGTTGTTGAAAAATGCTTTATCTTTGTTTTGGATTAAGGACTTAGTGTGTTTACCTCTAATTGATATTCCCTATTTAAAACAGTGTACATTTACTAAAAACAATGAATCAAATTAAGGGAAGAATTTTCTTTTATCAAGAAAAGAAAAAAAAAATCAGGTGGAATATTTTGCCTGCCAGTGTATAATTTAAAACAACTCATCACGAACAATGTGTATCTGGAGCTCATTGTGAAGAATAAATCGAGGGTTTGTTTCGGGAGTATGAGCTATGACAAATACCTTATTTTTTAATGTAAATGAATTTTGTATCATGAGGAAATATAATTGATAACAGCTCATTATCAAGAATGTACTAAGGGTTAGTATCAGGAGCATGAACTGTAATGAAGAACTTTTCTTTAGTAATGATATCAGGAGCGTAAAATAGGTCAGTCATGAAGAGCTCATCACTAATAATGAAAACTATGGTTTGTATTAAGAACAGGAACTATCTATTTCAAATAGTTTTTCTTCTTAAAGATGGAAATAAAGTTTCTATCAGCAGGAAATGTAATTAATAAGAGCTCATCGCGAAGTATGACATTAGGGATTGTACGACGAGCATAACATGCATCCATATCATCACCAAGAATGTACAAAGGTTCGTATCAGGAGCATGAACTGTCGCAAAGAACTTTTCAATAATAATGATTGATACCAGGAGTGTAAAATAAAATGTCAGTCATGAAGAGCTCATCGCTAAGAACGAAGAATCTAAAAAATAAAGTTTCAATCGACGAGAGCTCATCATACATCAGATTGTATCAGGAGCATAAAACGATAACTAGCGACCAAATTTTTTTAACAATATTTTTATTAAATTCTTTTACATTTAAACTAAACACAATCCACATAACCTGTACACAATGTATGTATATATAATTACATATGTAGCATGTCTGTTTGTTTTTTTTTTTAATAATTTTTTTTGTAAAATAAAGATAAAATATTTTTTGTTAATACACTTTTTACAATTCGCTTGCGTCTGTATAATAATAACAGGTAGGTTAAATTGTAATAATATAATACATCAAAGTTTTAATTTTTTTACACACATTTATTTTCTAATATATAAGCTTTGTTTTTAATTTAGGGGGCTCGGTCGTTTTTGCTTTGTTATTGAGAACACAAGGCCTGATGAATTTATTATTATTTTTAAGTACACTGTAATTTCATTTTTTTTTTACTTGATCCTTTATGCTTTATTTATTATATATATTTTTTTAATCGAGCTATGGTCCCTGCGCGATTGAAGGCACTACATATATAAAACAAAGACCGAAAAAAATTATAACAACGATAAAACGCAAAAATTACACAAGCAAGATGTACAAAACAAAAGAAAAAAAAAATATTTACAAAAATGTTTCCCTCTCCCACATCCCAAAATATTAAATCTGGGGAGATTATTTAATTTAATTTTTAAAATTTCGCTTTAACTTTACACAATAAATTATTTATACTATAAATATTTTAATTTCTACAATTGTTTTTCATTTTTATTTATATTTTTTATTATATATATATGTATATATTATATATATATGTATGTATATATATTTTTTTTTGGCAGCTGTCGACCCTCGTTGTTCAACAAATTTTAACAAAATACGGATTTTTTGTCATTTTTCACTTTTTTTGGTTTAATCTAGGTAGACAAAGACCGCTTAAAAAATACAGTTTTGGCCCAGGGAAAGAATAAATAATAAAAAATCGAGGCACTAAGCGAAAAAATAATAAAAAAATTATTGCACGACATTGAAGTTTTTTTTAGTCCTCTTTCTGGGCCGTCGGCTCTTGGCGTTCGATCATTTGACGTCCCGCCTGTGATGAAGACCATTGACCTCCGCCGTCACATAGTAGTCCGACTGTTTGCTGAACGATGAGGACGAGTTGGATTTCGACGAGCCGTTGGACGCTTGGCCGTTCTCCTGGAACTTACCGTTCGCCGATAAAGCTTGCTGTAAAAAGACCAACAAAAAGCCAGTAAGTAACGGGAGTCTTGAAAAGTTCAGCTTTGACCGACCTTTCGCTTAATGCTGGAGTAAGACTGTTTGTAGAACTCCTTAAAAAGGAAGAAGAACATGACTGCGTGCATGCCGATCCACCAGACGAAAGCTTTCGGATAGTTGCAGTCTATGAAGAGGAGCTGGAAAGCATGGACCATAATGGCAACAAACTGAGCCTGGAGGAAAATTTCAGTCAAAAGAAGATAAAGGACCACAGATCTTTTAAATTTTATATACCATCTGGAGAGTCGTGAGGTACTTCTTCCACCAAAGGTACTTCTGGACGGACGGGCCGAAAGCGGCCAAGAGGTAGTACGTGTACATCACGATGTGAACGAAAGTGTTGAGAAGGCCAAAAAAGGTGCTGTGGCCACCTGGGAAGAATATACAATTTATTCCAATTAGCACGATTGCGATCCGAGAACAATCTAGGTTCTCATCGTTGTGTCACGGTGTCATATTTATGCTCGTTCCCATGGAAGTATTGTTATTTTTTTCTTCTTCAATTAACACATAGCGCATTGGTGCTAAGAGATGCTTAATCGGAATAAACACCTAAATTGGGTGTCTAGGTCACAGGAGCTATAGGAGGTAGCAGGGGGCCGGGAGAGTACAGGACGGGCTAAGGCTCGTTTTGTTCGGCTTGTATCAGGAGAGTAGGATGTCACAGGAGGAATAGGTGGACTGGCTTGGCCAAATAATAAACTTTGGTAAACAAGAGCTCGTTTTATTTGTATTTGGATGTTATGTCGCTGATGCAGAACTCTTTTCTCTCACAAACTTTCATGGCACGTATTTAAAGTCTTTGAAGACGAAGGTGCTCAAAATTTTATTTCGTACGTATTTTTTGTATTGGTTTTTATTAGGAGGAAGAAGAGATCCTGCATATACGCATGGTGGTTGACCAAGACCCGAGGGTTTATATGCCTGGTAGACTCGTACCTAGGTCCGGGACTTGGTCGGCTCACGTGTCCTGCTTAAATCTCTTGGACTATTTTAACCTAAATTATAAACCCCAAGATTTTGGACTATTTGTTCTCGGGGAGTGATTTGGTGATGTCCGCTCCTTCAAAGATTTCAAACCTGGACCTAGCATACCTATCACGCTCTGCGAGGTAGTGCCTTGCCGTTTCTTCTTTTGTTTCGCAAAAACGGCAAAAGTGATCTGGTAGAATACCCATTACGGAGAGGTGTCTTCTCAGTGGGCAGTGGCCCGTCAGAATACCTATCAGCCTCCTCATTCCCTTCCTTGAGATAGAGAATAGCCAATTCGATTCTGCTGGTTTGATCGCCTTAACAAACTCTCGATTGCCTGTGTCCGGGGAATAAATTCCACTCCTTAAGGAATTGTTTCATGTCCCAGTTATTAATACTCTCTTTCACTGTGCTCATAGAGTGAAGTAATACCGGTTGTGGCCGGACAAACGCAGTAATAGAACCTTCTTTGGCCAGGCTATCCGCCTTTTCATTATCATGGTGTCCTTTATTTGCTATTTTTATATGTGGTATTTAAATAAGAGTCACCTTGTTCTCAAACCTGGAAGAGATCCTATTGATAAGATCTACGGTTTCTTCCACCAGTCTTGAGGTTGACAAATCTGTTTGTAATGACCTAAGACTAGCCTGACTGTCAGAAAAAATCTAATTTCCTTTCCCTTAATTTTATTTTCCCTAAGTGTTCTATAACACACATTGATGGCCCAGATTTCCGCCTGAAAAACGGAGGTGTTATTGCCAAGAGGGGAGGAGATGCTGATTCCTAATTTAAGTATCTATATTCCTGCATCACTCCCTGTTTGATAAGTGAACCATAAGTGTAGCAGTCTATGTTGAGATGGTCATCACCCAAACTATAATTATATTCACAAGGGGTGACTACCTGAAAGTACATTTTCCCCGAAGGGGTTGTAATCTTTTTATCACTAACGCCGTTAACCTTACTCAATAGTTGTGAGATTTTCGAGTGACCTAGCTTCCTGTTCTTATGATTCCAGCTGCCTTCGCTAATTAATCTGTAGCAGCTGATTAGTGCTCTGACCTTAACCTCAATGTAGAGGTGTGGTATTGGTCCAGAGATCCTGTATGGTACAATTTTGTAATACGAGGTTGCATTAAAAATTGTTCTTTTAACAATGTTAGATGCGCGCAGGTGCAGATCTTAAGCCAAATAATCAACCTACAATTGAGCAATTCTCAACATTTTAGGATATCTTGGTATCTGTAGCTCATTGGAGAAAGAGGTAATATTCGACAATATTCACACCATTTTTCATCTTTGTATCAGGTGTTCAGAAGTGTATAACAGAAGGAGCTTAGGACTGTGCGATGTCTTATCCTTATTCCAATGGATCATTGTATCAGGAGCAGTAACTTCATCTTTGTATTAGGAGCTTTTATCTATCGAATCCCCGTGTTGGAGAAAGTCCAATAATGTGCTTAAGGTAAGAGGTCAATTGAGTGAAGACTCACCTGGCGTAAATTTGACGCCAAACCAGACGCTCATCGGCATGCAGCCATGGTGTATGACGTGCAGGGTAGAGATGTGCTCGTTCTTCTTTCTCAGGACGAAAAATATCTAAAAAAATAATATTTCTTCAAATTAAATAATTATTCTTTTTTAAAAAGTAAGTCGAGATGAGAACTTACAGTGTCCATGAACTCCGTGAATTTGGAGAAGTAGTACCACCAGCAGACGTTGACCATCTTATTATGGGAAAAGTGTAGAAAGGGGAAAGGAGAAAAAAATTCTGATTAGTACAAAAATGTTGCCTGGGGGCAGAAAGGTCATGCAGTAGCTCATTTGAAAAAAATTATACATATATTTTAATTTTGAAAAGGGTTCAAAACGGCGAGGAAGTTTTTCATGACGCCCGAGGTTTTGCAATTAAGACATTAAAAAAATAGATGAAAAAATCTGACAGATTCTATGTATGGTGAGAAGGAAAGAAAAAAAAACGCTAAACTAAAAAATATAGTCGTTGAAGTACAACTAGATAATAAATAGAGAAAATGAAAAAGTTCCAATCATAAAAAGCTACAGATGTATAAAAATTGAAAGTACGATTTGTATCAGGAGCTACTGAAAGAAGTAGCTTGAATCGGAAGAGAATCAGTGTTTGAAATGTTTGTATCAGGAGCTTGAATAGGGAGATCCTCAGAGTTCAAGGCACATTAATTTGAGGAGCTTGAATCGGGAGATTCTCCCAGTTCAAGGCACTTTAGTATCAGGAGCTTGAATAGGGAGGTCCTCAGAGTTCAAGGCACATTAATTTGAGGAGCTTGAATCGGGAGATTCTCCCAGTTCAAGGCACTTTAGTATCAGGAGCTTTAATAGGGAGATCCTCAGAGTTCAAGGCACATTAATTTGAGGAGCTTGAATCGGGAGATTCTCCCAGTTCAAGGCACTTTAGTATCAGGAGCTTGAATAGGGAGATCCTCAGAGTTCAAGGCACATTAATTTGAGGAGCTTGAATCGGGAGATTCTCCAATTTCAAGGCACTTTAGTAACAGGGGCTTCAATAGGGAGATCGTCAGCATTTGACATGTTTGCATCAGGAGCTTGAAATGGGAGCTTCTCCGAAATCAAGGCCCTTAAGTATCAGGAGCTTAACTGAATTGTATATTTGGACATTTTTGTAATCGGGAGATACTCACTGCTTGACATGTTTGTATTAGGAGCTTGAATCGGGAGATCCTCAGCGTTTGTCATGTTTGCATCAGGAGCTTGAATTGAGAGATTCTCCGAATAAAAGGCCCTTAAGTATTAGGAGCTTAAGGATAGAGCTCAATTGAGTTGTATATCAGAACATTTTTAAAACAAAAGGAGCTTCGACTTTGTATCATGAGTTACTGAAAGAAGGAGCTTGAAAATTGGGAGATGCTCCGAGTTCAAGGCCCTTAAGTATTAGGAGCTTTAGGAATGAGCTCAATTGAGTTGTATATTAGGAAATTTTTATAACAGAAGGAGCTTCGATCTTGTATCTGGAGCTTGAATTGGGAGATCCTCAGCATTTGACATGTTGGTATCAAGAGCTTGGAATCGGGAGATTCTCCCAGTTCAAGGCACTTCAGTATCAGAAGCATGAATTGGGAGATCCTCAGCATTTGACAAGTTGATATCACGAGCTTGAATCGGGAGATTCTCCCAGTTCAAGGCACTTTAGTGTCAGGAGATTAAGGAAAGAGCTCAATTGAGTTGTTCATTTGGACAGTTTTGTAATCGGTAGATACTCACTGTTTGAAATGTTTGTTTCAAGAGCTTGAATCGGGAGATCCTCAGCGTTTGACATGTTTACATCAGGAGCTTGAATTGAGAGATTCTCCGAATTCAAGGCCCTTAAGTATTAGGAGCTTAAGGAAAGAGCTCAATTGAGTTGTACATTAGAACATTTTTAAAACAAAAGGAGCTTCGACCTTGTATCACGAGCTTGGATCGGGAGATCCTCAGCATTTGACATGTTTGCATCAGGAGCTTGAATTGGGAGATTCTCCGAGTTCAAGGCCCTTTAGTATCAAGTGATTAAGGAATGAGCTCAATTGAGTTGTATATTACGATATTTTTATTACGGAAGGAACTTCGACATTGTATCAGGAGCTTGAATTGTGAGATTATTCGCTTTCCAATAACGAAGTAAAAGACGTATTTCCATCAGGAGCTTCTACTGCGACATCTTCAGAGTTTAAGGCATTTAAATATCAGGAGCTTAAGCAGGAAATCAATTGAGGCCGTTCCCAGTATTTCAGGAAATTTTTGTAACAAGAGTTTCAACAGCAGTTATTTTGTAGTTCAGTTATTTCACTATACATTTTTTTCATCTTGAACTATGCGACTGCGACGCCCTTTGTTTAAGATAATTAAGCGTAATTAGTTATCGATCCTAGAGATCAATTGAGGGATTCACCCTTTGAAATTCTTATATCAGGAGCTTAAGCAGACTTGTTTCCGTTCTATCAAGAGCTTTTGGTTGAAGGCGCATCTGCTATGCATTTATGTGTTTTTCAGGAGATCTTTACATCAGGAAGGAACTTAAAAACGTATGTCATTAACATGTTTGTATCTGGAGTGTTTGACGGAAGAAACTTCGACTACCAGATTATCTGTATGATTATATGTATTTCATGAGATATTTGTATCAGGAACTTTTGAGCATTTCAGTGGATCTTTGTATCAGGAACATTTGACAGAAGGAATTTCGACTACCATCTGTATTTCAGGAGATATTTGTATCAGGAACTTTTGAGCATTTCAGTGGTTCTTTGTATCAGGAGTATTTGACAGAAGCAACTTCTCCTACCAGATTATCTTTATTTCAGAACATATTTGTATCAGAAGCGATTGCGCATTTCAGGGGATCTTTGTATTAGGAGCTTCGATTTGCATTTCACCCCATATTCTTCAGGTGATTCAATTGTTCGATTTTCAATCGATTGATTGGAACAGATTCTCATGCGCTCATGGCAGAAAGGCAATCGGGATACATTCAGAATTTTTCACTTTATCCATTGAGAGATGGATTACCTCTAGTGGACAACAACCGTCGATGTAATTTAACTACAAGAAGGGGGCCAGTTTTGACTCCTGATATGACGTATTGTAAAAAACGTTATATCAGGCTTCGTTTTTTTTTTTTGTAAATTAATTTTTTTTTGTGTTTAATCAACTTACCCTTATGGTAAACCTATTCGATGAGTAGTCTACAGGCTGGCACCTCAGCGAGTAATGTCCCGTCAGCCATCCGCTCATGCCGAGCTGCAAAAATTAAGCTCTGCCAATTTTTTCAATTTTTTGTTTTACTTAAAAAATTGGTTTTTGGTTGCATGGTGAGAGAGAAATAGAGACAGACAGTCTGGTTTGAAAATGAAGAATTTACAGGCCGGCCCTTGCGTGCTTCTTTATGCGATTTTTAGATTTTTTTTTGGGGGGGGGGATGCCTAAGAACTTTTTAAACTTTAAAGAGGGCTTTTTTTAAGGGTTGGAGTTGGTACTTACCGTTGTATTAAATATTCGATTAAACTGATGAGATGATGGGATAGTCGCAAGGGTAGAAGAGGACCGGTTCGATTCGGCGGGTTTTTTGGGTCCGTTCGATTTCGCTTCGGACCCCTGGGTTATTCGATGAAAGAAGCAGAGGACACGGCGACGGTTGTTTTAGTCGTGTTAAAAGTGTCTTAGAAGAAACAGACAGTGTTAAACACTACAAATACGGACACTGGTTAAAAAACACACTGGTGAGACACTACAACAAAAAAACAAGAGATTTTTTTGCAGATTTTGTACGTGGCTGTGCGATATTAGAACGAAAGTCAGGGACAAAAAAAAGACATTCACTAAGGCATGCAAGAGATGATTTTTTTGTCTTCATTGGGGTTTTTCTAAGTCAACTTCCTCTTCGTTTTCGGACCTCTTTCTTCGTGTTTTTTTTCTTTTTTTTAAGACTTACTCTTATGGTCGTCGGAGAGTCGCTGTAGTCGACGGGTTGGCACCTGAAAGAATACTCTCGGAGCCATCCTCCCATGAGGCACTGAAAATACGGGAGAATAGAACACAAAAAACAACAAGAAAGACACGAGAGACGTGTGGAGAGAGACAAAAAAAGAAGAAGAAGACCGTCGGGGGACTTCTGTTTTACAAAGGCGGACATGTTAAGTTCGACACAAATCATGCTGTTAATCGAGTATTGTTAAGTTTCTAAAATTTGTTCATTGTCACATGACTCACCTCGTAGAAAAGCCAGGCGCTGAAGACCACCTGGAAAAGGTTGTAGAATATCAGGACGTTCTTCAGCTGTAGTGGCTTCCTGTTCTCCATTATCTTGGGTCCGAGGACTTTCACGACGTAGACGTACGTGAGGCAGATGACGAGGGTCGGGAACGGCGAGGACATGAGCGGCCAGTTGCGCGTCCTCGGGTCTGAAACAAGGCGAAATGTAACGGACCGGTATTATAGAGAAACGTCGGTGCTGAAGAGAAAAAAAAGACGAGCCAAGGCCTGCCGGACGTAAAGGGCGGGAATACGAAAGTCGAGTGTTAACCTAAATTCAAACATGAGACAAAAAAGGTTCTTTAACGGCGAGGACGGACGGACAATTTTGGGAAAGTGCCAAACTTTGAAGGACGTTGAGCGAGGGAGTGTGGACTGTGTAAGCGTGATAGTTGATCGAAAGAGTGATGCCTGTGATGCAACCAATGATGGATAGAAATAGGAAGCGTGTGAGTAATTAGAGGGAGTATGTAAGTGTGAGTGATTGAGGTTGTAGCAGCGTGAGAGTGGGTGATGATGGAAAGCATGCGAGTGATTAGGGGGAGTATGCAAGTGCTTTAGTGTGAGTGACGATTGAGATTGTGTAAGCGTAAGAGTGAGTGCTTATGAAAAGGGTGAGTGTGATGAGAGATCGTGATTGATGACGTAAATTTTGTGAGTGATTCGAGGGTGTATGTAAGAGTGAGAATATAAGTGATTGAGGTTGTGAAAGAGTGAGAGTGATGAGAGAGCTCGTTGACTGATCGTGACTGATGACGTAAAGCTTGTCAGTGATTAGAGGGAGCATGTAAGAGTGAGAGTATAACAGAGTGAGTATGTTGGGAGAGACAGTTATTAGATCGTGAGTGATGATGGAAAGCGTGTGAGTGTGATAAATACCCTCGTGATGAGGGAGATTATGAGTGATTTTTTGGAAAGTGTGAGTGTGAGTGATTATGAAAAAATGAGCGTGATTACAGAGTTCGTTCACAGATTGTGAGTGACTATGGAAAGCATCTGAATGATTGATGTATGTAAGTGTGAGTGATGATTGAGATTGTTTAACCGTGAGTGTTAACGGAAAGAGTGAGCGAGATTAGAGCGATCGTTGACAGATGGTGAGTGATGATGTAAGGCTTGTGAGTGAGTGTAGGGAGTATGTAAGCGTGAGAGTGAGTGATTATGGGAAGAGTGAGCGTGATGAGAGAGATCGTTGACAGATCGTGAGTGATGATGGAATGTAATGATTAGAGGGAAAATGTAATCGTGAATGACGATTGACGTTGTGTTAGTGTGGTAGTGAGTGATGATGGAAATCATCTAAGTGATTAGTGGGAGTGTGAGTTATGACTGAGGTTGTGTAAGCATGAGAGTGAGTGATAATGGGAAGAGTGTGCGTAATGAGAGAGATCGTTGACAGATCGAGAGTGATGGAATGTACATGAGTGATTAGAGGGATAATGTAATCGTGAGTGACGATTGACGTTGTATTAGTGTGGTAGTGGGTGATGATGGAAATCATCTAAGTGATTAGTGGGAGTGTGAGTTATGACTGAGGTTGTGTAAGCATGCCAATGAGTGATAATGGGAAGAGTGAGCGTAATGAGAGAGATCGTTGAAAGATCGTGATTATGACGTAAACCGTCCGATTGATTTTGAACGACGAAGGTGAGCGGCGACAAGCCGCAATAGAACTTGCATCCTTGAACACGCCCGTTCTTTTTTTTTGTTTTTGTCTTCAGTACAAAAACAAAAATTATTTAATATACGAGGATTCTTGAAAACAGGCCTTATGACGTCAATCCTGGCATATTGGACTATTAGTCTGATCTGTGTAATTTAGGAAAAGAAAAAAGAAGAAGAAAAAGACAACTCAAAAACGAGTTTCTGCTTGAACCGGTGAAGAATCCAGTTCCATTGAGGGATTCCCGTTGACGTAGTTTAAGACTATTTACCCCATCCGATTATTGACTTGTTTTATTTATTGGCCGGCCTTATTTCTTTTTTTTAACTTCTACCTTTTACTTTATTTATAAATAAAAAGCTCACCTCCGTTTTTGTCGAATATCTCGTGGAACCTGTCTATGTACTTCATGACGAGCGCCATGTCGCGTCTTTCTTCAGATCTTCTTCGCCTCTTCTTTCAACCGACCTTTCCTGGACAAAAAAAAATAAAATAATAAACTCATCTGTTGCGAAACATCGGTAAGAAAAAAAGGATCGACGAGTACGACGAAGGTAGAAAGTGAAGAATCGAAAGCTGGCCCGATTATTGATTCAGTCCCCGTGCCTCCGTTATGTAAAACGCGCCCGAGGATCGTTTGTTCTCGTTGCATTTTCGCTTTTTGATTCGATTGGAAACGCCACGGCGAGACGGGGCGGACCCTCGACCCTCCGCCCCAACTGGCACACGGCCGTCGGCTTTGATTTTTTTTCTTAAATTAATACGATCTCGATCCTTATTTTGGACACGGGCCTATCAAGGTTTTGGAGAATGAAGAAATGAGAACAAAAAGGCCTCGAATAATAATTTAAAATTTAAAACGTATCTCAATCTCACACTCGCTGCACTGGATATATCGCTTCTGGACGGTCCTTCCGTCATCACTCACGATCTGCCAACGATCTCTATCACGCTCGTTTTTTCCATTATCTATTATTATTATTATTATTATTAATCACTCACATACATTCCATCATCACTCACTCTCTTCAGTGTTCACGATCTATCAACTATTTCTCTAATAACACTCACCCTTTCCATAATCACTCACAACGTCAATCATCACTCACATACATTCCATCATCAACGATCTCTCGAATCACACTCACTCTTCCTAAAATCACTCACTCTCATGCTTACACAACCTCAATCATCATTCACACTTATATACTCCCTCTAATCACTCACATACGAACATCTGTAGTTGGCAAGTTCATTTTTCGACTCTCCTCTCCAAGATAGCATCGGGAAGATTGCTTATTACAGGTTCAAACATCTACACACCTGTCTCTCTACAAGGAATTAAAAGTTTCACCCATGTTTGATTTCCAGAAGTGTAATTTTGACGGTCTTTCCTTGCGTGAACTAAGATGGGCATTTAAGCTGAGATGTGAGTTTTACATCTAAATTTGGAATAGGGGTAACTTGGGTATATGCTCCCTATGCAATTCTCGTTCCGTCGAGACTGTGCTTCACTTTTTGGCAGAGTGCTCGATTTTGGGTGAGATTTGGTTCTTACACCTTAGTTGTTTTATTCTACAAATAAGTGAGCTATTGCGGTTCTTGACTGGCTCAAATTCCAGATGCTTGATTCGGTATGCTAAACATTCTTGGAGCAGATACGAATTGATTCAAGAATTTAATTTTTAAGTTTTATTCTTTCATTGTTATTAAGCCATCAAAATTTTGGGTATAGACTTTATTTTTAATACTAGTTCGCTTGTTTATTTATTTTATTTTTATTTTCCGTTTTTTAGGTATACTTTGTATTTTAATTTATTTTTTGTATATTTGTTTTCTCTTTTTTCTTTTCTTCTCTCTCTCTCTCTCTCTCTTCTCTAAACTGCATATATATTTGTAAACCAATGACCACTGGTAGACGGATCGGACGATCCATGCCCATAATGCTTTTGTTCTTTAATATAACGAAAAGTTTTAATTTTGTTTTACTGAAGCAATTATTATTATTATTAATCACTCATATACATTCCATCATCACTCACTCTCTTCAGTGTTCACGATCTGTAAACTATTTCTCTAATAACACTCACCCTTTCCATAATCACTCACAACGTCAATCATCACTCACATACATTCCATCATTAACGATCTCTCACTGTAATCACTCATAACTTTATTTCATCAATCACGATTTCTTTCAATACACTTTTATTATTCTTTCCTAATCACTCACACTTAGATGCTTTCTATCATCACCACTTCTCACGCTTACACAACCTCAATCATCACTCACTGTTATGTACTCCCTCTAACCACACACGCTTTACGTCATCGATCACTCTCGCGCTTACACAACTTCAGTCACTCACACACTCGGACTTACATACTCCCTCTAATCATTCACATTCTCACACTTACATACTCACTGTAATCATTTATAAACATTACTTCATCAATCACGATTTCTCTCATCACACCGCTTTCCTAATCACTCACACTCACAATTATCCAACCTCAATTATCACTCACACTTACATTATCCCTCTAATCACTCACGCTTTACATCATCATTCACGGGCGTCAACGTTCTCTCGAATCACACTCACTCTTCCTTCAATCATCACTCACACTTATATACTCCCTCTAACCCCTCACACGCTTTACGTCATCAATCACTCTCACGCTTACACAGCCACAATCACTCACACTCTCGGACTTACATATTCCCTCTAATCACTCACATTCTCACACTTACATACTCACTGTAATCACTCATAACTTTATTTCATCAATCACGATTTCTTTCATCACACCATTTTCCTAATCACTCACACTCACGCATACCTAACGTCAATTATCACTCACAATCTCACACTTACATTATCCCTCTAAACACTCACACTCACGCTTGTACAACCTCAATCATAATTCACACCATATTTACATCACTCACACGCTTTACATCATCAACGATCTCTCTCATCACGCTCACTCTTCCCATAATCACTCACACTCACGCTTCCACAATCTCAATCATAATTCGCACTCTCATATTTACAACACTCACACGCTTTACATCATCAACGGCAATCTTTCAATAAACTTTGACCCTTTTTCATCATACTCACCCTCTTCATCATCATCACTCACTCTCAAGCTTATCCAACCTCAATCATCGCTGACCCTCTTACTAATCAGTCAGACGCTATCAATCATCACTGACTCACTTTCATCACACTCACTCTTTTACCAACACTCATTCTAACGCTTCCACGATCTCCTTTATCACTGAAACTGTAAGTTTACATGGTCCCTCCAATTAATCCAGGCTATCCATCATCAAACACAATCTCACACAGACGCTTCACACACTCATCTAACTCACCTCCATCATCAAGCACACACTTTTTCCGTCGGAAGACACACTCTCACTCGTATTTCGCAATCTATCACCGACACTCTTGCACAAATTTTTGTCAAACTCTTTATCTCCTTATTATTCGCAATTTTCAAACTCTCACAGCCTTTCTTTCGCACACTCTTTCATCCATCTCTTGACCGTCCACCTTTTTTTAAGGTTGTTACTCCGCTCCCAGGCATGAAAAGTTTTGATTTTTTTTTTTATCAAGTCAGAAAGTCAGTTTTGTAACTTCGCCCGTGAAATTGGTTCAAGTTCACCTCCCCCACCAACCGCGGACCACCCGGACAGGTATGCTAAAAATTTTTAATTGCTGTGTTTTTTTTGTGTGTTTTTTTAATTTGGGGATTTTACCTTTCGTCCTTAATCCGTATCGAAGGGCGCGTCCCAGTTTCTCTCCGGTCCAAATGTGTTACAGATCGAAATCCAATCGCCGAACAATGTCACACGAGGGAGAGAGAGTGAAAGTGGTTGAGAAGGGTGAAGAAACGGCATCATCGCATGTTTTGTTGTCAACAGGTGGATAAAACTAGACTATTCTAAACGTTTAAAAGGACAAAAAAAGAGCGATAACAAGCGGACCCAATATTGAAATACCTGTACAATGGACGATCCCATTGCCAATTTTCATCTGATTTTCTCCAATTATATATTTTTTTTTTTAAATATTTTATTTTCCCAACTTACCGAATACGGTGAGAACGGTTGAAAAAAGGTCGAGAAGGACATAATTGTATGATATCTTATCACCGGCTCCTCCCCTTCACACTTCAGACTCGTTTGGTTTTCTACGATTCCATTTACTTTCGACAAAATGAAATAATTCGGTTAATTTTTTTTTCTTTCTAAGGCGAAGCGAAACCTAGCGGACCCAAAGAGCGCTATGGGAGACTCGTGGTCACGCCTTCACAAGTCATCCATCATCAATCTCACACTAGTACAATTTTATTCATCACCGACACTCACACTTTTACACTTTCTGCCTTCATCATTTGCACTCTCACACGCTTCCACTTCGTTGACACTCGCAACATCATTCTAACAGTTTAACACACCCATCATCAATCACCATCTCTCACTAGCACCGTTTTATTCATCACCGACCCTCACACTTTTACACTCTCTCCTTTATCACTCATACGATTTCCATCATTGATCACAATCTCCATCATCGACACTCAAACTTTTACACCCTCTCCTTCATCACTCACACGCTTTCCATCATCAAACTCAATCTCCATCGATCACACGCATTCTATCATCAATCACAATCTCCTCCATCACCCACTCGCTTTCTATTATCAATCACAATCTCTCTATCATCATCGACACTCAAACTTTTACACTCTGTCCTTCATCACTCACTCACTTTCCATCATCGACACTCAAACTTTTACACTCTCTCCTTCATCACTCACACTTTCAACCTTACACCCTTCCTCCAATGCCTCACACTCTTTTCATCATCAATCACTATCTCACGCGTACAAAGTTTTAATCAACATCGACACTCCCTTACAGCCGCATACTATTGCATACTCTCCCCGCTCGCAATTTTCAGCATCACTCATACTCACGCTACCTCTAATCTTTTCACAATCTCCTTCATCTACTCATATTCTCACGAAATTCTGTGTTAATTTTATTCATTCGTCACACTTATGTAACGACGGCATCTATCCAACCGTGGAAAAGATCTGACTTGGACGGATCGTTTTCGTATTATAGACTACAGAATGCTCCGTCTCATCTACACACTTTTACATTTGGAAAAAAAATAAGCGGATGTACTCACTTCACTTTCTTGCCCAGAGTTAATCGCGTCTCGAAAGGCAGCCTAGGATGAAGTGACAAACATTTTAAACGGTCGTTAGTCTGTTTGTCACCCCCTCTCCGAATGGGAAATTATGGGAAATTGTTGTTGTTGTGACAAAACGCCCCCGGGAGGAATCCCAGGTATGCCCGTTTTCCCCCCCATTTCCCATCGGGATCGAAAATACCATTTTTTTTTTCTCGGAACAGTCATTTTATGACAGGTGGACGGTGATTAGACCT